ATACAGATATTGACATGGACAATTTTATTTTTTTTCAAAAAAAAGTGGATCAATACTGATGATGTATATTAACAAATTTTGTGTAACATCATCCAACGTGAAGTGAGTGAGTGAGTGAGTGAGTGAGTGTTTTTTTTTAGGCTGCTTTTAATATTTGCAAATTTTCTCTAGGAGTTTATAACAGATCCTTCCTTGAAAGGTGTAACTATGCACAGGATTCTGTTGATGCTCTTTAAAATACACGTTCTATAGTACTCTATCAGGTCATTCCAATATTGTATACAATGTTATTGACAAGAGGGGCTGGATATTGTCCTGATTCTCATATTGCAGGGGCGGTGGGGTAGCCTAATGGTTAAAGCGTCTGCTCGTCGCGCCCAAGACCAGGGTTCTATTCTCCACAATGTGAAGCCCATTCCTGGTGTCCCTGCCTTGATATTGCTGTAGTATTGCTAAAAGCGGCGTAAATTCTCACTCACTCATATTGCGATATATTGGAATAATTTAAGAGATATTGCAATACATATTGACTGGAAGGTTTCTGCACCAAGTGCTTACATCATAAATTCATCCAAGCACTCTGTGTCCAACATCATCTTCTTAATTGCTGTTAAGCCATATTTTCAGCTCCAGGCTCGCTGTCCCCATTGTGTATGGCTGTATGCCAATGGTTTACAGATAAATAAATGACACAGAGCCTTAATGTAGAATGTTTAAAGGAAGTATTGAAACAAAGTTTTACGAACATACTGATAAAGATAACAGTATGACATGATTTTCATGGTCAGTGTTGCTTGCTTCAACGTGTGCGCTTTGGGAATGATATGACTGACTGACTGAGTGAACTCGGTTTTACGCCACTTTTAGCAATATTCCAGCAACATCACGGCGAGGGACACCAGAAATGGGCTTCATACAATGTACCCATGTGGGGATTCGAACCCGGGTCTTCGGCGTGACGAGCCAACGCTTTAGCCACTAGGCTACCCCACCGCCCCGGGAAGGATATGAAGCATGGGAAGGCGCGTTAGAAATATTATTCTTATTATAGTATTGTTATTATTATAAAATAGCACTTTTTATCCGTGATAATGATGCTCAATAGTGGGATCAGTCAATGGTTCGGATATACGATCACTGGATTTTATTCACGGGAAAAGCCGTTTTGTTCCGGATACATTACAACAATCAGTCAGTTTAATTTGACGCAACTTTCAGCAATATTTCAGCAATATCACGGCGGGGGACACCATAAATGGGTTTCACACATTGTACCCATGTGGGGAATCGAACCCCGGTCTTCGGCGTGACGAGCGAATGCATAACCACTTGGCTACCCCACCGGTAAGGAACACATATGAACACATCAAAGTGAACATAACATCCAAGCAAATTGAAAATATTTGGACAAAATTAAAATGATTTACCTGAAAACTTCCTTTATGTTTTCATCTGAGGAATTGTTATTTTTCTGCTGAAAAAAACCCAGTCCAAAATGAAACAATTGCATATTCAGGTTTGGAAATTGTTAGTTCTAACATTACAGTGCAAGATTAGTTAACAATAGTACAAATTCTCCTGAATTCATAGCAGAACTCGCTGTCTGCATACAAACTATTGTGGTAGTTCATGAATTTAAGTTGAGTTAATATGCAGACGACTCTAACTCAACCATAAATTTATCACAATTACATCTATTTAAAATACAAACATGCTATAGAATATGACACAGAACGAATATTTTCATATTTTATTAACAAAATGTTCCAGTTGACGGATGTGATTCACATGAAGCATAATGGGAAGGATGCAGGATTATTTGCTCTCCTTTGCTTGATAGTACTTAAAGGCATTATTTTACACCACACTTCTCTTAAAATATATAATATAAATAAAATAAACAAAAAATAAACAAGAAATTGAAAAAAAACGTATTAAGATCACAATATTGAATTAATACGTTCGAATTAATTAACGCAACGTTGCATGAAATCGACTCTCGCGCCCTCTACTGGCCGAACATTATTGCAAGTGAACCCCATGGAGTTATGTCCCTTGGAGCTCTCTTTACGAATATCCTATCCTATAACTACTCGTGTCATTCCAGCAAGCCGGATGGAGACTCGTAACCCTCTTGTGGCTATGTTCACAACAGGGCCTTGTCTAAGAGCAAACGGACACGGAGATAAAAATAGTCTAGTATTATATCCAAGGAAAGATAACTTTGAATTTCCAAACATGGCTACTCCAAGAATATCCTATATCCTGTGGGCAAAACAGCAATACAGTCATTCCCTTCGTAGAGATGTTTCAGGGCTGAAAGTTGCTGATCCTTTAGCTCAAAGTTTATGTTTAAATTGTGCTTTGCATAGTTTAGCGAAGTTTCAAAGTTCGACGATACGGCCATTTTCATACTTGAAATATAATGCATTTTACTACGCGCGATTTGATTGGCTTGCCACGATTCTTGGCAATACTTGAAATATAATGCATTTTATTACGCGCGATTTGATTGGCTTGCCACGATTCTTGACAATACTTGAAATATAATGCATTTTACTACGCGCGATTTGATTGGCTTGCCACGATTCTTGGCGATAATGGCGTACTGTACAGATACGAATCTTCTTGTAGGTCACGGAAAGAGCCTAGTAGTTACGAATGGACAAAATGGCGGCGCAACTTGCGATTGAAACCAGTTCGGCAAACACCGACAACACCGCTTGCGACAGTTTTCGATGTACTGAGCAATTGTATACATTTATGGCAAATGTACTGTTTGGAAGCTGTTCGCCCCGAAGTTTTCAATTATCGATTTCAGGCAAGTCGTGAGGGATAAACAGTCTGTTATTGCATCAATAGGAAGCTAAAGTGAGTGCATATGCCCCAGTATATATAACATAGGCCAAAACATTGTTGAAAATGTGTGTCATTGTGAATTTAAAGACAATGCATTAAGGCGTCTTAAACGTACCGAGTTGGACATTGACAAAATGTCTATTTGGTCCAGCCTCATATACAAACATACACTCTTATAGTCATCGCCGGGGCAGTGGGGTAGCCGGACACCCTGGTTCGATTCCCCATATGGGTACAATTTGTGAAGCTTATTTCTGGTGTCACACGCCGTGATATTGCTGGAACATTGCTGGAACATTGCTAAAAGCGGCGTAAAACTAAACTCACTCATTCACTCACTACTTACCACATGAAGTATCGCGATTTGTAAAAAAAACCTTAGCTGCATGTGTTTCTATTTATGAATGAGTGAGTTTAGTTTTACGCCGTACTCAGCAATATTCCAGCTATATGGCGGCGGTCTGTAAATAATCGAGTCTGGACCAGACAACCCAGTGATCAACAGCATGAGCAGCGATCTGCGCAACTGGGAACCGATGATAAGTGTCAACCGAGTCAGCGAGCCTGACCACCTGATCCCGTGAAGATCAATATTCTAATATTCTATGATTAATATATCATAGTCCAGTTAGGTGTTGGTAGTCAGATGGCCACATGGCTTACAATAAATACTTAATATCAGTAATAAACTATAAACTAATTCACACACATACATAAATTATCCGTTTGAAAAGCTGGATGAAAACACGTGCATGGTTTTCTGAGTAAAGAGTTGCTTTGAAGTGCCATCTGAAAATATATTTATGAGACTCCCCTTCCCTCATAAATATTAAATGGCCTCTCCCTAACAACACACGTGGCTATGTCTGGTCCAGACTCGATTGTATACAGACCGCCGCCATATACCTGAGTGAGTGCGGCGTAAAACTAAACTCACTCACTCTCACGTGGCTACGAAGCCAGTTTACGCCACTTGTCCAACCTTGACACAACTAAATTTGTGTTTAGACCTCACAAAAAACAACTAGATAGAGCGTAGCTTTGGTCTGGCAATCGATATACATTATAGAGATCGATAATCGTTACCTAAACATTGATCGATTATTCAGCTTTGAGCAAAAATGCCAAAAATATCTAAAAAATAAATAAATACATTTCACATTACTTTTTTGTCTTAACACAGTCAGGTCCACCCGATCACCATTTAGCTGTCAAGATGACACTCAGTTCCACTCGATCACCATTTAGCTGTGAAGATGACACTCAGTCAGTTCCACCCGATCACCATTTAGCTTTGAAGATGACACTCAGTCAGTTCCATCCGATCACCATTTAGCTGTCAAGATGACACGCAGTCAGTTCCACCCGATCACCATTTAGCTGCCAAGATGACACTCAGTCAGTTCCGTCCGATCACCATTTAGCTGTCAAGATGACACTCAGTCAGTTCCTACCGATCACCATTTAGCTGCCAAGATGACACTCAGTCAGGTCCACCCGATCACCATTTAGTTGTCAAGATGACACTCAGTCAGGTCCACCCGATCACCATTTAGCTGCCAAGATGACACTCAGTCAGGTCCTCCCGATCACCATTTAGCTGTGAAGATGACACTCAGTCAGGTCCACCCGATCACCATTTAGCTGTGAAGATGACACTCAGTCAGGTCCACCCGATCACCATTTAGTTGTCAAGATGACACTCAGTCAGGTCCACCCGATCACCATTTAGCTGTCAAGATGACACTCAGTCAGGTCCACCCGATCACCATTAAGCTGCCAAGATGACACGCAGTCAGGTCCACCCGATCACCATTAAGCTGCCAAGATGACACTCAGTCAGGTCCACCCGATCACCATTTAGCTGTCAAGATGACACTCAGTCAGGTCCACCCGATCACCATTAAGCTGCCAAGATGACACTCAGTCAGTTCCACCCGATCACCATTTAGCTGTCAAGATGACACTCAGTCAGGTCCACCCGATCACCATTAAGCTGTCAAGATGACACTCAGTCAGGTCCACCCGATCACCATTTAGCTGCCAAGATGACACTCAGTCAGGTCCACCCGATCACCATTTAGTTCTCAAGATGACACTCAGTCAGTTCCAGCCCATCACCATTTAGCTGTCAAGATGACACTCAGTCAGGTCCACCCGATCACCATTTAGCTGCCAAGATGACACTCAGTCAGTTCCATCCGATCACCATTTAGCTGTCAAGATGACACTCAGTCAGGTCCACCCGATCACCATTTAGTTGTGAAGATGACACGCAGTCAGTTCCGCCCGATCACCATTTAGCTATGAAGATGACACTCAGTCAGTTCCACCCGATCACCATTTAGCTGTGAAGATGACGCTCAGTCAGTTCCACCCGATCACCATTTAGCTGTCAAAGTGACACTCAGTCAGTTCCACCCGATCACCATTTAGCTGCCAAGATGACACTCAGTCAGGTGCACCCGATCACCATTTAGCTGTCAAGATGACACTCAGTCAGGTCCACCCGATCACCATTTAGCTGCCAAGATGACACTCAGTCAGGTCCACCCGATCACCATTTAGCTGCCAAGACACGTGATTGTGAGAATATCTTGCCGTTTTGTAACTGAAGGATTCCTGATGTATATCACGAATCCCTGCAGTAATAAAGCCATAAGAGAATCGGAGCCCTGGGGTGGCCTTGTGGTTATAGAGTTCGCTCGTCACGCCGAAGACGAAGAGTTCGATTACACACATGGGTACAATGTGTGAAGCCCAGTTTTGGTGTCATCCGACGTGATCTTGCTGGAAACATTGGTAAAATCGACGTAAAACAATATTCATTTACTCACTACCACAAGAGAATCAGTGAGTGAGTGAGTTTGGTTTAACGCCACTTTGAGCGTCAGCATGCTGTTGGAGGAAAATGGTGCAAGGCTCATACGAGTGTCAGTGGTACGGTATGGTGCTGGCATACCTCGACATACAATCCACATTCACATCAGAACACTTTCAGGACTAATACAATTTCACAATTGTCGCCTGTACGTTTAATGGTGGCATTGTTTTTTTTGTGTTTCGTGACGCTGCTAAAACGTCCCGCCTTCAATTTCTTGTTTAGCCTGTTTGTGACGTTTACGTTGTTCGTGGATGCAGACGTAGATGACTCCGGCGACGACGAAGATCGCGATGCACGCACCTGCTATACTGCCCACTGGAGGACCACCCTCGGCTGAAAACAAGCATCAGTATCATGATACACAAGTGTATGGGTGGGTGAAGATTGTGATGCACGCACCTGGAACAAAGCCCACAGGCGGACCACCCTCGGCTGAAAACAAGCATCAGTATCATGATACACAAGTGTATGGGTGGGTGAAGATTGTGATGCACGCACCTGCTATACTGCCCTCTGGAGGACCACCCTCGGTTGAAAACAAGCATCAGTATCATGATACACAAGTGTATGGGTGGGTGAAGATGGTGATACGCGCACCTGGAACAGACCCCCCCCACCCCCCACCCCTGCTGAAAACAGAATGTCACCTTCACCTGAAGCAAGAACCGAGCATTCTGATCATTTACTAATTCTACAGTATGAGAAGGGGAAGTAACTGGCTACTTACTTCGCTGGCCGCCGGTGTTGTGTTCTGTTGAGTAAGCAATTTTGAAGCCGGATCTATTGTCGAAGGAATTACTTGTGAATCTGAGAATGAGGAATGGCCCGACACTCCGGAAATGCCCCCTGTCCTGTCCACACAAACGGCCGGATGTTTTTTCCGTGGGATAGAGTCCTGGAAGGTATTGATTTACTTATAAAAAAATTCATCAACATCCCCATGTTAGGGAGGCTATTATGTGGCTTTAGTTTTTAATATTCTGAATACATTTTGTGATGTACACCTCAGGACCTTTAGAGAATATCATATAACTTTTAGTCACATATGCGCTTCCTTGTCTTGGTTGAGTGAGTGAGTGAGTGCGTGCGTGAGTAAGTGATTTTTACATAATAAAACCATGAGGGAAATCAAATTCCGTTGGAATTCAATGGAATTGAACTTCCCATATTTTATTATCTGTTACTATTTCACACATATTGGCCACATGATCCTTTCGGTGAAACCTATGAGTAATGAAACCCTAGTTCAGACCAAGGATCATTATCGAGGCGTATCTTGAATGTGACCATCAGATCCTAGTTCGACAAAGGGCCATAACTCTTCACAACGACACAAGAACCCATTAACTTCTGGGCGCAACCAGACCCTACTTCTTGTCCAAGTCACCATTAAACTGTACCACCTTCCAGAACCCAAGGATGTTTGTGTTACCCACCATAGATGACGTACACGAAGTCACCTTAAACTATACCACCATCCAGAACCCAAGGATGTGTGTGTTACCCGCCATAGATGGCGTACACCAAGTCACCTTAAACTATACCACCATCCAGAACCCAAGGATGTTTGTGTTACCCACCATAGATGACGTACACGAAGTCACCTTAAACTATACCACCATCCAGAACCCAAGGATGTGTGTGTTACCCGCCATAGATGACGTACACCAAGTCACCTTAAACTATACCACCATCCAGAACCCAAGGATGTTTGTGTTACCCACCATAGATGACGTACACGAAGTCACCCTGAAACTGTACCACCATCCAGAACCCAAGGATGTGTGTGTTACCCGCCATAGATGACGTACACCAAGTGACCCTTAAACTATACCACAATCCAGAACCCAAGGATGTTTGTGTTACCCACCATAGATGACGTACACCAAGTCACCCTCAAACTGTACCACCATCCAGAACCCAAGGATGTGTTGTGTTACCCACCATAGATGACGTACACCAAGTCACCTTAAACTATACCACCATCCAGAACCCAAGGATGTTTTAGTGTTACCCACCATAGATGACGTACACTAAGTCACCCTGAAACTGTACCACCATCCAGAACCCAAGGATGTTTGTGTTACCCGCCATAGATGACGTACACCAAGTCACCCTTAAACTATACCACCATCCAGAACCCAAGGATGTGTGTGTTACCCGCCATAGATGACGTACACCAAGTCACCCTTAAACTATACCACCATCCAGAACCCAAGGATGTGTGTGTTACCCGCCATAGATGACGTACACCAAGTCACCTTAAACTATACCACCATCCAGAACCCAAGGATGTGTGTGTTACCCGCCATAGATGACGTACACCAAGTCACCCTTAAACTATACCACAATCCAGAACCCAAGGATGTTTGTGTTACCCACCATAGATGACGTACACCAAGTCACCCTGAAACTGTACCACCATCCAGAACCCAAGGATGTGTGTGTTACCCGCCATAGATGACGTACACCAAGTCACCTTAAACTATACCACCATCCAGAACCAAAGGATGTTTGTGTTACCCGCCATAGATGACGTACACCAAGTGACCTTAAACTATACCACAATCCAGAACCCAAGGATGTTTGTGTTACCCACCATAGATGACGTACACCAAGTCACCCTGAAACTGTACCACCATCCAGAACCCAAGGATGCTTGTGTTACCCGCCATAGATGACGTACACCAAGTCACCTTAAACTATACCACCATCCAGAACCCAAGGATGTGTGTGTTACCCGCCATAGATGACGTACACCAAGTCACCCTGAAACTGTACCACCATCCAGAACCCAAGGAGGTTTGTGTTACCCACCATAGATGACGTACACCAAGTCACCCTTAAACTTTACCACCATCCAGAACCCAAGGATGTGTGTGTTACCCGCCATAGATGACGTACACCAAGTCACCATTAAACTATACCACCATCCAAAACCCAAGGATGTTTGTGTTACCCGCCATAGATGACGTACACCAAGTCACCCTTAAACTTTACCACCAGCCAGAACCCAAGGAAGTTTGTGTTACCTACCATAGATGACGTACACCAAGTGACCCTTAAACTATACCACCATCCAGAACCCAAGGATTTTTGTGTTACCCGCCATAGATGACGTACACCAAGTCACCCTTAAACTTTACCACCATCAAGAACCCAAGGAGGTTTGTGTTACCCACCATAGATGACGTACACCAAGTCACCTTAAACTATACCACCATCCAGAACCCAAGGATGTTTGTGTTACCCGCCATAGATGACGTACACCATGTCACCCTTAAACTTTACCACCATCCAGAACCCAAGGATGTTTGTGTTACCCACCATAGATGACGTACACCAAGTCACCCTTAAACTTTACCACCACCCAGAACCCAAGGATGTTTGTGTTACCCGCCATAGATGACGTACACCAAGTCACCCTTAAACTATACCACCATCCAGAAACCAAGGATGTGTGTGTTACCCGCCATAGATGGCGTACACCAAGTCACCTTAAACTATACCACCATCCAGAACCCAAGGATGTGTGTGTTACCCGCCATAGATGGCGTACACCAAGTCACCTTAAACTATACCACCATCCAGAACCCAAGGATGTTTGTGTTACCCACCATAGATGACGTACACGAAGTCACCTTAAACTATACCACCATCCAGAACCCAAGGATGTGTGTGTTACCCGCCATAGATGACGTACACCAAGTCACCTTAAACTATACCACCATCCAGAACCCAAGGATGTTTGTGTTACCCACCATAGATGACGTACACGAAGTCACCCTGAAACTGTACCACCATCCAGAACCCAAGGATGTGTGTGTTACCCGCCATAGATGACGTACACCAAGTGACCCTTAAACTATACCACAATCCAGAACCCAAGGATGTTTGTGTTACCCACCATAGATGACGTACACCAAGTCACCCTCAAACTGTACCACCATCCAGAACCCAAGGATGTGTGTGTTACCCACCATAGATGACGTACACCAAGTCACCTTAAACTATACCACCATCCAGAACCCAAGGATGTTTGTGTTACCCACCATAGATGACGTACACTAAGTCACCCTGAAACTGTACCACCATCCAGAACCCAAGGATGTTTGTGTTACCCGCCATAGATGACGTACACCAAGTCACCCTTAAACTATACCACCATCCAGAACCCAAGGATGTGTGTGTTACCCGCCATAGATGACGTACACCAAGTCACCTTAAACTATACCACCATCCAGAACCCAAGGATGTGTGTGTTACCCGCCATAGATGACGTACACCAAGTCACCTTAAACTATACCACCATCCAGAACCCAAGGATGTGTGTGTTTACCCGCCATAGATGACGTACACCAAGTCACCCTTAAACTATACCACAATCCAGAACCCAAGGATGTTTGTGTTACCCACCATAGATGACGTACACCAAGTCACCCTGAAACTGTACCACCATCCAGAACCCAAGGATGTGTGTGTTACCCGCCATAGATGACGTACACCAAGTCACCTTAAACTATACCACCATCCAGAACCAAAGGATGTTTGTGTTACCCGCCATAGATGACGTACACCAAGTGACCTTAAACTATACCACAATCCAGAACCCAAGGATGTTTGTGTTACCCACCATAGATGACGTACACCAAGTCACCCTGAAACTGTACCACCATCCAGAACCCAAGGATGCTTGTGTTACCCGCCATAGATGACGTACACCAAGTCACCTTAAACTATACCACCATCCAGAACCCAATGATGTTTGTGTTACCCGCCATAGATGAGGTACACCAAGTCACCCTTAAACTTTACAACCATCCAGAACCCAAGGAGGTTTGTGTTACCCACCATAGATGACGTACACGAAGTCACCCTTAAACTTTACCACCATCCAGAACCCAAGGATTTTTGTGTTACCCGCCATAGATGACGTACACCAAGTCACCCTTAAACTATACCACCATCCAGAACCCAAGGATGTTTGTGTTACCCGCCATAGATGACGTACACCAAGTCACCCTGAAACTGTACCACCATCCAGAACCCAAGGAGGTTTGTGTTACCCACCATAGATGACGTACACCAAGTCACCCTTTAAACTTTACCACCATCCAGAACCCAAGGATGTGTGTGTTTACCCGCCATAGATGACGTACACCAAGTCACCATTAAACTATACCACCATCCAAAACCCAAGGATGTTTGTGTTTACCCGCCATAGATGACGTACACCAAGTCACCCTTAAACTTTTACCACCAGCCAGAACCCAAGGAAGTTTGTGTTACCTACCATAGATGACGTACACCAAGTGACCCTTAAACTATATACCACCATCCAGAACCCAAGGATTTTTGTGTTACCCGCCATAGATGACGTACACCAAGTCACTCTTAAACTTTACCTCCATCCAGAACCCAAGGAGGTTTGTGTTACCCACCATAGATGACGTACACCAAGTCACCTTAAACTATACCACCATCCAGAACCCAAGGATTTTTGTGTTACCCGCCATAGATGACGTACACCAAGTCACCCTTAAACTTTACCACCATCCAGAACCCAAGGAGGTTTGTGTTACCCACCATAGATGACGTACACCAAGTCACCTTAAACTATACCACCATCCAGAACCCAAGGATGTTTGTGTTACCCGCCATAGATGACGTACACCAAGTCACCCTTAAACTATACCACCATCCAGAAACCAAGGATGTTTGTGTTACCCGCCATAGATGACGTACACCAAGTCACCCTTAAACTATACCATCATCCAGAACCCAAGGATGTTTGTGTTACCCGCCATAGATGACGTACACCAAGTCACCCTTAAACTGTACCACCATCCAGAACCCAAGGAGGTTTGTGTTACCCACCATAGATGACGTACACCAAGTCACCTTAAACTATACCACCATCCAGAACCCAATGATGTTTGTGTTACCCGCCATAGATGACGTACACCAAGTCACCCTTAAACTTTACAACCATCCAGAACCCAAGGAGGTTTGTGTTACCCACCATAGATGACGTACACGAAGTCACCCTTAAACTTTACCACCATCCAGAACCCAAGGATTTTTGTGTTACCCGCCATAGATGACGTACACCAAGTCACCCTTAAACTATACCACCATCCAGAACCCAAGGATGTTTGTGTTACCCGCCATAGATGACGTACACCAAGTCACCCTGAAACTGTACCACCATCCAGAACCCAAGGAGGTTTGTGTTACCCACCATAGATGACGTACACCAAGTCACCTTAAACTATACCACCATCCAGAACCCAATGATGTTTGTGTTACCCACCATAGATGACGTACACCAAGTCACCCTTAAACTTTACAACCATCCAGAACCCAAGGAGGTTTGTGTTAGCCACCATAGATGACGTACACCAAGTCACCCTTAAACTGTACCACCATCCAGAACCCATGGATGTTTGTGATACCCGCCATAGATGACGTACACCAAGTCACCCTTAAACTATACCATCATCCAGAACCCAAGGATTTTTGTGTTACCCACCATAGATGACGTACACCAAGTCACCCTTAAACTGTACCACCATCCAGAACCCAAGGAGGTTTGTGTTACCCACCATAGATGACGTACACCAAGTCACCTTAAACTATACCACCATCCAGAACCCAAGGATGTTTGTGTTACCCGCCATAGATGACGTACACCAAGTCACCCTGAAACTGTACCACCATCCAGAACCCAAGGAGGTTTGTGTTACCCACCATAGATGACGTACACCAAGTCACCCTTAAACTATACCACCATCCAGAACCCAAGGATTTTTGTGTTACCCGCCATAGATGACGTACACCAAGTCACCCTTAAACTATACCACCATCCAGAACCCAAGGAGGTTTGTGTTACCCGCCATAGATGACGTACACCAAGTCACCCTTAAACTGTACCACCATCCAGAACCCATGGATGTTTGTGATACCCGCCATAGATGACGTACACCAAGTCACCCTTAAACTATACCATCATCAAGAACCCAAGGATGTTTGTGTTACCCACCATAGATGACGTACACCAAGTCACCCTTAAACTTTACCACCACCCAGAACCCAAGGATTTTTGTGTTACCCGCCATAGATGACGTACACCAAGTCACCCTTAAACTTTACCACCATCCAGAACCCAAGGATGGTGTTACCCACCACAGATGACGTACACCAAGTGACCCTTAAACTATACCACAATCCAGAACCCAAGGATGTTTGTGTTACCCGCCATAGATGACGTACACCAAGTCACCCTTAAACTTTACCACCATCCAGAACCCAAGGAGGTTTGTGTTACCCACCATAGATGACGTACACCAAGTCACCTTAAACTATACCACCATCCAGAACCCAAGGATGTTTGTGTTACCCGCCATAGATGACGTACACCATGTCACCCTTAAACTTTACCACCATCCAGAACCCAAGGATGTTTGTGTTACCCACCATAGATGACGTACACCAAGTCACCCTTAAACTTTACCACCACCCAGAACCCAAGGATTTTTGTGTTACCCGCCATAGATGACGTACACCAAGTCACCCTTAAACTATACCACCATCCAGAACCCAAGGATGTTTGTGTTACCCACCACAGATGACGTACACCAAGTCACCCTTAAACTATACCACCATCCAGAACCCATGGATGTTTGTGATACCCGCCATAGATGAGGTACACCAAGTCACCCTTAAACTATACCACCATCCAGAACCCAAGGATGTTTGTGTTACCCGCCATAGATGACGTACACCAAGTCACCCTTAAACTGTACCACCATCCAGAACCCAAGGAGGTTTGTGTTACCCACCATAGATGACGTACACCAAGTCATCTTAAACTATACCACCATCCAGAACCCAATGATGTTTGTGTTACCCGCCATAGATGACGTACACCAAGTCACCCTTAAACTTTACAACCATCCAGAACCCAAGGAGGTTTGTGTTACCCACCATAGATGACGTACACGAAGCCACCCTTAAACTTTACCACCATCCAGAACCCAAGGATTTTTGTGTTACCCGCCATAGATGACGTACACCAAGTCACCCTTAAACTATACCACCATCCAGAACCCAAGGAGGTTTGTGTTACCCACCATAGATGACGTACACCAAGTCACCCTTAAACTGTACCACCATCCAGAACCCATGGATGTTTGTGTTACCCACCATAGATGACGTACACCAAGTCACCCTTAAACTTTACCACCATCCAGAACCCAAGGATTTTTGTGTTACCCGCCATAGATGACGTACACCAAGTGACCCTTAAACTATACCACCATCCAGAACCCATGGATGTTTGTGTTACCCGCCATAGATGACGTACACCAAGTCACCCTTAAACTATACCACCATCCAGAACCCATGGATGTTTGTGTTACCCACCATAGATGACGTACACCATGTCACCCTTAAACTATACCACCATCCAGAACCCAAGGATGTGTGTGTTACCCACCATAGATGACGTACACCAAGTCACCCTTAAACTTTACCACCGTCCAGTACCCAAGGATGTTTGTGTTACCCACCGTAGATGACGTACACCAAGTCACCCTTAAACTTTACCACCGTCCAGTACCCAAGGATGTTTGTGTTACCCACCGTAGATGATGTACACCAAGTCACTGCAGTCGTTGGGGAGGTCGGACTTGACCACGTTGATAAGGACGACGTAGTTGATCCTGGGAGCTGAGATCCTCCAGGTGCAGTCGTTGTTGCTGCCAACAAAGAAGAAACACAATATGTACACGGTCGTGGCCAAGACTGAATGAGTGAGTGAGTGAGTGAGTTTTACGTCACTTTTAGCAATATCACGGCTTGGGACACCAGAAATGGGCTTCATACATTGTACCCATGTGGGGTATCGAACCCGTGTCTTCGGCGTGATGAGCGAACGCTTTAACCACTGGGCTACCCCACTGTCCACTGTGAAGGTAACACCACTGGCACAAAATAGTTTGCATATCACGTGAGCACATGTAAATACGGGTTACAAATGACCTTCAGTAACCCATGTTTGTCGTAAGAGGCGACTAACGGCATCAGGAGGTCAGGTTCACTGACCAGATTGACACATTTCATCGTATCCCAAATGCATAGGTCGATGCTCATGATGTTGTTCACTGGAATGTCTGGTCCAGGCTGAATTATCTACGCATCGCCGCCATATAGCTGGAATACTGCTGAGAGCGGTGGTAAACAACAAACCAACAAAGGAGAATCTGGATTTGAACCGGTAATCATAGGTTCCTGGAAACCTTAAGGTATGCAACTCAGTAAACTGTAATGCGAGCTGACAGACTCGTCCATTTCCGTAACCTGAAAGAAGAGTCGAACCCCTCTCGTAGCCATTTACTGAACTTGACTCTGTCTGAGCGCAAAAGCGCAGAGAGAAAGAAATAGTCTAGGCGCCGAACTATTTTCAAGGGCATGTAACTCGAGTTTACTTCGAAAACAAACATGGCATCCACGCCAAGGAAATTACCTCAAGGGGTATGTTTAGCATGCTTGAATACTTTCCTACGCTATAATGTTAATACATCCTGGTTATAAAAATTCAGAAACCCAGGAAGAAAATGCAATAATTAAAATATACTTGAAGTGTTCGGGAAAAAATTATGCAAGCCGAAATAAAACATATTTCAACTAACTATTTTGACCAAATTTCTTCTCTACATACGCGCATTCTGATTGGCTGGGGGAATATTTCTCCCGGACATGGCTACGAGATGGGTACGAGTCTTCTTTCAGGTTACGGAAAGGGACGAGTAGTTACGAATGAGAGAGTACAGGTGTCGGTACTTACACAGAGTAAGGGCCAGGGAAATTTGGAGAGCTAAGATATTTCGTCACATCCGCTGAAGCTTTCAGGTCGACAAGGCCCGGTTTGCACTTGGACGCGCCTGAACAGGAATCATGGTCAGTGGTAATAAATCACGTGATGTTACATGATATCCATGTAAGATAATTCCAATAATAACTGGACCTTTTTAAATCCTGGATCCAATGTTTTTTCTAACAAAAAAATGATTAATATATTTAACAGCTTGAGGTCTCTTCTAAATCAGGTCTTAGTTCTCACTATCCTGAAAACGAAACAAATAATTTCTTTTTAATTGAAAAAAAGTCCCAGTGAGGTGAGAGATTCCGCCGGAGGAATTCTAGACTTGCTTTATTAGGACTTTACCATTGCAGAAAGGGCTTTACCAGTGCAGAAAGGGCTTTACCATTGCAGAAAGGGCTTTGCTGAAGGTAGTATCTCACAGTCCCCGAACCGCATTATTTCTCCCTTCTGTCCAGCCAACCTCGCCAGGCTAAAGTTCTAAATGAAGCAAGTCTAGATTTCCTCTGGTTCATTTTCTGAATCTCCCTCCTCAATGGGGCTCCTTTTCAATTTAAAATGAATTATTTGTTTCTACCAAAGTTATATATATTCAGTGACTAAGCATTATCATAGACTGAATGGACTGACTGACTGAGTTTGGTTTTTACGCCGTGATTCCAGCAACATCACGACGGGGACACCAGAAATGGGCTTCACACATTGTACCCATGTGGGAATTCGAACCCGGGTCTTCGGCGTGACGAGCCAACGCTTTAACCACTAGGCTACCCCACCGCCCCTTGAATGGAACTGTGAGACAGATTATCGCTACCGCTGAACAAAGTCCTGAGGAGATTCTATTACGGGTCACGTATGAATGACGTTTTATGCAACTAAGCAGCGCGTCGGTTGCCATATGTTGGAAGTGATATCGGAATCCGTTTGCTAGTAATGCAAGCTCGATAAACCTCACATACAATACTCTGAAAGAGTTACAGGCTGTACGACTGATAACGTAAAAATATCTAAATTCTGCAGCATTGACAGGACACACATTTGAACGGAAGAATTAACATATCCCACAGGAAGCACTGTCATACGATAATGGCTATCTAGTAGACATCCCAGAATGTTCTTTTGTTTACGATTAAACCTTTCAACCAACAACTTTGTTGGAAAGGAAGTCTCAAATTTTAGAGAAATACCCTATACGTCGAGAAAGCTGCATTCTGATTGGCTGACATCCACTTCTTGTTCGTCATTTCATTGGTCATCAAAGTTTGCAAAACATCGTGCTGACGTACCCCGTTATAGTAAGTCATAAGATCTTTGTTTAGCGGAAGCAAAAACTAAGAGATGATTTTCAATGGATTGATTTGAAATGACAAGGCCAAAATGAGTCGATGAAAAAGATATTTAATATCGACTTCACGTTTTTCAAAGTTCCCAGATATCATTCTGACGAGACATATGGATGTTCTAAGATCTTTGTTGGTAGCAGTGAGTGAGTCAACGTTGCCTAAACCGCATCAACAATACTGCGTTTAGCGGTAGCAAAACATAAGATATCCTTTTCCTGACGTTGGTATGAAATGACAACGAAGTCGATCGACACCAACGATCCATCCAAATACACTGAATCGAGTGAAACTATAGTTTCCGGTGAATGCAGATACGTTTAGTGGTGAGGTGAAATGGGGTTTAAAGTCGCACTTAAGAATATTCCACTCATATGACGACGTGCTTGCGTGTGTATATGTATGGCAGTTTGTACTAACCCAGACATAAGCTGGTTTTATAGTGCTAGTTCACCGAGATACCATGCCGCAGTTAAGCATGAATTCCCTACTCAGACACATTATACTGACTCCGAGCCGACCAGTCCTTGATGTACCCGAGCGCCAGGCAGGGACCAACACGTACCATATTTTAACGTCTTTTGGTATGACGCGGGTTTGGATCGAACCCGCGACCCTCCGCTCTCCGGGCGGACACTCTAACCACTACACCACGGGGTGATACGTTTAGAAATACACTCATAAGCACATATACACTCATTATCCCCCGCAACGCGTTTTGCGGGGGGTATTAAAATGGACTCCGTCCGTCCGTGTGTCCGTGCACATTCATTTTCTCCGAAGCAGAACATTAAAACTGTTCAATATCTTCACCAAACTTGGCACATAGATAGGTCTAGTGGTGAACTGGTGCCTCTTGAAATTCTGAATCAAATTTTTTTTTTTAAGTTTCCATGGCAACAAATTTGACTTTGACTGAAATTGGTGGTAGTGCTCTTTTCCAGAGCAGAACTTAAAAACCGTTTACAATTTCTTCACCAAACTTGGCACATAGATAGGTCTGGTGGTGAACTGGTGCCTTTTGGTAGTTTTTGGAATTCTGAATAAAATGTTCTTTTGCGTTTCCATGGCAATAAGTTTGACTTCGACTGAATTTGGCGGCAGTGCTCTTTTCCGGGGGAGAACTTTAAAACTATAAATATTTGTTCACCAAATCTGGCACATAGGTAGGTGTACTTGTGCCTTTTGGTAGATTTGGAATTCTGAATAAAATATTTTTTGGGGTTTCCATGGCAACAAATTTGACTTCGACTGAATTTAGTGGTAGTGCTCCTTTCTGGAGCAGAAATTAAAAACCTTCCAATACTCACCTTCCATCTTGCTATATACACGCCAAAACATTTGACATAATCATAACTAAGAGCATCCTAACTAATCATGAAGATTACTTTGCCATTGAGGGGATATTGATGACTTGATGTCTTCTTGTATATCTGTATTTACTTTTGCTGAGTGCGGCGTAAAACTCAACTGACTCACTATATTTACTCACTCAGTAAAGCAAAATGTGTCACTGTTAAAGGGCCAGGGAAGTCGCCGTGAGATGTCGCCACTACAAAGGTGAGATAACTCTTGTCTCCCGTGACTGCGATGGAGGGAGTTTGCTTCCAGCACCACTTCCGTAACAACCGGCAGTGAGGGTTACCTATGGAACAAGAACAGCTGTCGAGTCAATTGACAGTTCCTCACAGTTCAAATCAGATCCAAAACGGGTTAGACACAGGAAACGACATGAGTAGTGAGTGAGTTTACTTTTACGCCGCTTCCAGCAATATTCCAGCAATATAACGGCGGGGAACACCAGAAATGGGCTTCACTCATTGTACTTATATGGGGACTCGAACCCGGATCTTCGGCGTGACGAGCGAACGCTTGCTTTAACCATTAGGCTACTCCACCGCACCCGTAAGAGACATGAAAAATACTTTTGTAACCGTTTCGATGTATGGCGTGGGCCGGATCAACACACACTGCTTGGGAAGAAACTAAACTAGATTCCTAGTACACGAATATATGGCTTTTGCATTGAATAAAACTTTCTCCCGGTCAGCAGACTAGCTAGGCTTTTGAAGTACAGACTGAATGACGGAGTTTGGTTTTACGCCGCTTTTAGCAATATTCCAGCAACATCACGGCGGGTGACACCAGAAATGGGCTTCAGACATTGTACTCATTGGATAGGATTTCAGCGTGACGAGCCAACGCTTTAGCCATTAGGCTACCCCAACGTCTCCCCTTTGAAGTGGGCCACAGATGTCTGACATAGGTTGGGTGTTGACGGGAGTAAGTACATATTCTAGTGCTTTGTTGGGTTGTTGTTGTTAAACATTTTCAAAGGGTAACAGGCGTGTAGTGTGATTTTACCGTCGTATATATTGATGTAACTATGGTTACACTCCTTGTCCGGAGATGTGGCGTTGAAGAAATTTCGGCTCAACTTCAGATTGACGATGTGGTCGGCGTGGTCAGTGGTGATGTTGTAGATGTAGTAGCCGTTACTGGGGAGACAAAGGGTTGAGAGTAATCAGTAATGTGTGAGTGCGTGAGTGAGTATGGCTTTACGTGAGTGAGAATGATTTTAGCAATAATCCAGCAATACCACGGCGGAGGGGAAAATCAGAAATGGGCGTCACACATTGCACCCATGCCCCAAGTGTGGAATTGAACTCGGGTCTTCAGCGTGACTTAACTTAACTATATCCCCCACCCCCACCCCCGTCTGGACCAGACAATCCAGTGAGCAACATCGATAGAGAACGCAAGACAAGTGTCAACTCTTACGACGAGCAAGGGTTCCTGAGTACCAATTCTAACCCCGATCTTCACGGGTTTAGAAAATTGCTAAAGCGGCGTAAAATCATAGTCAATCACCCATTGTTAGTCTACGGACATTTCAGCCTCCTCTCTTAGTTTGCTGAACACTCACTATTTACAGGCGGCCATGTCAAGCATTGACGTCACGGCTGCGTCAGTAGTGGCCTTCACCTTCTTCACGCCGCCATTACACGCTCGGTCTGAAACAGGTGTGAGATAAACATGAGTGGGTTCAACGCCGTTCCGTTCGGATGTTCTTTAATTGATCGTATTTAACGCCACATTCAGCAATATCCCTGCGGTTGATATTATGATGAACGTTCCAAGCTGTATTGGAACTAGTCCAGGAGGCGGCAGCTGAAAAATATGAAATCGTAACCTCCCCAGTACTGATTTTGTTTGTCGTGCCACTTGGTTCAAGTATTCGAAAACCTTGCTGGCCATATGGATTTTGCTATCTGATTTAGAGTAGGTGTCTATCTCTGCCCGACTGGATAAATGAGAGTGTATAGTGTCAAACAAACTCAGTACTTGGGAGGGCTACGAAATCATATTCTAGGCCCCTTTTGAGATTTTCATCCTGGACTAAACGATGACAAGTTATCACGTCATCGAGCTCGATGCCATTTATCCAGTCGGGCAGAGATGGACACGTACTCTAAATCAGATAGCCAGATCCATATGGCCAGCAAGGCGTTCGAATACTTGAACCATGTGACGACAAAAAATACTATTTGCTCTCGCTCGTAAAATTAAACATAAAATTTGTAAAATTCGGGAAAGAAACACTACCTCAAAAAACGTAGTACAGATGAGGTTCACGATGGTGGAGTGTTTTACGGTATGTATACATTGTATTGTGTATATTGTATATATTGTACCGGACGGGCATGAAAGGTCCAGTTTATTGATAAATTCTATATTTACCTAGTGACGTCACGCGAAGCAGCAACTTGTCCTCTGATTGGTCGGTGAAGTTGCTGATGAATATGACCGGCCCCGTGCTGCGATATGTCGTCGTGTTATCGGTGAAGGTGCCCTCCAGTTGTTTACCATTGGGGTTGTCTGTGTGGAGTGAAATGGAGACGGGAATTATTGCATCCTGTACTGAATTCAGCGAGCCTACTTGTCCACGTGGGTTACAGATATTACACTGCTATCAGTGAGGGAGTATGGTTTTGCGCCACTTTTAACAATATTCCAGCAATATCGCGGCGGGGGCACCAGAAATGGGCTTCACACATTGTTCCCACGTGGGGAATCGAACCCCGGTCTTCGGACGAAACGAGCGAACGCTCTTACCACTGGGCTACCCCACGGCCACAGCGCGTGTGAAAGTAAGTAAGCATGCATGTGAGTGAGCGATAGGGGGTGTATGTGAGTGCGTGAACGAACGATCGGGTCCGTGAGCGTGTATGATGAGATTGTGAACACATCATAAGGTTTATCCCAAAACACATATACAGTGTGGATAGGCCATGAATCACAATTGTTGAAACAAGGATTCTGATAGAACAACGGAGGCAACTGTGCATGACAAATATGTGTCACCAGTAATTTCCAGATGAAGTATGTCGGTTATAACCTTGGAGCGAGGTATTCTTAGGACGACCTTCAGTCGATGTGTATGAGTGAGTGAATTTAGTTTTACGCCGCTTTCAGCAATATTCCAGCAATATCTCGGTGGGGGACATCAGAAGTGGGCTTCACACATTGTACCCATGTGGGGAATCGAAACCGGGACTTAGGCGTGACGAGAGAACGCTTTAACCATGAAGCCACACACACGCACGCGCGCACGCACGCACGCACGCACGCACGCACACACACAGAGACAGAGAGAGGAGAGAGAGAGAGAGAGAGAGAGAGAGAGAGAATGTGTTTCAGAAAACAACAGTTCGTGTAACAAAACTCTATTTACAAGAAAGAAGCCGACTGACCTTGAGTGACATAGAAGCAGTTTGGATTACAGCCGGCATCGATCACGTCAAGTCTCACGGTTTTCGTGAAGTCTCGCGAGACCAGCTTCACCTGTCTGAAACACAAGTAAATAGTGAAATGCCAGAAACGGAAACGGTTCTTTTCCAACTTTTAAATAGAAACATAGTCTCTAACAGAAACGAAATCTTGATGCTGAAAGTCTTCTTGTTGTCTATCAAGGGGAAATAAAGAACCATCCTCATTTTGTTTATCCCCCGTGATCCTCCGTGAAGTTACGAGATCCTCCGTGATGTTCCGTGATCCTCCGTGATGTTACGAGATCCTCCGTGATGTTCCGTGATCCTCCGTGATGTTCCGTGATCCTCCGTGATGTTCCGTGATCCTCCGTGATGTTCCGTGATCGTCCGTGATGTTCCAGGTTGCAAGGATCAGGTGGTCAAGATGGCTTGGCTTGAAGTCATCGTACCTCATCCCATTGATTGGTGCTCATGATGTCAATCACTCCATACCGTAGTTGTATGACTACTACTGGTCCACAAACAAACAACATCCTTACAGAAGGGAGTCGTGTCACCAATATTTACCCTTGGATCTGGCCGGAGTACCATGTGTAGGGAGTCGTCGGACCAATATTTACCCTTGGATCTGGCCGGAGTACCATGTGTAGGGAGATGTGGGACCAATATTTACCCTTGGATCTGGCCGGAGTACCATGTGTAGGGAGATATGTGACCAATATTTACCCTTGGATCTGGCCGGAGTACCATGTGTAGGGAGATATGTGACCAATATTTACCCTTGGATGTGGCCGGAGTACCATATGTAGGTGGGGGAAGACGTCACCTCTACGACATCGGCGGTGTCATCACCTCCAAAAACAAAAAAATGTCATTTACCTAATTACAGTATATAATTACCAAATATTACGGACTGGGCACCAACTTACCAGAAAACAAACGCTTCATTGTTATAATTTCAGTGGGTCCCTCAAAAAGCCTTTATTTCTTCAATGTAATGTTTATTTTGTTCACCAGTTTACCTCATAAAGCTTAAGTAAACCATAGAAATGAAATCGTTGTGAGAATATATCTTAGGCCATGTATTTTTGTAATGTGTTTTACATCTCCATCTTCAACCATATGCAAATATTGTATGCGCGCGCACACATTCAATTATATATTTTAAATTATTATTTTAGGTCGGAATGAAAAATCAACGTATGGACAGTCTCACCGACGTTGTTGCTGATGCTGGTTGCTATGAGGGTAAATTTGCAGAGCGGGAGTGACATCGTGGTAGGTGTCGTTGTATTTGTCACGGATGGTGTCGTGGCGGTGAAGTTGATGGTGAGGCTCGTGCTGGTAGTTATGACACGTGAGAAAGGCGGGATTGGATGGCGCCAGGAGATGGTGAGTTGAGAGGTAGTGGGTGTATCTGTTGGAAAACAAGGGTGTCATGCTCGTTCATTGAACGTTCAGTGTATCCAGGGGTGGATACAGCTTTTCAAGAAAGGGAGGTGCACTCTCTTTAGAAAGGTGTGCGTGTGTGTGTGTGCGTGTGTGCGTGCGTGCGTGCATGCGTGCGCGCACACACACACTTCATTTTCATGGGAGTTCCAATGGTCATTTAATAGACTTTCAGGACAAAGGGGGTCATGGAACACCCACCCCACCCCCACCCCTCACGATCCGCCTATGGTACCTATACCCTCATGAAACTTCATATATTATGCAGATTAACATTGTATGAGGGTAAAGTTGCAGCACAGGACGTCCGCATAGGACATCAGCACATTACATCAGCAGATGTCATCAGCACATGACATACGGGTAAACCTGTATGTGTGTCAATCGACCTACACATTGAACACAATAAACCGTGCTCACGAGACCGGAAGTGAGGTATAAGTGGACGTGTACCCGTATGTAACATACGTACCTTCATACATCTGCAGGTGTGTATTATTGCAGCCCCTGGGCGATGTGTCCCCCCAGTTCTTCAGGGTGAGCGAGATGCGACGGTCGCCTGTAGTCCTCAGATGGTACACGCACCTCTGTCTGTAAATAACACATACAGTATGGTTGGTTGGTTGGTTGTTTTACGTCACACTCAGCAATATTCCAGCTATATGGCGGCGGTCTGTAAATAATCGAACCTGGAATAGACAATCCAGTGATCAACAGCATGAGCATCGATCTATGCAATTGGAATACGATGACATGTGTCAACCAAGTCAGCGGACCTGACCACCCGATCCCGTTAGTCGCTTCTTACGTCAAGCATGGATCGTCACGGGTTTGCTGTGATGTAACTGACGACGTTGACCCAAATCGCCTATTTATTGACTCCCTCTATAAGTGTTTACACAAGGGATGTGTTTAAAAACCAACAAGTTTATTTGCCCCTTAAATATTATGTATAAAATATATTAATACTCGGTGCCGTTAGGTGTGTAGCACGGTGGTTGAAGTGTTCGCTCGTAACGCCGACGGTCCGGGTTCAGTTCCTCGCATCCTTTATCCCCATTGCAGTTTTGCTTAGCATATGCTGCTAAAAGTCCTGTTTAGAATTAACAATGGATTTCTAAATGTAACAGGGCGTGCAGTTATCACATAGAGAACATCCTTACCTTGTCAACCTCTTGACGGGGTTAACCTCTTTGGGTTTTTTGGACAAAGCGTCCAACCCAGGATCAAAAGGTCCGTGGCTCGAGGTGTTACGAATTCGAAAAAATAAAGAATTATTTGTCCCCAAAAAGGTAGTCTCTATCATTGTAGGTAGACAAGTTTAGTACTCACTCATCGTGTAAGGGGATCCTGGGGATTGTCAGGAGGACAGGGGTGTCCGTAATATTGAGGTGAATGCTATTTCCAGGTCTACAGGTCGTAGAAACTGAAACATACAGTAGGTGAATGAATGAGGTTTTATGCCGTATTCGGCATTATAGGACAGCCTGAAGGCAATTATGTTTGAAAGAAAGAGACAGTACGTGTTAATGGTGAAATAATTGTTTAACAAAGACAAAATTATCTGGATAATGTTCTTGATTCTCATTGATTGTAATTCTCATTACAATTTCTCGCGTTCTTTGGACTTGTGGCAGCGTCTGATTAAAACATAAACATTTTATATGACAAGGTGGTGCATTTTAGGTTCGAGTCGGCGGTGTTGTTTGAGGGGATCGGGAATAAAATTAGAAGGGTCGGTGAGGTGATGGGAAACACAAAAAATGAAAATGCTGCCCAAAAGAGGTCGCAGTTTAAATCTCAAAGTTCCACATATCTACACATTCGTCACCACTCGTCATTTTTATGAACATAAAAGGTCCAATTTTTGGATGGTCCCACACTAAGCACATTGCCTCAGGACATGCGTACTCCGCACTTCTGACTAACCTTCTCGGTCTCGGTATTCGGCTTGTCCCGGAATAACACGAGTGGGTCACGATTGATATCTACACACCACATTGGCACACGCCATCACGGACAACACCCTTAAACCTATACCCCAAATACACATTAGGCTTCCGGAATAACTAGATGGTGTTTGCTTCCCTGTATGTTAACGGTTTGAGACACAGATTGCATCTCATCTACGTCTCAAGTACGTGTAAACTCACCATCTTCCCAGAATCGGAGGACAAAACCAGAGTCGGTCAGGAAGTCGTCTGTTTCGAATACGAGAAAGAGGCTATCACCGGAAGTTGACGTCGCCATCTTGTCAGCTCCACACCACGTGTGTAGCTCGCTTGCATCACTTGAGTTGCCTGGAAATGAATGTTCAACTTTCTGTGGTGAGTGAGTGAACTGTGTTAGATTCAGTTTATTACCGACAAGGACTAAGCCAGTGGGTGATGACATGAGCTACCGCAATGAACAGCAGTGAACAGGGCACAATGTAAACACTAATCGGTTTGGTCCGTTTTTACCAATATGGAACAGTTTGAACAGTTTTCGTCTTTCAAAAACATCTGCCCCCGAGAAAATGGAGCACTTTTAAAGGGAATAAGCAGTGTTAAGGCTGGAGAGTTATGAGCAGTTGCATGTCTCCTACACCAGTATATAGATCGATTAATTAACTGATGATAATACCCGTTAATAAATTAATCCGTCCTCTTTTCTGCATGTCGGCAAAAACGTACTATTCAGAAAATCTGTCTGCTTCATCTTCACAGTGCATCAGACTTGACGAAAAAGCTTAGGAAAGTGCGAATGCAGTCCATTTCGTTTCCCACAGTGAACCAAATCCTAACTTATAGAGCATCTAGCGTCTGTTTGGGTCAAAATGATACCGATGAATCACAATCTAACTCCAAATCGGTTCATGATCCAACACTCATTTCAACGCAGAATGTAATGAAAACATCAAACCAACTCTGGAACAAAGTTTCATAACGTTTGTCTCCAAAATGAAACAATTACTTAACAAACTATCATCGCTTTGTTTTGATTTTTCGAGGGTAAAGTAACAGTAGTACTGTTGCAGGAACAGCCTCAAGAGCGGGAAGCACATGCAGCTTAGGATGTCAACATTTAGGAGGTGTATCAAAACTCTTCCGGACTGGAATCTGAAGAAATTCCTGATTCACTTTCACTGCTCTCAGATTGAACACTTATGATGACTGGTTGAATGGTGGCATAATCTAAACCACTTTTTATCCAGTACTGATTGTCTGTTTTATTTTTCAACTTTCTGTACACAGTTTTGCCAGATTGCTGGTGTTACTTTACTTTTGGGTTTGTGTACTTTGTTTTGAACGCCCGAACGTGGTATTGTTCCGACACACATCAGATTTTATGACACCCCAGATAAGTTCTACTGGATTGAGATCGGAATGGTAAGGCGGTAAACGTAAAGTGTCCTGACCATGAGCTTTGAGATATTGATCTACCTTCCAGATTGTTGTTTTGTTGCCCTTTATTATGTCATACAAAACAAGTTTAGTTGCTTTTGATGGAAACGGACTATCTTGTTGTTCCAGCCACGCTACCATATAACGTTTCCTGCTACTGGAAGTTGGAGCCTTTGCAGGGGCGGTGGGGTAGCCTAATGGTTAAAGCGTTGGCTCATCATGCTGAAGACCCGGGTTCGAATCCCCACATGGGCACAATGTGTGAAGCCCATTTCTGGTGTCCCCCCGCCGTGATGTTGCTGGAATATTGCTAAAAGCGTCGTAAAACCAAACTCAGTCAGTCAGTGGAGCCTTTGCATCTGTATCCTGCACGCCATGATATGGTGCGTTGTCCATAACAATTAAACTTTGCTGAGGAAGTGCTGGTACCAGCTGTTTTTCACCCAATTTAAGAAAACTTCCCCATTCATTTAAGCGTGGTAATCTCTGTTGTCTTTGGATTTCGCCTTGAACACGAGTGAACAATAAGGCAGAAACCCCACGCTTTTACAACCTGCGTGTAATACAATCTGTCGCTCATCCTTCTCCAATGGCAGTTTCCTGTTACATGGATCTGTAGAGGATCATTGTGTGCTTGCAGTGTGGCTGGCAGTCACCCATACTTCATTTAAAAACTCTTCTTGACGTTTTTGTCTGATATTGCGTACGTATGGGTTGCATAATAGCACGATGTCAGCTCTTTCACATTAATCCCGCCTATTTTCCCCTCTTACCATTTTAAAACGAAACCCAAATCTGTGCAAATGTTTCCGTAACTGATATTTGGATATAGTCAACGTCAATCAACGGATGTTCTGTATCCATGTGTTTTTGCGAAATGCGTAAGTTAAGGAATGTATTTTTGCAATAGAGTCTTCTAATAGCATTTCTTACTCATTCTTTCTGAAAACAGTCAATTTGTCAACTTTAAAAAGTGGAGATTTTGATACGACCCCACAGTTGTGACTGACTGGGTTGCACGTTGTCTCAATAAATCTTTCGATTGTCTTTCAGACAACCAAACTGCACATGCAGTGCGTTTAACAAACTTACCCTGGGTATATTTAAGCCGACCCTTTAACTTTCTCCTTTAAATACATCATAAACTTTGAAATAATTGATTTGATGTCAGAGGTTAATTTCATTGTCTCATGTACCGTGTCAATAAATATATATAGATTGGCTATGCTTGATGTGACGCCAAAATTACACGTGCTTTCCTCCCTTGAGGCTGTTCCTGCAACAGTACTTCTGTTACTTTACCCTCTTAAAACTTCACACTTAAAATCAAAACAAAATTGTGATAGTTTGTTAAGTAACTTTTTTATTTTGGAGACAAGCGTTATGGAACGTTTTTCCTGAGTTCATTACATTCTGCGTTGAATTGAATGTTTGATCATGAACCGATTTGGAGTTAGATTATGATTTATCTTGATCATTTTGACCCAGACTATACGAGACGACCCCGTTACACCTACCGTCGTAAGCGACGAGACGGTCCCCGCAGGTGCTGTTCCAGTTATTCAGCTGCATGTACACGATATGCACGTGCAGCACGTGAGCATAAGTTGGAGCTTCGACGAGAACCTTGAACGATACATTACTGAAAGAAAACGACACTCGGATAACAGGACGCCATACTGTCTGAGACTGAATTCCCGAGTATCCAGAGTTTAATATCTCAGTTTTAATTTTATAAACACCCTGAACTCATTCGAAATAGTAGCTTCTAGGTGTGGGCCTTTTCCGGTTACTCCCGCCGTGATATTGCTGGAATATTGCTAAAAGCGGATTAGAACCTCACACTTTTTCTATGGAGCGACATCATCATTCGCTGGTGGCATTTGTCACTTCTCGCCCCTTTCCGTAACCTTCAAAAAGACATTCGTCACCACTCGCCCCTTCCCGTAACCTAAAAGGAGACCCGTCCATTTGTTACTATAACCATTTAAGTACATCGGATTATTTTTATTAAATACGCGCATTCTGATTGGTTTGTCGTATTTTCGTCCAAAACATTTATCGAGATGGGGGCGAGTCTTCGGAAAGGTACGAGTGGTCACGAATGTCTTCTTGGAGGTTACGGAAAGGTATGAGTGCATTCGTCACTACTCGTCCCTTTCCGTAACCTGAAAAAAGGCTCGTACCCCTCTCGTAGTCATGTCTGGGAGAAATATTTCCCCAGCCAATCAGAATGCGCGTATGTAGAGAAGAAATTGGGTAAAAATTAGTTAGTTGAAATATTTTGTCATTTCGGCTTTCATATTTTTTTCCCAGACACGTTTCCCAACGCGTTTTGCGGGGGGTATTAAAATGGACTCCGTCCGTCCGTCCGTGCACATTTGTCTTTTCCGGAGCAGAACTCTAAAACTGTTCACTATTTCTTCACCGAACTTGGCACATAGATTGGTCTGGTGGTGTACTGGTGCCTTTTGGTAGTTTTGGAATTCTGAATAAAATATTTTTGGCATTTCCATGGCAACAAGTTTGACTTAGCCTGAAATTGGTCATAGTGCTGCTTTCTGGAGCAGAACTTTAAAAACCTTTCAATACTCTCCTTCCACTTTTCTATATACACACCTTAATATTTGACATAATCATAACTCGTAGACATAATCATGAAGCGTATTTTGCCATTGCGGGGGATATTGATGACTTTGTCTTCTTGTAATTATTGCATAGTCCTCCTGGATGCCATGTGTGTTTTCGAAGTAAACTCGAGTTACATGCCTTTGAAAATAGTTCGGCGACTGGACTATTTCTTTCTCTCTGCGCTTTTGCGCTCAGACAGAGTCAAGTTCAGTAAAATGGCTACGAGAGGGTTCGACTCTTCTTTCAGGTTACGGAAAGGGACGAGTAACTACGAATGGTACTGTCTGTCACTGTCCTTCCCAGGGTTCCCTACGGTCTACCCTGAAGACTGCCCTGTCTAGCGGGACCATCACATTCTATACAATCCATGCGTGTTGGTTCGCATTACAGTGTACACAGTTGCATACCTTAGGGTTTCCAGGAACCTATGATTACCGGTTCGAATCCAGATTCTCCCCTGTTGGTTTGTTGTTTACCACCGCACTCAGCAGTATTCCAGCTATATGGCGGCGGTGCGTAAATAATTCAGCTTGGACCAGACATTCCAGTGAACAACATCATGAGCATCGACCTATGCATTTGGGATACGATGACATGTGTCAACCAGGTCAGTGAGCCTGGCCTCCTGATGCCGTTAGTCGCCTCTTACGACAAACATGGGTTACCGAAGTAAATTAGAGTTACATGCCCTTGAAAATAGTTCGGCGACTAGACTATTTCTTTCTCTCTGAGCTCTTGCGCTCAGACAGAGTCAAGTTCAGTAAAATGGCTACGTCTTCTTTCAGGTCACGGAAAGGGACGAGTAGTTACGAATGGTACGAGTGGTGACGAATGTCTTCTTAGAGGTTACGGAAAGAGGCGAGTGGGGACGAATGTCTTCTTAGAGGTTACGGAAAGGGGCGAGTGGGGACGAATGTCTTCTTGGGGGTTACGGAAAGGGGCGAGTGGTGACTAATGTCTTCTTTCAGGTTACGGAAAGGGGCGAGTTGGGACGAATGTCTTCTTGGGGGTTACGGAAAGGGGCGAGTGGGGACGAATGTCTTCTTAGAGGTTACGGAAAGGGGCGAGTTGGGACGAATGTCTTCTTGGGGGTTACGGAAAGGGGCGAGTGTTGAATGGAATGTCGCTGGGTGGGGTATTTACAGTTGTGAAATTCAAATGACGCTGAGAACGATAGTGATAAATAAGATCATATATTCCTTGTTCAAGTCTCATATTGAGATGAACATTGTGTTAATGCAGTGAGAACATACTTAGCGTAGCTGAGTGGGAAGTCGGGTGACCTGATGACTTGTGGGTCCGTTGTGGCGTTGATGTGGATGTCGGTGCCGTTACAGTCACACCCTGGAGGAGACAAGCAGTCAATACACTTAGATTTTAGAACAAACCCACCAAAACATAGTAATTGCAAAAAAAAGTTTCAGAGATACACTTGAAGTGGTGAACCAAAATATTTAGAACTGTCCCCACCTTACACCAGTTTTCCTCTCGACACAACCCGCCCTCTCTGCTTTATATACACGCTAATCTTCACTGTAGACAGACATGTACTACTAGAGTGAGTGAGTGATTGAGCATGGTTTTACGTCGCTTTTTGCAATGTTCCAGCAATATCACGGCGGGGGATACCAGAAATGGGCTTCAGCCAATGCACCCATGTGGAGAATCGAACCCAGGCCTTCTGCATGACGAGCAAATGCTTTAACCCCATCGCCCTAGACTAACGTTTAGTCCCTGAATACATATAATTGTGATAGTAGCAAATAAACCCATTTAAATTGAAAAGGAGCCCCAGTGAGACCAGAGATTCAGGGACTAATAACATCTGCTTTGGGGTTACACGTGCTGGGGTCATTACCAATTAGAAGTCACATCATACAACCATCAGATAACGTTTTATGTGACAGGCATATTTATTGGCCCTTGTGTTAAGCCCTGTCCCATCTCCATGGAGTCTGACCAGAGTGCTGTCATCACCTCATGTGGCCCAGTCAAGCCCCTACTGAACCTGAGGAAATCTAGACTTGCTTCATTTAGGGCTTTAGCATTGCAGGGAGGGCTAAGCATTGGGGAAAATAATATGGTTCAGGGACTGGGAGACAGACTACCATCGCCCCTGTACTACAAGAGGATCTAGGTCTGTAGTAAACAACTGTTTAATCCTGAAACCTAAATGCCAAGTTGATATATCACACACCTTAGTATTATGTAATGTTATAAACCCAGCCCTCAAGTGTTATCTGTTCACTCGATCCTGCAAGAAGTGTGAATTACACACCTTGAAACTTATGTTGGCATTAAGGGTGAGAGAAAGGTGTGGATGTGAGTGAGTGAGTGAGTGAGTGAGTGAGTGAGCTGGGGTGAGTTATTCCAGCAACATCACGGCGGGAGACTCCAGAAACGGGCGTCACACGTTTTATCCATGTGGAGAATCGAACCACGCTTTTGGTGTGGCGAGCAAACGCTTTAACCACTGTTGTGTGAACCAACGGATACTTCATGGCGGCTTAGAACCAAGGGTCTTACTCGGAGAGGGTCTACGGTTTGAACGGATAAAGAATACGGTAACCATAGCTACCACAGAGACAGGCACGTGTTCGCCTGGAGCATGATCTAAGCATCCAGGTTCCTGATAGCCAGCCGCTGTGTTATGTATAATCGCAGAGCCAGTGAGAGTTTGTGCCAACATTTCTTTTCCTGGTGTGTGCTTGCGCGTGTGAGCGTGCGCGTGCGTGCATGCGCGCTTGGTGGCTAAGACATGATATATTTTCGGTGAATGTTCCAAACATGCAATTTTTGGTCTGTTGTTTAACGTAGCACTCAGTAATATTCCAACTTGGTCTGGAAATACTAGTAAGCGGGACCAGACAATCCAGTGATCAACATCATGAGCATCGATCTACGCAATTAGAACACGATGACAGATACATGTTGTGTACACACGAAAATACGGACTGTCGCACAACTTCCTGTTTTTGTTGGTGGCGATTATACAGATTACATACAGATTATTCATGAGGTTGGGGAGCTTATGCAGGAGCAGAGCGCTAATACGTCCAATAGGGCATTAATATAGCTAGAAGGTAAAACCCATTGGAGTAGGTGCATTGACTGGCTACAATGATACCAGACCAGTGTGTTTGTGATAATTTGATCAGTGTAGTTGTGACAGTTTATCTCAGATTGATCAGGAAGTAGCCGACGGTGCGTGACAATCTTTAGGTCATCGCACTCTCTGGATCCGCCCTTTGACAAATAATATTCGATACTCTGTGTAAGTCCCGACCTACTTCCTTGTTTTTGACGCCACACGCGAAGTCAAGGTCCCAGTCCCACGTGCTTCATCCTTGCTCTGGGTGTAGCCTGGTTAACTAGTTATGCTTGGCTTGCGCGTTTTTTGCAAAACGATGGTTAAGACTTCCGCCCGTAAGCCCCCTTAATTTTAACGATGAGGAAAATATTCAGGTAATATAGTTTAAGTAGAAGCCATAAAATGAGGGTTAGGCTTTAGGGTTAGGTTAGGGCTTTGCAAAATGAAATTTAAGGGGGAATCTTTCCAAACGTTGACTCTGCTTCTATTAAAGCCCCGCCAACCCTATCTTGACGTACCCCTAGGGCATCGTACCTCAAGCCTTCCCCCGTACCCACCCCTACCATAACGTTCCCTCTATTAAGGTTAATAGTCCTCTGCCCGTGGAGGTTTTACACGGACCCATCGTTTAAACTTGCCTGCCCTGTTGTGTTCCGGTATTGTACGACAACACCTGTTGATTTAACATCAGACCTGAGTATCAAACAGGTATCAAAATGCACTCAGATCCCCACAGCAAGTAACAGAACAGCATAACGTGATTAGAATACAAATCATGGATAACCACGCCTACCTGTTTCCATGACAACCTCAAAAATGACCGGAAGTAGCAGCAAGCGGAAGTAGAGATCCATGGTTGTGATCAAACAATAATGTGGTCAAACAAAGTGTCCTGCACGTCCATGTTGTGTAGAAGACAGCTACATACCCCTGATACTGTTCACGCCTCACTGATTCCGACTAGTGCAGATATCCGGGCTACGCTCAGTTCACACTATCGGCCGACATGCGACTCGGAGTGTTTGTTCAGGATCGGTAGACCGTGACCTATTCAGAAATTATCTTTGTACGAGTTGTACAGTACATTTGTCACCAGCGGGTCGCAAAACATTAAAATCTTGTAAGACCAGTTTTTATAATCTTTGTCGAGGTTGAGGTTTCAATAAGAGTGATTACATATGATATATACTGCACGATCTGCACTATGACCCAGAACCGCTGTTTGTATATTTTTAGACTGACATTTAGATACCTTAGTTACCTTAAAGAAAACCATCCCTGAATCCAAGGGAAGTTTTAAAAAAATTGCATCTGTAAAGCATACGCTTCATACAATATCTCAAATGTTATGGTTGAAATGCTCACTTTTTCACTGCCAAGCTTATCAGGGTATAAATTTCATAACTGCAGTCAGTGTGCGAAATAGCCACTGGCCCGCTAGCCCGTGGCAAATATAAATCCAGTCGGGTCAGTAAATATATCAGTCTCTCCCACTGGTTAAGTTATAATACACTTTTAAATCATACAAGATATGTTCATCATATTAGCAGCTTAATGATGAAACCCGTATCATGCCGACAATATATTATTCTCAACTAAATTTATTTTTGTAATCTTTTGCTTAGTTTCTACATTCACATTTCGGGCTAACTAATTATTTCTTGGACTAGTAACTTTCAGGCATAGCTAGCCTGACTGGCTTGCAAAATTTGGAATTTCGCACACCTATAGTCTCTCGTACAGACCCTGAAGCAAATATATCCAAGAAAGCCCACACAAGTCTAGAAAATGTGGCAAGTCTAGATTTCCTCAGCTTCTGAAAATGAAGATAGTCTCAGGGCTCCTTTTCATTATATATATATTTTTTTTACTATGAACTTTTTTCAGTAAAATATGTTCATTTCAGAGACTAGTTGTTAGTCTAGCACACCTATAGCAGTGTATGTTGTTCAGGTTTCTGAACTGATTTTGAAAGATGAGTGAGTGAGTTTAGTTTTACGCCGTTTGTAGAAATATTCCAGCAATATCACGGTGCGGAACACCATAAATGGGCTGCACACATTGTACCCATATGGGGAATCGAACTCGGGTCTTCGGCGTGACGAGCGAACGCCTTAACCATTAGGCTATCCCACCGCCCCTAAAGACGATGATGCAATGGCGCAATATCCCTGATAACATGGACATAAACAAGGTGTTTATTAGTCCACCGGGAAAAGCTTTTTTGTTTTGTTTGTTGTTTATATAACGCAGCACTCCAAGCAATATTCCAACTATATGGCGGCGGTCTATAAGTAATAAAGTCTGGACCAGACAATCATGTGATAAACATCATGAGCATTGATCTACTCAACTACTCATCTAGCATCAGCAGTGGGTATGGTTTCACTAGAAACAAGGATAAAATTAAGCACTAAACCATTGACAATTTTCAAAACATTTTATTAAAGGTGAGATTTTACAGTTTGCGTTGATAAATAAGGCAGACTTCAATACACCATGCATACCGTCTCAATTTGATCACAAAGATAATTATAATGTTTTATAATGCACCACTGAAAAGTCATAAGGACATGGCTTTGTATCTAGGAGAACAGCCATGACCCTAACAGAAGTTGAGTGGTACAAGTCAGTCATAGAAGTCAGTTAACTGTTTATTGAGCCTTCCTGTACGACACTTAGTTTCTGTGGGGGGACAAGAACACCATGAGTGAGTATGGTTTTACGCTGCTTTTAGCAATATACATCAACATCACCATGATAGAATCAGTAAATAAGAAAATGTAATTAAGCTGACCATCACTCCACTGAGATAATAATTGTGAGAGGTAAGTGAGTGAGTTTAGTTTTACGCTGCACTCAGCAATATTCCAGCTATATGGCGGCAGTCTGTAAATAATCGAGTCTGGACCAGACAATCCAGTGATCAACGGCATGAACATCGATCTGCGCAACCGATGAGAGATGAGTGAGTGAGAAGAGTCGCATGTTGCTTTTAGCAATATTCCAGCAATATCCTATCAGGAACACCAGCAACAGGCTTCACACATTGTACCCATGTGGGGAATAGAGCCTAGCCCTTATATTGACAGGTGGATGCTAACCACCTTGGCTACCTAACCGTCACAGATCGTTTGAACTATTTCAGCATCATTGTGTTTTCATAACAAATAGAAGTCTTCACATTTTATTGAAGCTTCTTTTGGCTGCTTTAATCAGGTACAGTTTCGTCTATAGATAAATGATGTTCAGGATGATGATGCTAAAGTTATCTGCTGCACTATGTATAACATTGATGGAGACTCCTGTAAAGCAACTTCAGTTAAGTCTCTGTGGGAAAAGCTTGCTGCCTAAAGAATAATCAAGGCTTAATGGTGTTCCAGATTTCCAATAAAACAAGGCTTATGGGTGTTCTAGATGTCCAAAGAATCAAGGCTTATTGATGTTCTAGATGACCAGCGAACCAAGGATTATTTGTGTTCTAGATGACCAGAGAATCAAGGCTTATAGGTAGTCTAGATGTCCAGCAAACCAAGACTTACTAGTGTTCTAGATGACCAGCGAAACAAGGCTTATTGGTATCCTAGATGAGCAGAGAATTAAGGCCAAAGTGTTGATCTAGATGTCCTGAGAATCAAGTCTTGTTTGTGTTCTAGATATACAAAGAACCATGACTTACTGGATGTTCTAGACATCCAGAGGATCAAGGCCAAATATTTGCTCCAGATGCCCAGAAAATTAAGGCTCTTTTCTTGTTCCAGATGTCCAGGGTATCTGGGACACATTCTAGATATCTAATGGGTTCAATCCAAACTCGAGGAGGACTTGTTTATTTTTGGCTTGGATATGGGTGGACTTTTCCTCCCACATGGTTTTGGCCATGTCAATCTTGGCCTCCAGCGACTCCAAAGCTTCCTGTTAAACAGAGGAAAGACGGACGTTACCATGTGTCATTTTTGTGAGTTTAGCAAGTTATTCAAGTATTCAAGTTCTATTATCTTCAAAAAAACTCCAGTGACTTGATGTGAGTCGTTCCTTCCATGGACGTTCTACAGAATATTCAACATGTCCTGGGGATATCAATGATGGTGTGGGCTAAATAAAATTGGATTATCGAGAAGTATCTTTGATGGCTGAATATATCCCTGAATGTCTTACACTGAGCATACACCTGATGGCCTTACATTGTGTACACATACTGATAAACTTACACTGAGCATACACCTGATGGCCTTACATTGTGTACACATTCTGATAATCTTACACTGAGCATACACCTGATGGCCTTACATTGTGTACACATTCTGATAATCTTACACTGAGCATACACCTGATGACCTTACATTGTGTACACATTCAGATAATCTTACACTGAGCATACACCTGATGGCCTTACATTGTGTACACATTCTGATAATCTTACACTGAGCATACACCTGATGGCCTTACATTGTGTACACATTCTGATAATCTTACACTGAGCATACACCTGATGGCCTTACATTGTGTACACATTCTGATAATCTTACACTGAGCATACACCTGATGGCCTTACATTGTGTACACATTCTGATAATCTTACACTGAGCATACACCTGATGGCCTTACATTGTGTACACATACTGATAATCTTACACTGAGCATACACCTGATGGCCTTACATTGTGTACACATTCTGATAATCTTACACTGAGCATACACCTGATGGCCTTACATTGTGTACACATTCTGATAATCTTACACTGAGCATACACCTGATGGCCTTACATTGTAATACACGCCTCTGATAATCTTACACTGAGCATACACCTGATGGCCTTACATTGTGTACACGCTTCTGATAATCTTACACTGAGCATACACCTGATGGCCTTACATTGTGTACACATTCTGATAATCTTACACTGAGCATACACCTGATGGCCTTACATTGTGTACACATTCTGATAATCTTACACTGAGCATACACCTGATGGCCTTACATTGTGTACACATTCTGATAATCTTACACTGAGCATACACCTGATGGCCTTACATTGTGTACACATTCTGATAATCTTACACTGAGCATACACCTGATGGCCTTACATTGTGTACACATTCTGATAATCTGACACTGAGCATACACCTGATGGCCTTACATTGTGTACACATTCAGATAATCTTATACTGAGCATACACCTGATGGCCTTACATTGTGTACACATTCTGATAATCTTATACTGAGCATACACCTGATGGCCTTACATTGTGTACACATTCTGATAATCTTATACTGAGCATACACCTGATGGCCTTACATTGTGTACACATTCTGATAATCTTACACTGAGCATACACCTGATGGCCTTACATTGTGTACACATTCTGATAATCTGACACTGAGCATACACCTGATGGCCTTACATTGTGTACACATTCAGATAATCTTATACTGAGCATACACCTGATGGCCTTACATTGTGTACACATTCTGATAATCTTATACTGAGCATACACCTGATGGCCTTACATTGTGTACACATTCTGATAATCTTATACTGAGCATACAGCTGATGGCCTTACATTGTGTACACATTCTGATAATCTTACACTGAGCATACAGCTGATGGCCTTACATTGTGTACACATTCTGATAATCTTACACTGAGCATACACCTGATGGCCTTACATTGTGTACACATTCTGATAATCTTACACTGAGCATACAGCTGATGGCCTTACATTGTGTACATTCTGATAATCTTACACTGAGCATACACCTGATGGCCTTACATTGTGTACACATTCTGATAATCTTACACTGAGCATACACCTGATGGCCTTACATTGTGTACACATTCTGATAATCTTACACTGAGCATACACCTGATGGCCTTACATTGTGTACACATTCTGATAATCTTACACTGAGATTATACCTGATGACATTTCACACATTACATTGCAATGGCCTTACCCTGAGTATGTTCTCATAGGCCTTTTCCATGCTGCTGATCTTCATCTTGAGGTCATTGATCTCGCTGTCCTTCTCACGCCTCATCATCTCCTGCTCCTCCTTCGTCTTCTTCAACTCCACCTCTGTCTTCTCTGCAACATTTGGATTTGATGAAGTTTAAGTCACTCATAAAACTGACCTTTCACACTTTTCTAGCAACACAGGGGTTCAATTTATTTTTAAAAAGCCACTTGCCACAGGGCAAGTGACTTTAAGAAAGTAACTTGTCCTGACTAATTTTCCACTTGCCCTGATTTTATGACATAATCATGATGTAATTATGAAAGAATAAATCAACATGGTATTTGATGTTAATGTTTACTTGACTATTTATTGAAAAGTGATAAATAGCAAAGAAAGATAACTCTACTTTATTACCATTGTGAAATTTGATAGTTACATTTTGAGCAGATATTAAATTAAATCCGAGTTTATTTGCAGTTTGAAACCATATGTGGAAATTATCTAGTAGCCCACGAACAAGTAAGATACCATTATTTGATTGCCCGAAATGAAAACTGACTTGTCCCAGGCATCTGGCTATGGGATTTTTGAACCCCTGCAACATCAATCATTATTTGCTAATATACACCAAGTGCTGAACAACTTTTGCAATATTATGATCATTAATATAATACTTTCATCATGATTATTTTCTTCCAGGAAATGGAAATTATTACTCTGAATTGCTAGATTAACTAGATTAGTCTCATGGAAATAGCATCAGGAGAGCAAATGAAATGACTGCCAACATCTGTATTCCTCCATGTACAAAACTTCAAAATAGTGGTATTCTTGTCATTAATGAATGAACTTAAGGACATAGTTGGTAATTTTAAAAATATAAGTGGGGTTTTGTCAAGACGCTTAAACCTAGAACCTGGAATGGGAATTAAGGAGCAACCAACCATTCCATACTTTGGTGAGGTTTTGTTTGGAGACAAACCAGTTTTTTTTTTGCTGCAGCAAAAAAAACCTCATTGTTTAAATATGAGCCAAAAAAACCCACAAATACTCTTTTGATAATGATTTTGTGGCACACTATGTTCTTAAATTTATATAAGTTTCAATTAAAATTATTTTTCTCACAGTTCTGAGGACGATTCAGTTATTTTTGAAATATTCCCTAGCACACTTCTCATTTGACTTGTTGAAGACCAATTCTAATGTGAATATTTTTTGGGTTAAACATATCTGAGGATTCTTAGTAACGTATCTGATATTAACAAAATTTACACTGTGAAATGTTTTTAAATCAGATAAAGTTGCTGAAATAAGAGGACATAACTGACTAAGGGGAGATAACAGACTGAGTGTTAAGGGGAGATAACTGACTGAGTGTTTGGTGTGTTCTCTCCAGCTCCGTCTCCAGCTGGTGTATGGTGATGCCCATCTCCGTCTGCATTGTCTTGTACTGTCGCGTCATGTCTGAAAGTCAGCACCACAACTCATTATAACACGGCAGTTACCATGACAATAATTCCCCATTTACACAATTCTAGTGATATCATAAGTTACCATGACATCCCCATTTACACCATTGTACGTGATGTCATCAGTTACCATGACATCCCCATTTACACCATTGTACGTGATGTCATCAGTTACCATGACATCCACATTTACATCATTGTGATGTCAAGTTGTCGTGGTTACTGCCTCAGTCCCGCCTGACTCACCAGCATTAATAGCCAGCTGGTCTTCCTTGTGTGATGCCAGGTCATTCTCTGCTTCCGACATTCGCTGCTGCCATCCTTCACTCACCACATTGGCTCGCCTCGTCAGCTGCTTCCGCACCGCTAAGAAAACATTGACAGGTGAAAATATGATATGGGAAAAAATACTTAAAATATTCTTCAATCTTATAATCGACAAAAGAGCAATATTTCTGAGTGGTATATCATGAATGTAAAGTTGGGAGTTACTTCCCTTAGTATACCCCACACAAAAAATTCGACCAGGGTCTTGAAGGGAGCTGTAAGTGTATGTGAGGCGATGACATTTAATGTTACAAATATCAACAGTTATTTCCACAGACACATATATTGTTATCAAACTCATTGTCTAATTCATTCTGTATTATGAAAGCAACCTGTCTATAATAAAAGCATGACACCAGGCCCCAATATTTCCGAAAACAAACTGTTTCTAATTGGGATGTATTTCTAAAAAAATAAAACAAGAAAAAAAAACCAGATCCTAACAAAACAACTTTAGTAACCCATCTACCAAACTCCACTAAATTATAGTTTAATATTGATTGAATCAGTGTATTTTGGGAAATGCAATGGTTAAGAGAGAGACAGATTGTTATAATGCTACATAAAGGAAGGAATGGGAGGGGAGGCCAATTTCACTAGTCATTATCACCCGTGAAGTACTGTCATCACATTAACAGCTTTACTTGTTTATGGACAGACAGCGTAGCATGTGTCTCATATCAGTTTGACACAAGCATCACGATGGATTCCAATATTTATAGGAAGGCAGACAATGTACTGCACATATTAAACCTTACGAGCAACTTCCAGTTTCAAATCAAATAAACCAAATCTACAGACACCCTAAGCGTATGACATCTTTAACTGTTTAAGTATACTGTAGCTTCAAAATACTGATGACCCGTGAAGGTCCGGGTTAGAATATTGATCTTAATTAACCCATGCTTGTCGTAAGAGGCGACTAAAGATACCGGGGTGGTCATGCTCGCTGACGTGGTTGACACATGTCATCAGTTCCCAATTGCGTAGATCGATGCTCATGCTGTTGATCACTGGATTGTCTGGTTCAGACTCACTTATTTACAGACCGCCACCATATACTAGTAGCTGGAATATTGCTGAGTGCGGCGTAAAACTCAACTCACTCACTCACAATATTGATAATCATCTGCACTCATTGATGACTATAGGCTACATGTCATTTAGCATTGTAAATCAAGAAAGATGATTACTGAATTTTTTTGGAAGAAGTGCTACTTAATTTACTGTATGTTTTTTTCATTGTAATGCATTCACCATCATAATCATGGTCTAATGTAGATTCAGTCATGCAAGTGCACATGCCAGCATGCAGGATGATTAATTATCAAGGTAGAAATATATTTTATTCTTGAAGTCTCACTTGATAATAATAATAATAATAAGTCATCTTCTATAGAGCACAGTCTCCAAACACCAAGTGATAACTCACTGCACTTAAGCAGAATCTGATGATTATTACCCCGGATAACCCAAGCTGCCTGTTAGGCGCTAGAAGGTTATAGTCACATGAGTTTATCCAACCGGGTACCCATTTTCTGCTGGGTGAACAGAGGCAATTTTGAACAAACTCACTTGCCTAAGGTGAGACCACATGTATCACATGTGCTTCGTTGTGAGGCTTAACTTCAACTGATTCCTGACCTGAGCTCTGTGCACAGGACCACACGCCACCATAATCTATCTTTTTTCTCAATACTCAGTATTAAGGAACTTGGTGATAGATATTTCTTAGTAGGTTCATCCCACAAACCAAAAACAGCTGACTGTAAGAATTGACTCTGAGGATTGTCCACGCAATATAAACAAGTCTAATGCATCGGCTAGACCTATGTGAAATTGTTAGCTGGTATATTTACAAATACGCTGAGTGACGAACTACATCGTTACCTAAGTGATCCTTAAGTGCCTCAATCTCGTCCATCGTCCGCTTGTACTTATCTTCAAGTTCCAGTTGGGCATCTGATGGAATAAAAGAAATCAAACAAGCATCAAACAATGGATAGACAACTAATTGGAGAGGGTACAAAATTTAATGTGGCCTTGAAACATATAGTAGGGCGCCATGTGTAAACTGGAAAGAAGTAATTAAGACTCCTATAATGGACATTACATTATTCCTAACAAAATTAACTGCTAACTCCTTAACAACTGGATTTTTTAAAAGAAATGTTAAAAAACTAATACTGCGTTATTAAATCACTAGATGTGTGTCCAGAGGTCCAATCATGATTTCTCATTTTACAATACAAGCACTTTCCAAACAAGGGCTGTAGAACCCAGGGGAAAGGGATGATGTTCTCCACATATATTGTAGTTCAGCCAGCTAAACGTCCTGTTCACGACACGACGTTTAGCTGGCTGAACTACATAAATTGTTGACATTATCGCATACGTTTTTTCACAAAACACTTACCATCCTTCTTCTTGCCTTTCTTTTTACCCTTTCCTTTCCCCTTCTTCTTTTTAGGCGGCATTTTGACAGAACTTCACGGACACAACACAACAAGTGCTTGTGGTCTTCCTGGTTGCCAATGAAGCTACTCTCAGCAGCGACGAACACGGCGTATTTCTATTGGCTAATATTTTTAACTGGTCCGCGGCTTATGCGCGCTGTACTTCAATAGACAGTAATCAAGTCTTGTAGTGTTTGTTTTATATGGGTGGGTGGCTGACTGACTGGTATTTTTTTCAAAGTTCCAAATGTGATATTGATACAACTGTTGGGTTGGGGTAGGGTGGGATTTTGGGTGGGTGGAGGGGAATGACATTTGAGGGTGTTGTGAAAAATTGCCACAAAGGAAGAGAAAGGGATCTCCAATTGTGATCAAAGTGAGTTCGATGTCTTTTTCTTTTAATTTTAAATTTGAAAATTATTTGAGACTTTTTCTTTATAATATGAACGAGGTTGGTCATGAAACAATGTTACCTGTATGAACCTGGGTTCGAACACCCCCATCCCCTTTGAAAATTCCTGGATCCGCCTATGATTGACATCACGATAGTCGATCCTCGCATTTGGGTTACTTGTGATGAGTAAGCCAGCTGCCGGTCACAACTGCTGTCAAAGAAAAAATCTTTTGAATTTTTTCTGGAGACTCCTATTCAAAACTGAAATTACGTGAGTATTTTAAAATAATTTTTTGTAATAACTTTGTAATGGTCGTTTAGAAGCCTATATGAATCAGTCCAACTCGTCCAGTACAATTTGTTAACAATAGAGCAATGCCTTTTCAAAATATAGTGTCGCAACGTTTTTGGTAGTATCGCTCCAGTGTATATTGTTTGTTTGTTCTTTAACGTCAGTATTCCAGCTACGTGACGGTGAACTTAATGTGGGAGGAGAGCCCGGAGTAATACAGGTATTAACACTGCGGTGAATGAGTGAGTTTAGCTTTACGCCGCCCTCAGCAGTATTCCAGCTATATGGCGGCTGTCTGTAAATAACCCGAGTCTGGTCCTGACAACAGTGATCAACATAATGAGCATCGATTTACGCAACTGGGATATATGTGTCAACCAATTCATTGAGCCTGACCAACCGCTCCCGGTAGTTGCCTCTTACGACAAGCATGGGCTACTGAAGATCAATTCTAACCCGGATCTTCACGGGTCACTTTGGTGCTAACAAATCACAACATGAACCAATATTTGAACCTACAATTATCGATTTGTGTCATGGGCACGGTACGCAAATCTGCACAGCCACTTGACCGCATGTACCCCAGTGAAAGTGATGAAAAGGGATCCAGCTCTCGGAACTAACTGACAATCGTGGCCAACTGGAGCCCTGTCGTTTATAAGGGACCGTTCATGCATTATGGCTGGGGGTGGAGAGGGGTTGGGGTGATGTTGATTTTCATGGAGTAGCATGTGCAGCGTTGTACAACAAACGACACATCTTGACACAATTGTAAATTGAATTCACATAGTATGTATTCCCCTCTCTCTCCAATATGGGGGCGGTGGGGCAGCCTATTGGTTAAAGCATTCGTTCGTCACGCCGAAGACCCGGGTTCGATTCCCCACGTAGGTACAATGTGTGAAGCCCATTTCTGGTGCCATGCCGTGATATTGCTGGAATATTGCTAAAAGCGGCGTAAAACCAAACTCACTCCAACATGACATGTCTTCAACACATGTAATGGGCCGAATGGATCCTAACATTCCTTAAATAAACAAACTACTAACATTCCCTCGTTATACAGCGACTTTGTCTTCACATATACCTCGACTTACAATGTCAAAACATACAGGCTGGGAATCCCACCAGAACTGATGCATTGGGTGTTGTTTTAACCACGCACCCTCGAATAGGATGACCTTACCATGAACAAAAAACAACATATGTACTGAAAAAAGAGCCGTTTGGTATTTCACGGCATATTGTCCTAAATGTATCGTCACACTTCTACGTGCTTTGAATAAATTTGAAACCACACTTCGACCTTGTGCAACCTACATTTACTTTTATCAATCTGCAGAAGAGACTCATTTGGTTGGTTGGTTTGTTTGTTTAATGCCGGACTCAGCAATATTAATAATAAGCTATAAGTGCATTTATAACGCGCCAAACTCCATTTACTAGGTGAATGCTTATAGCACTAACAATCAAAACACAACCCAAGCTGTGATTCGCTAGAAGGGTAATAGACTGCTGTGTGAACAGAGTGAGTGAGTGAGTTTTGGTTTTACGCCGCTTTTAGCAATATTCCAGCAATATCACGGCGGGGGACATCAGAAATGTGCTTCACACATTGTACCCATGTGGGGAATCGAACCCTGGTCTTCGGCGTGACGAGCGGACGCTTTAACCACTAGGCTACCCCACCGCCCCAGTGTGAACAGAGGCAAACTCACTTGCCTAAGGTGAGATCACATGTATGACATGTGCTTCGTTGTGGGGCAGGACTGAAATTCTAGAAACTCTCAGGAGTCTAGCTGCCAAACACGTCACCAGTCATATGGTGGCAGTCTGTAAATAATCGATTCTGGACCAGACAACCCTGTGATCAGCATCATCATCATCGATTTACACACCTGGGATACGATGGCGTGTCAACCAAGTCAGCGAGCCTGACCACCCGATCCTGTTAGTCTCCTCCTGCGACAAGCATGTGTTACTGAAGATCAGTTCTAACCTGGATCTTCACTGGTTAGCCTCGTTTGGGAAAGAAGTACATATGCTGTTTGCCGTTTAACGTCAACAATCCAGCTGATAGGCGGTGGTCTGTATATAATCGAGTCTGAACCAGACAATCCCATGATTGTCTCCATAAACATCGTAACGTACAGCTAAGGAACGACAGCATGCAATCAAACGAGTCCCCAAGCCTGACCACCCAATCCACTTTTTAGCTCTTTCCCTTTCTACCCGTCTCTTTCTATAATGAGTGAGTGAGTGTTTAATTTTAGACCGCTTTTAGCAACATTCCAGCAATATCAAGCGGGGAACACCACAAATGGACTTCACACATTGTAGCCCTATATATAGATCTGTAGCACAATATATACATTCCAGCAGCATTAAAGGCCCTATTCAAATATTCCAACTGCATCACAGGCCCTATATAAACATTCCAGCTGCATCAAAAGCCCTATATAGATATTCCAGCTGCTCCACAGGCCCTATATAAACATTCCAGCTGCATCAAAGGCCCTATATAATATTCCAGGTGTATCACAGGCCCTATATTAACATTCCAGCTGCATCACAAGCCCTATATACATATTCCAGCTGCATCACAAGCCCTATATAAACATTCCAGCTGCATCACAAGCCCTATATATATTCCAGCTGCTCCACGAGCCCTATATATACATTCAAGCAGCATCAAAGGCCCTATATAAATATTCCAGGTGTATCACAGGCCCTATATAAACATTCCAGCTGCATCACAGGTCCTATATACACATTCCAGCTGCATCACAGGCCCTATATACATATTCCAGCTGCATCACAAGCCCTATATAAACATTCCAGCTGCATCACAAGCCCTATATAGATATTCCAGCTGCTCCACGGGCCCTATATATACATTCCAGCAGCATCAAAGGCCCTATATAAATATTCCAGGTGTATCACAGGCCCTATATAAACATTCCAGCTGCATCACAGGTCCTATATACACATTCCAGCTGCATCACAGGCCCTATATACATATTCCAGCTGCATCACAAGCCCTATATAGATATTCCAGCTGCTCCACGGGCCCTATATAAACATTCCAGCTGCATCACAAGCCCTATATAGATATTCCAGCTGCTCCACGGGCCCTATATATACATTCCAGCAGCATCAAAGGCCCTATACAAACATTCCAACTGCATCACAGGCCATATATAAACATTCCAGCTGCATCACAAGCCCTACTTGATATTCCAGCTGCTCCACAGGCCCTATATATACATTCCAGCTGCATCAAAGGCCCTATATAAATATTCCAGGTGTATCACAGGCCCTATATAAACATTCCAGCTGCATCACAGGTCCTATATACACATTCCAGCTGCATCACAGGCCCTATATAAATATTCCAGCTGCATCACAGGCCCCATATAAACATTCCAGCTGCATCAAAGGCCCTATATACATATTCCAGATTCATCACATGCACTATATAAATATTCCAGCTGTATCACAGGCCCTATATAAATATCCCAGCTTCATGAGAGGCCCAATATAAATGTTCCAGCTGTTATCACAGGCTCTATATAAACATTCCAGCTGTATAACAAGCCCTATATAAACATTCAAGCTGCATGACAAGCCCTATACAAATATTCCAGCTGCATCATAAGCCCTATATAAATATCCCAGCTTCATGAGAGGCCCAATATAAATGTTCCAGCTGTTATCACAGGCTCTATATAAATATTCCAGCTGTATAACAAGCCCTATATAAACATTCCAGCTGCATCATAAGCCCTATATAAATATTCCAGCTGCATCACAAGCCCTATACAAATATTCCAGCTGCATGACAAGCCCTATATAAATATCCCAGCTGCATCACAGGCTCTTATATAGATATTCCAGCTGCATCACACCTCTTATATGTAACCATGGCAATGCAGATCAGTGATAAATGTTACAGCTATGATCAACAACACCTGGGTCAGACATGAGAATGGCAAAGCACAAAAACCACTGAAAATTTAGCCGGGGGTCTTGGGGGTCTTTTTTGCAGATTCACATCGATCTCAAAAGTGTCTACAATGAAACAAAAAACGGAAATCCATGGAAAATTCTCATGTCTGTTGGGTACATGGCAAGCGAGTGAGTTTAATTTTACGCCGCTTTTAGCAATATTCCAGCAACATCACGGCGGGGGTCACCAGAAATGGGCTTCACACATTGTACCCATGTGGGGAATGGAACCCGGGTCTTCAGTGTGACAAGCGAATGCATCAACCACTGGACTACCCCACTGTCACTGGGTACATGGCAAGAGTAACAGAGCATGACCAACCTTTCTCTACACCTATTGCACAAACATGACACTTCTGTGGCTCTTCCAATTGCGTTGAGTTGAGTTGGGTTTTACGTCACATCGGCATTATTCCAGCCATATAGTGACGAGATCAAGTCTGAAATAATTGGGGACACTTCCAACTGAGAATGTTTATGTGTACAAAATGGTCTCATGACGTCCGTGAATGGTGAAATGTTTGATGGCATGTCACAGCGTCTTTACAATCAGGGCAAATCCAATCAGTGAGCGAAGGTTCGGCACCTATCAACTTCTGGATATAAGGCACTAGTGACTAAAAATCCTCAGCAAATGATGCACAACAAACAATGTCTCGGAAACACATGTAACTGTAAATGTTTATTCACAAAGAAAGCTTCAATAAACATCAGTGAGTTCTCGAATATCAGGTATCATGGTTTACATTGCAAAAATATAAATACATTGCAACTGTATACTGAACAGAAACACCTACATTATTATTCATTAGACATCTCACTGAAGGGCGACATATTCCAGCTTCACTCTTGATTAGTTCTTGATTACATCTGAAAATTCAAGTTTCACACACTTCAAAATCACCTAACATGCTGTCAAAAGTGAGTGAGTGAGTGAGTGAGTGTTTATTGCACTCAGCAATATTCCAGCTATATGGCGACATCGATCCACTCAATGCTGTCAAAAGCATTTATACATGAACACTAAGTACTGTAAAGAGTCTTATTACTATTTTCCCGACATTCTTGAAAGACATCCTGAAGTAACGCTGGCATACACTTCCATACTTCCTACACTTATGTCATACAATCGCAAACCTTGTAGCAAATCATGCAAAAACAGACAGCACCGGAGGTGGCCCACACAGGTTGAAATAGATCCAGAGTGGCCTGGTGTGACTTTGACAGGTAGAAATAGGCTGAAAGCAGCCCAGAGTGACTTGGACAGGTTGAAATAGGCTGAAAGCAGCCCAGAGTGACTTGGACAGGTAGAAAAAGGCTGAAAGCAGCCCAGAGAGACTTGGAAAGGTTGAAATAGGCTGAAAGCAGCCCAGAGTGACTTGGACAGGTAGAAATAGGCTGAAAGCAGCCCAGAGTGACTTGGACAGGTTGAAATAGGCTGAAATAGGTGACTTGAACAGCAGCCCAGAGTGAAATGGACAGGGCCCAAATTGGACAGGTTGAAATATAGGCCCAGAGTGGCCTGGTGTGACTTGAAAGCTGGACTTGGACAGGTAGAAATAGGCCCAGAGTGGCCTGGTGTGACTTGGACAGGTAGAAATAGGCCCAGAGTGGCCTGGTGTGACTTGGACAGGTAGAAATAGGCTGAAAGTGGCCCAGAGTGACTTGGTTAGGTAGAAATAGGCCCAGAGTGGCCTGGTGTGACTTGGACAGGTAGAAATAGGCTGAAAGTGGCCCAGAGTGACTTGGACAGGTAGAAATAGGCCCAGAGTGGCCTGGTGTTACTTGGACAGGTAGAAATAGGCCCAGAGTGGCCTGGTGTGACTTGGACAGGTAGAAATAGGCTGAAAGCGGCCCAGAGTGACTTGGACAGGTTGAAATAGGCCCAGAGTGGCCTGGTGTGACTTGGACAGGTAGAAATAGGCTGAAAGCAGCCCAGAGTGACTTGGACAGGTTGAAATAGGCCCAGAGTGGCCTGGTGTGACTTGGACAGGTAGAAATAGGCTGAAAGCAGCCCAGAGTGACTTGGACAGGTAGAAATAGGTTGAAATAGGCCCAGAGCGGCCTTGTGTGACTTGGACAGGTAGAAATAGGCTGAAAGCTGACTTGGACAGGCCCAGAGTGACTTGGACAGGTTGAAATAGGCTGAGAGTGGCCCAGAGTGACTTGGACAGGTAGAAATAGGCCCAGAGTGGCCTGGTGTGACTTGGACAGGTAGAAATAGGCTGAAAGTGGCCCAGAGTGACTTGGACAGGTAGAAATAGGCCCAGAGTGGCCTTGTGTGACTTGGACAGGAGGGACTACAGGGTTGAAATAGGCCCAGAGTGGCCTTGTGTGACTTGGACAAGTAGAAATAGGCTGAAAGCAGCCCAGAGTGACTTGGACAGGTTGAAATAGGCCCAAAGCGGCCTCAGAGTGACTTGGACAGGTAGAAATAGGCCCAGAGTGGCCTGGTGTGACTTGGACAGGTAGAAATAGGCTGAAAGTGGCCCAGAGTGACTTGGACAGGTAGAAATAGGCTGAAAGCGGCCCAGAGGGACTTGGACAGGTTGACATATGCCCAGAGTGGCCTAGAGAGACTTGGACAGGCTGAAATAGGCTGAAAGCGGCCCACAGTTACTTGGACAGGTAGAAATAGGCCCAGAGTGGCCTGGTGTGACTTGGACAGGGGAAATACGCTGAAATATGCCCAGAGTGGCCTGAAAGAGAAAGAGGCCCAGAGTGACTTGGACAGGTTGAAATAGACTCACAGTGCCCTAGAGAGACTCAAACAGGCTGAAATAAGCCCAGAATGGCCTAAAATGACTCAAACTGGTTGAAACAGGCCCAGAGTGACCAAGAGTGACTTGGACAGGTTGAACTAGGGTCAGGGGCTACTGCCTCACTCCATCTTTCCATTATCAGTCAGACACTGGGTCCTTGTGCATATCCTTGTAGAAGGTTCGGATGGAGTTCCACTGCTTTTCCCTGATCCATACATGCTTTCTTCTGGCCTTGATGAAGTCCACTGCTTGCTCTGGAGTGTAGTTGTAAGCCTGAAACAATATGGGAAATCTATACAAAAAGTTTACTCGCTATTTACTGGAAAATAACAGAAAGACCAGTGCTATAAATTACTGAGTGTAATAATGATAATTAGCAAATGAAACAACTGATTCTGAAGGTTGGTCAGTTTTGATGATCTAATAATCAATCATATTTGTTCATTTGTTTGTTGTTAAATGCTGCACTCAGCAATATTTGAGTGGTCTGTGAACATGGGTATCAGTCTACACAACTGGGATACAATGACATGTGTCAACCCAGTAATCCAGCCTCACAAGCCGATCCTGTTAGTTGCCTCTTATGACAACCATGTGTTGCTGTTAGTTGCCTCTTATGACAACCATGGATTGCTGTTAGTTGCCTCTGTTATGCCTCTTATGACAACCATGTGTTGCTGTTAGTTGCCTCTTATGACAACCATGTGTTGCTGTTAGTTGCCTCTTATGACAACCATGGGTTGCTGTTAGTTGCCTCTTATGACAACCATGTGTTGCTGTTAGTTGCCTCTTATGACAACCATGTGTTGCTGTTAGTTGCCTCTTATGACAACCATGTGTTGCTGTTAGTTGCCTCTTATGACAACCATGTGTTGCTGTTAGTTGCCTCTTATGACAACCATGGGTTGCTGAATGACAGCAATATTTGAGGTATATGGCGGCGGTCTGTAAATAATTGAGTCTCGAATAGACAATCCAGTGATCAACAGCATGAACATTGATACAATGAGTCAATCACAAAATTCGATAATCGCCTCTTAAGCCTCATGGGTTACTGAAGACAATTCCAACTTGGATCTTCATGGGTGTTATCAAGTGGACCCAAGGTCCTATCTACCTTTATCTGTTAGATTGTTAACTCTTCAATCACATAATACACACCTCTTATTCCATTCCACAGGACCTGTGAAGATTAGAACTGATTTTCAGGAACCCATGCTTGTTGTAAGAGGCGACTAACGGGATCAGGTGGTCAGGCTTGCTGACTTGGTTGACACATGTCATTGTATCTCAGTTGTGTAGATCGATGCTCATGCTGTTGATCACTGGATTCTCTGGTACAGACTCGATTATTTACAGTCCGTCGCCATATAGCTGGAATATTGCTGAGTGCCGCGTTAAACAACAAACAAACCATTCCACAGAATGTAAGGGACCATTCATAATTTATGGGTCGGGGGTTGATGATGATGTTTATGGAGAAGCATAAAAAAAAAATAAAAAAAAATTATGTACAAAGTAAGTGAACCATTGCATGTCATGTACAAAATCAATGCCCCCCCCCTATTTTTTAAGCATAATTTTTTAATATAGTCATAAATTATGAATGGTCTCTAATCATGGTTGCTTCTTGACACCTAACTCAATCTCACAGAACATCATCACCATCATAGTTTGACCCCTACCTCCATCAGATAACACGCCACTACTGTTGACCCCTACCTCCATCAGATAGCACGCCACTACTGTTGACCCCTACCTCCATCAGATAACACGCCACTACTGTTGACCCCTACCTCCATCAGATAGCACGCCACTACTGTTGACCCCTACCTCCATCAGATAGCACGCCACTACTGTTGACCCCTACCTCCATCAGATAGCACGCCTACTACTGTTGACCCCTACCTCCATCAGATAGCACGCCACTACTGTTGACCCCTACCTCCATCAGATAACACGCCACTACTGTTGACCCCTACCTCCATCAGATAGCACGCCACTACTGTTGACCCCTACCTCCATCAGATAGCACGCCACTACTGTTGACCCCTACCTCCATCAGATAGCACGCCACTACTGTTGACCCCTACCTCCATCAGATAACACGCCACTACTGTTGACCCCTACCTCCATCAGATAACACGCCACTACTGTTGACCCCTACCTCCATCAGATAGCACGCCACTACTGTTGACCCCTACCTCCATCAGATAACACGCCACTACTGTTGACCCCTACCTCCATCAGATAACACGCCACTACTGTTGACCCCTACCTCCATCAGATAACACGCCACTACTGTTGACCCCTACCTCCATCAGATAGCACGCCACTACTGTTGACCCCTACCTCCATCAGATAGCACGCCACTACTGTTGACCCCTACCTCCATCAGATAGCACGCCACTACTGTGGAGCTGCGTGTCCTCCCAGCCTTGCAGTGAACATAGACCGTCTCCTTCCTCTCCCTGTACGTATTGATGAAGTTCACGGCACGGCGGATGTTGTCTTGTGATGGAGTACCCACGTAGTCCACTGTGGGAAGCTGAAGCTGCTCGATGCCATACTGATGAAGATCCTAAAAGGGGAGAGAAAGCTTCATTAACCATTGTTTAATAAGACGAGTCTCTAACATCCAGGCTTGGAGTGAGTGAGTGAATATGGTTTTACAGCACTTTTAGCAATATGATGATTTCAAAGGATGGGGGGTGGGGTGGGGGGTGGGGGTGGGGATGTCACCTCTTCTCGGGGACGGTGGGAGGTGGGTGTGTGTATAAATTTTGTATACATGTACTGGGGGGAGCAATTGTACATAACAATATTGAAACATTATGTTTAAACATTAGGGGGGGTTTTGTGTATGTGTGAGTGTGAGTGTGTGTGTGTGTGTGTGTGTGTGCGTGCGTGCGTGCGTGCGTGCGTGCGTGCAGAATCAAGTTTACATCTGGACAATCCTGAAATATCAAAAGTTTATGGGAGTAGAGTTGGTGTGGTGGTCATGTAACTAATGCTGCCCACTTCAATCAGAAGCCAGAGCAGTTTACCTCGGTGAGGAATGCGGGCAGTTCACCTCAGTGAGGAACGCGGGCAGTTCACCTCCATGAGGAACCAGGGCAGTTCACCTCACTGAGGAACCAGAGGTGAGGAATCAGTTCACCTCACTGAGGAACCAGGGCAGTTCACCTCACTGAGGAACCAGGGCAGTTCACCTCACTGAGGAACCAGAGCAGTTCACCTCAGTGAGGAACCAGGGCAGTTCACCTCAGTGAGGAACCAGGGCAGTTCACCTCAGTGAGGAACCAGAGGCAGTTCACCTCACTGAGGAACCAGGGCAGTTCACCTCAGTGAGGAACCAGGGCAGTTCACCTCAGTGAGGAACCAGGGCAGTTCACCTCAGTGAGGAACCAGGGCAGTTCACCTCACTGAGGAACCAGGGCAGTTCACCTCACTGAGGAACCAGGGCAGTTCACCTCACTGAGGAACCAGGGCAGTTCACCTCAGTGAGGAACCACTGCTGCTCACCTCTTTTGAAGGTCCAAGACTTTCCAGCTCAAAGTTCTCGTTGACCGACACCAAAGTTCTCGTTGACCGACACCAATGCAGTAACATTCTCCTTGGCAACCAGCTGAAACAGAATGAAGTGAGTTTAGTTTTACGTCTCTTTTAGCAAGAAAGGGGCTTCACACATGGTACCCATGAAGGGAATCAAACCCGGGTCTTCGGCCTGATGAGCGAACACTATAATAACTAAGCTGACCACCCCTGAAACGGAATGGAACCATATGGCGCTTAACGTGATAATTTGATATCAAGGTGGTTTGTAAAAACTCCAGTGACTGACATCCTGAGCATTTATGTTTGCACTTGTGACAGATTGATATTCATAAAACAAAACAGGTACAAAAGATTTGGCATCACCTGACCTGAGTCCCCACCAGGTATAAAAGCTCACATGGCATCACCTGGGTGCCGTACCACTAACCGATCTTAGCCCTATGCCAATCGTAAACCCCCCAAATCCCAATCTTAGTGTGACGTTACGACCATTCCACAAAATGATCTTAGCCCTATAGTGTGACATTACGACCATTCCACTGACCGATCTTAGCCCTATGCCAATCGTAAACCCCCCAAATCCCAATCTTAGTGTGACATTACGACCGTTCCACTAACCAATCTTAGCCCTATGCCAATCGTAAACCCCCCAAATCCCAATCTTAGTGTGACGTTACGACCCAAGTCAATTGTAAAGTTAAGACCCAAAGTCTTAGTTGCTCATGATCAACTTAGAATCGCTAAAATCAATTGTAGAGAAACCAAAATGGCAGCTTTCATTATTCTATGTGAGGAAGAAGGGTGAGTGTAAATGCAAGATTTCTTTACATACATTTCAATGTACAAACTCTTTAAAATGAATTTGTTAACTAAGTTGTTACAATTGGTTTTAATTATTTTATCCATGGTGGTCCAATAATTGAAACACTTTGTTAATATCTTAAGTTCATTTCCATTTAAATCCTTATTCAGTAAAAAGTGTAAACAATGTTTACATGCGGCCAGAAAATTTCCTCTACCCTGTGGCCTTCACCTTCATGTGTAATGTCAAAGCTCACAGGTCACATCATGACCTCTCCAAAACTCATGCATTTTGGACCACATGCTTGCCAGTGTGTATTGGACCTCCATGCTGCCTGGTTGTCACCCAGCTGACTGTAAGCTGAACTATGTAAAGACACATATGTGAGTACTTTACCCTTTCATTGCTAGGTTGTACTATCTCTTAATTTCAATGAATATATATGCCAAAATGTTAATTGGTTAGTGCAAAAATTGTTAATATATTTCACACAATTTTTTGTAAATTTGTTATTGTTAATTTTGCAATTTCAATGTATTCACATATCATTTGAATGAAATATTAAATGTTATGTACTATGAAATTTGTACATTTTCTGAATTTCATCGAAAGCTGTTGTTTGTTGTAGTTTTCTGAACCTCATCAACGTAACAACTATACTTCTCAACTCAACTCGTCCGTCAAGTCTTCTGTCACAGCTATGTTCTATAAAGTGTAATTTCTAAAGTCTCTATATAATATACCCTGTTGATGCAAGTATCAGTGTTTGTGTTCTTGGATTAACAGTGAGCATTACACCGAGAGTGTTTTTCGAGGCAGCTAACAGATTCTAGATACATTATCAGATGATGTGCTTGTGGCGAGGTACAGGATGCCTTATCACGGCTTGTTTATGCTGATCGACAAGGTTCAGCCACATATTATGCCAGAGACCCAGCGTTCACACGCACTTGCCCCTGAAACCAAGATGCTCACTACCCTAGGATTTCTCGGAAAGGGCTTTTCCACGTTTACACTTGGTTCCAAAACTACTTCCATCGTCTGCTAGACTATGCAAAGGGAGATAACCCATGCCTAGCATTTTGCTATCTCTCCCACGAAAGATTCTCGACCTTAGCTAGGATCGGATCGTAAGATCGGGACATGATATGATCAGCCTAAGATGGGTTAGTGGAATGGGTGTAAAATGAACACAAAGGTAAGGCGATTGTAAAATTGGCATAACTTGCTAAGATTGATCTTAGATAAGATCGGTTAGTGGAATGGCACCCTGACCTCTTTCAGGATCCACTTGATTGGCAAAGCTCCCAGCACAACTGTGTCATCAATCCTGTTATAGTACTTCCGTGATGTCACCTGTGCCATGAACAGCGTGTAGCCCACTGTTGGGTAGAATGCAAGTTTGGTGAACATGGCCATTGTGACCTTCACCTCATCCTACTTTCACCTGAAACAAAACATTTGTAGGTCTGTTGAGTTATGACAGGTCGTAATGTAATAATGAGAATATTTATAATGCGACTTTTCCAGGCTAGTTATCCTGCTCAAAGCGCACAATCTGGTCATTATTACCCAAGATACCCCAAGCTACCTGTTAGGCGCTATAAGGTTAATAGTCACATGACGTATACCACCGGGTACCCATTTTCTGCTGGGTGAACAGATACAATTTTGAACAAACTCACTTGCCTAAGGTGAAATCACATGTATCACATGTGCTTCATTGTGGGGCAGGACTGAAGTCCTAGAAACTCTCAGGAGTCAAGTTGCCAAACATGGTCACCCATCCAAGGACGCTCCGCGCCCCACGTTGCTTAACTTCAACTGATTTGTGACCTGAGCTCTGTGCACAGGACCAAACCGCACCACGTAATGTTACGAATGCTTTGTGGAATGCAACCCTGATTCCCAAATATTTACTGATGTTGTATCTAAGAACATGAAAGATGCCAATTATCAAAAATGCAAATTCAACTTATAAAGTTGAAAAATAACATGATGAACCCCCCCCCCCCCACGAAATCGGAGTTCAAACGATTCACTAAATTCACCCCAGCTAGGTTAAAAGTGGTTTCAACAGGTGTGCTGCGCTTCACGCGTAGCGCATGCGCAGTGAATAGGTTCGCGCAGCTTGAAGCCGGATGCCCGGATTATAAGGTCGTGAGCAGGAGTAGTCTAATCTTGGTTGTGTACACAAACAACAAATAGTAAATAATCTACTCGTTACATAAAAGAACCTTGTTAAGGATCTAGATCTACACAGCTATGTGTCAACCAGGGAGGCGTTCAACATTTCAAGACGGAAAAACTTCGTTGGCGGTGAGTACTTGAAGTAGGCTTTGATGTGAGCTATTTTTCTTATGTTTTGTTGATATTTCACAGGCGCGAGCTTTTTATATTTTATGACAATAGATTACCGATTGAACTGTTTATACAATTTCATTTGACTCATTTCTCAGTTCGATACTTAACAGCAACGTCATTATTTAGCATTGTCAGAATTTCTAACTGTGATATAGATATGTCTCTGTCAGACAAAACTCAATGTCTGTTTTATTGACACCTATGTGTCTGCCTGCCTGTCTGCAAATGACAGTATGCAATACACAACTTCGATCACTGACCACATGCAATTTGAACTTAACACCTATCAAGCTATACACCATAAACAAAACGCATTGATTTATGGCTCGTGCACCTGAGTTCTGTCTCTGTCACATCATGTACTTACACAGACAGGCAGGTGTGATAATTGTACTTATGACATGCTATGATGTCTGTTGATTGCAAAATGATATACACAAAAAAATGAGCATGTATTTACAAAACCCAATATCTCTATACACACACAAAGAGCCCTGAGCGTATCGGCAAATGAACCAGCCAATGAAAGACTTTGTTACACTCAAGTGCACGCCCACCCGCTCTGACTGGGTTCGGTATTCCAAGTGCTTCGTTTCGAGGGTAGTAAACCCAGGTACAAAATATTGCACTTTTGATTTGCGATTGTACGCTTATAATTTTGTTTAGTTTTTGTTCATAATCAGCAGTGTATATTACATGTCATGAATAAATGATAATTGTGTTTTAATTATGTTTATTTATTTGGTTGCATCTAAGCTTTAAGGTTTATCTTGTGTCTTGTGTTTGTTTATCACCAGAAGTGATTACTGACTGAGTTTAGTTTTACGCCGCTTTTAGCAATATTCCAGCAATATCACGGCGGGGGACACCAGAAATGGGCTTAACACATTGTGCCCATGTGGGGAATCGAACCCGGGCCTTCGGCGTGACGAGCCAACGCTTCAACCACTAGGCTAACCCACAGCCCCCAGAAGTGATTAAACTATTGTTATTGTGTTACCTACATTGTTACATAAACGACCACAGATACTGTATAATGGTATAAGTGAGTGAGTTTAGTTTTACGCCACACTCAGCATAATTCCAGCTATATGGCGGCGGTCTGTAAATAATCGAGTCTGGACCTGACAATCCTGTGATCAACAGCATGAGCATCGATCTGCGCAATTGGGAACCGATGACATGTGTCAACCAAGTCAGTGAGTCTGACCACCCGATCCTGTTAGTCGCCTCTTACGACAAGCATGGGTTGCTGAAGACCAATTCTAACCCGGATCTTCACGGGTAAATGGTATATGTAATGTTTATGGTCATCGAATGTTGGATTGTAAAGATGCATTGTGTTATATTGTTAACTAACAAAATCTCAAATGAAAACATCAAAGAAGTGAAAAATGGAAAACAATTCTGCCAACAGTACCTCGATCTATATAAAGTCTTTGAATGGCATTTAGAAGTGATACACACGAAGGCCAGAATTTATGGAGGCCAACTTTTTTCTTTTGGGGAACACTATGTTTTGGGGTATATTCTTACTCCTGATCATTTGTTTACGTTTGGTTTTAACCAATCTCCCCGAACAATATCTACCTGAACATCAAACCACAGCTGATCACATGTGACAACAAGCGCTGCACGGTCCCGTTACACTATTTCTCTACCATGTCTACTAATAAGAAATCTCCTCACACCGATAACCCCTTTTCGTTAGACAGCGTGAGAATGAGAATGTGTCAAGTGCAGCGGAGGAGTTTTTAGCATAATATGTACAGACGGAGCACAGTTATTTGTGAACTACATTTGATTTGCTTTCGTAAAAATAACTTGCGTTAGTTTTTGTTGAGTATTCTTAGAAACTGAGGTTTAATAAATAATAATTCACCGCCATCAAGTTCAGTGGTTTATTTATTGTACAAACGAAGCTGAAACGTGGACGCACCTACTCAGGGAGCAGTTGTTAATCAAATATTTTCTCAGCCATATAATCAAAATACAGTGGACATATATCAAATTATGTGCATATCAGTCTTTTAATGAACATTCAAACATAATTTTGATTTAGTAAACATGCTACAGTACAATTTTCGATGACTACGTGAATTAAATCGTGAACCTTACAATAGTACCTCCATAAATAATGTAAAGTTGTCTGTTTTTAGTTTCGCACACAGGTGCAAAGTTCACACAAGGGTTGATCTGTTGACCATGTCGGGATTAAGGGTTATCGTGGGCTGTAAACGTGTGATCGACTATGCTGTCAAGGTAACGCATTGCTTATCTATCACCCCAAATCTACTTGTTCACCTTAGTGAAATCAAACTGTGATGCTTCTACCCAACCCTTTCTGAACGCGTATTTGTCTTGAACATTACCTTGTCAGTTTCCACTGAAGTTTTCGTTCTTATGTCTAACGCTGAAGAATGCGAATGCAGTGATCCACTGACCAACTTTGCATGAAATCAGTTTTAACTTTAATTTGAAAGCATTTTTTTTCTAACGGAAACTAGCCTGCTAGGTTACATAAGAAATTGACAAATTACATTGTACTGGGTATTCCATTGGTCACACCTATTGAATCCTACGTGCTTTAGACATTTCATTCAAAGAAAAGCAAATGCAACCTCAATATTTTGATTCTTTTTGCCTTTATAAAGTAATATGGTAATGATTTGTGTTGGTACTCAACTTCCTGCCACTTAGGTTTGCTGGAATGATTGGAAGTCTTACATTATATAAGTTCTAATCACTCTTGGCTTAGCATAGTAATGTAAGTTGACAGTCAACATGTACCCCAAATTATGTTCTTGTTTAGCTACATGAGATCTGTGTTATGAGTTTCATGAATCTGACCTAAAAAACAAACTCATCATTCATTGGCTACGATGAGGGACATGTTTCAGAATCACTTGATGGCTATCGCTGAACATGTAAGTTCTGCATGACTGCGGTTTGGATATGATAATTACAGGGCTCCAGATAAGGCCGTATTGGCGTATGTATGGATAAAAAATATGCACGATACGGTAGGAAATAATTTAGAAAATTTAGCAGATACGCACCACGGCGATGGTGTACGACCTTAGAATCATTTACAGACGTATTTATCTGAAAAAGTATTGTTTTATTGTTTATTGACCTGTTTACACATGACTACCAATATTGTGGTGCATATATGAAACGAAACACAAGATTACTGATACTCCAATAAACTCCATTCAGTACTCTAAATGTACTCTTAAGGTTTTCCAGTAATCCTATATTGAAAAAATATTCAATACGTACGTATTCCTGATGTTAAATTTTTTTTATCTGGAGCCCTGTAATCAGCTTACAGTGTTCTGCAAGATCTGATGAACGTGACAATTTGTTAGACCTGGTCACAGGTTTGACTTTGTTCTTTTGGTTACCATGGTTACCGAGAAAACTCCTGGAGTATGCTGGTCACGTTTGGTGATGAAGTTGATAGTGTGTCTTCCTACCCTGAAGTTTGGCTTTTTGCTCATAATATTGATCACTGAATAGTCTGGAGTAGACTGAAAATATTTACTGGTCATAGTCATAAAGCTGCGACTCGGCTACAGTGACCTCAATGCTCACAAATATGAAAGATACATTTTAGAAAGTCCGATATGCTCATGTGGACTAGCAAATGAGGATAGTTTTTCACTTTTTCTTTACTTGTCCAATATATACTGTAACTCGAAATAACATGTACTTTTACCAAAAAGGATATACATTAGACTCAGTATTATTCGGAAATGTCCATGCAACTGCACCTGTAAATATGCAGATTCTGTTCAGGCAGATTTGACGCCCTTTTCTTAAGATAATGATTGTTTACTCTCAACCTATGATGTCGACATACCTCTCTTCTTTTGGACTATGTACAGCGTATACATGACTAACAGCCAAATTATGTAATTATTATGTAATAGGCTCCTAACGCGTGAGTGATGTAAAACAGACGCCCAGTGACAGCAGAACGTTGTATATGTATGACAAGTGTCGGTTGGTTACTGAAGTAAAATGCTTTGCGTTGTGTGTGATAATTGGTCTCTTTACGTGGTCAGTACATCTTGTCTGCAAGTTCTGTGGGAATGGTTCCTGGCGGGTTCTCCCAATTCAACTCAATTAAAGTCAGAACAAAAGAATATTAGGTTTCCATTCTTGTTTATTGTGAAAAAAACCCGTATTAGTCTAAACAATCCTACGTATATCTACCTACCTAAATCCTACTTAAATACAGTTTAACTTTGGTCTATGTCCACCCCCTAATACCTACCCCCGAAAACAACAAAACAAAACCTACTCATTCCTATGCTATTTCTCCCCCTTCCCAAGCTAACACTAAATCAACACGACATCCCTAAAACAACAAACAATACGTGGAAACTTAAACTTGGTCTTGATCCAAGACTGAGAGTCGCTAGACACTTACCCGATCTTGCGGTATCGGACGACTGACGATTCCCTACCTAGGGGAGGCCTATATAGTCGACATCGGGCCACGTGACTGGGGAAATCCAGATTTCGGCCAATGCGCACGCTCCTTGCATCTCTGCCCCTCAAGATGGCGGAGCATGCAAGAAGCGTGACATCGTCCTGTCTCCCCGGCCACGAGGTCCGCATGGGCCTAGGCTTCTACATATTTGACTACAAAGGTAGGTACTACGTCAGCCGCCCGCCCAACTACCTAACCTACCCCACCCACTATGAAACTTTTGTATTAAATAAACTTTTATACCCCGAGACGCCCACAATTATTTGCTTTTGTAAGGGAGAGGTGTTCATATAAGCTTACAGCTTGTTTACCGATCCCTATTCAATTTAATTTGAATAAAAATATGTTTAAACCATAAAGCTGAAGTATTCATAGGTGTAGCATTAAACCACACAGACAGACACACACACACTAACACTAGCACTAACACACAAAATACTCCTTTTAGAGGTCTGCATTAAACTTGATGTCACTCCAGTGACTGTTATCTTCCTTTAACCATTGCCCTGCTGACCTGCTGTGTTCCCCTTCAGATCCGTGTCAAGCCTGACAAGACCGGTGTGGTCACAGAAGGGGTGAAGCACAGCATGAACCCCTTTGATGAGATCGCTGTGGAGGAAGCCATCAGGATGAAGGAGAAGAAGATCGCCAGTGAGGTTATCGCAGTGTCCTGTGGTCCTACTCAGTGTCAGGTTAGTAGAGGGATGAGTACAGGTCGGCCTGGGAGCAGGGCAATTGCCACCTTTAATTGCTACCCGGACAATTAGGTTAGTAGAGGGATGAGTACAGGTCGGCCTGGGAGCAGGACAATTGCCACCTTTAATTGCTACCCGGACAATTAGGTTAGTAGAGGGATGAGTACAGGTCGGCCCGGGAGCAGGACAATTGCCACCTTTAATTGCTACCCGGACAATTAGGTTAGTATAGGGATGAGTACAGGTCGGCCCGGGAGCAGGACAATTGCCACCTTTAATTGCTACCCGGACAATTAGGTTAGTATAGGGATGAGTACAGGTTGGCCCGGGAGCAGGACAATTGCCACCTTTAATTGCTACCCGGACAATTAGGTTAGTATAGGGATGAGTACAGGTTGGCCCGGGAGCAGGACAATTGCCACCTTTAATTGCTACCCGGACAATTAGGTTAGTAGAGGGATGAGTACAGGTTGGCCCGGGAGCAGGACAATTGCCACCTTTAATTGCTACCCGGACAATTAGGTTAGTATAGGGATGAGTACAGGTTGGCCCAGGAGCAGGACAATTGCCACCTTTAATTGCTACCCGGACAATTAGGTTAGTAGAGGGATGAGTACAGGTCGGCCCAGGAGCGGGACAATTGCCACCTTTAATTGCTACCCGGACAATTAGGTTAGTAGAGGGAGGAGTACAGGTCGGCCCAGGAGCCGGGACAATTGCCACCTGGACAATTTTAATAGTACCCGGACAATTAGGGTTAGTAGGAGCAGGACAATTGCTACCCGGACAATTAGGTTAGTAGAGGGAGGAGTACAGGTCGGCCCAGGAGCGGGACAATTGCCACCTTTAATTGCTACCCGGACAATTAGGTTAGTAGAGGGAGGAGTACAGGTCGGCCCAGGAGCGGGACAATTGCTACCTGGACAATTGCCACTGGACAATTACCACCAGGACAACTGCCACCTAGGATAATTGCTACCCAGGACAATTGCCACCCAGTTATTTTTACTATAATAGTGAGGACAATTGTAATTTTATTACAGGAAATGAATGCAGGTTGTAAATAAACACAACTTTAGATGATGAAATGGTCAATGTTTTGGGGTATCTTGACTCTGATGAAATCTTAGCTTTCATGAAAACTCAATATGCATTGATTGTGAAAAAAATCAAACTTGAAAACTTGTTAAGTTAAGACATAAGTTACTAACATAATTGAGAGGATGTATTGAAAGCACTGAGGAAAGTTAAGATTAAAGTGCTGAGAAGCTCAAGTGTTTAGAAAATCAATTTGTTTGAGCTTGGATGCTACAGTGCTACTAACTTAAGATTAAAGCCATGAGAAGCTCAAGTGTATAGAAAATCAATTTGTTTGAGCTTGGGTGCTACTGTCTTAAATATACATATGTTGAGATGAATGTTTTGAGAAGGTGAGCATACAGACTTCGCTAGAAAAACAGTATAAATATACAGGTTAAATCCTTTTGTTCAGCATTAAATCCAATTTAGTAGTGATTTCAGCGAATTAAACTCCTGTATATAAAATGGCCAGGGCCTCGTAAGCCTAAAACCTTGTAACTTTTCTCATGACATTTGTACCTCCTATACTGTAACATAGGAGGTACAAATGCTACGAGAAAAGTTACGAGATCTTAGGCTTACGAGAGCTTTGTGAAATGGGGCCCAGGATTCTACATCCACCTCACCTTCCACCATGGACAACCAAGTAGAGTATGTAAAGTTGGAGAGATGAGTTAAGAAGGTTCATTTCAAGGGGTTTCGGGTATGTAAGACACAAGGATATGAAGAACGGAGTTGTCAGCTATCACTGTGAGTTGAGACGCAGAGGACAATGCAGAGTGGCCATGAAGGTTTCAGACGATCAATGTGTTGGTATTCTGCATGAACACACATACGCGCCTGACATGCTCTTATCAGAGGTATGTTTTATTGATTGCATAATGCGAATATGGTTGATACTATTGAATTTATATTGCTACTTGCAAAAAAGATACAGTACAAAACAAAGGCAAGTTTAATGACGTAATGTAATGTGAGGGAGTGATTTTTACTTTGTATTTAGCATTATTAATTTGGCATTTGTCCGGGTGGCAATTGTCCTAGTCCCAATCGGCCCACCTGTCTGTGTGTGATGACTCCAAGGTGCTCATGCCATCACTAGTTTGCATGACTTGATTATTATATAGCGTAATACAGCTGACTTTAGTAATATTTTCTCTTCCATGCACGTTATTATGTAATCAATATACCAACTGCCATAAAAAATCTAATATTGCAATACATATATGATACATAGAGAATCTCACCCAATTGTCTTCTGATATCAATTATATCAACACGAGTTGATAAAGTTACAAATATCCGAGGTTTGCCGAGGATATTTTTACTTTATCAACGAGTGTTGATATATTTGATATCAGAACACACGAGGGTGAGATTCTATTTAGCATCCAAAATCACTCGTCATTAATTTTCAATGAAAAATGTACATCTCTGCCATTAGACTTGCAGTGCACCAATGTCATAGCATTATGACGTCATCAAGTACATGAGGCATAGCATTGTCAGGGCATTGTACAAAATCTACTGTCAAAACGATATCTCCTAGGAGATATCGTTTGATCTCACACAAGTGTTATCTCCTGTGGAATACAGTTTTGGATGATAAAAGTGAATATTCATGATAAATTTGACAACACAAGCTATGTTTAGATATCATTTGTCTCACCATTGTATTCCACTGAATGGTTAAGTGGTTAACTTCTTTGAGTGGCATTGTAGAAGTTGGGAAGTACAATATAGAACAAACTTTATGGATAACAACTTCTTTTTATTCGTGAGTACGACGTTTCGATACAGATTCTTGTACCGTTGTCAAGCATAATGGAACATGAAGAAGGGGGAAGTATATATATATACTAGATGTTACCAATTCCGACAGCAAATCAGCCACTTCCAACCACATGAAAGCAAGCCTTAATCACCAAATAGAGTGGTCTGACATCACCATTCTCTCTAACAAACAAACAGACTTCACTAAACGCAAGCTCACCAAAGCCATCCACATCAAACGCCAAAAGCCCACCATCAACCGAGACCAAGGATACTTCATTCCATCCACTTATGATGCACTCATCCACCAAGCCCAATCTACTGTATAAACTCTGCTGTATAAACATCTCATTATTATTTGTACATCACTGGCTTCCACGCCTGTCCTCTGTCTACTCTCTGGCTTCATCAGCTTTCTGCCTAGCCAGTTATGTTAGTTATGTTGTTTTCTTTGTTACACTGTTACATCTAGTATATATGTACTTCCCCCTTCTTCATGTTCCATTATGCTTGACAACGGTACAAGAATCTGTATTGAAACGTTGCACTCACGAATAAAAAGAAGTTGTTATCCATAAAGTTTGTTCTATATGGTTAAGTGGTTGTTGCAAATGTCCCAATTGCATTACCTAGGAGACGCTGCGGACCGCCATGGCAATGGGGGCGGACAAGGCTATCCACGTGGAGCTGGACGCCAAGCAGACCGAAACGATCCAACCCCTTCATGTTGCCAAAATATTGGCCAAGATATCCCAGGAGGAGAAGGCAGATGTCGTCATTGTTGGCAAACAGGTAACAGTTACCCTGGAAACAGTTGTTTAGATTGTCCGAAAAAGGGGTCCATAGTTATTTATTTTGAGTCTACATAGTTTAAAGTGTATCACAGAGAGACATGTTATCTTGTGAAAAAATGGGGTCAGGGTGCCCCAGAACTCCTCTGGGATCCCCGGGTGCCTGATGATGGTAACCATGGTACTTGGTAACTGAGATGTTTCCATGGTAACATTAGTGTTGTGTTTCCAAGGTAACTGAGGTGATGAGTACTGTCACCATGGTTATGTGTTGAGTTGTATCACCATGCTGCTCACAGTGGTCGAGATATTGCCACAAATGAAACACTTCTGAAACTATAATGTTGTAAGATTCCACAATCAAAAGATGAATGCACTTTTTCCATCAGCAAATGTTTGAATATTCTGGCAGGTCTATGTATAACAAAGGCATGAATCTTAGTAATCAGTCTCAACAGCATTCATATCATTTCCGATCTCATTCCAATTTCCAGTAACCATGGTAATTAGGGCTTCAACGAGTCCATTGTTTTGGACTCGAGTACTCGAGGGGTGAGACTCGACTCGGACCCGAGTACTCGAAATTCATACCTTTCAAGCAAACGATAGCGTAACCGGCATGACATGTGTTCCGATCACACAAGTGAACACCTCCTTCTTTCCGACTTCATATCGTCATGTGACTAACATTTCCTATTGGTCAGAATCAGTATTTGGATGTTTACTTGACAAACGTTTTTTTTCTTCGTACTTCTTGTACTGCCTGCAAAACGCAGTGAGATACCGCACAGGCGGCATTTGGTTATTTTGCTCTTTTCACTATCCAGATCAAGATACGCCCATACATTTGATTTTTTATCTTTCTCCATGTCTATCAATTGTCTAGATAGTTACCTAATCATTTTAAGAAGTGAAAACACAAACGATGTATCATATTTACTCTCATCTGCAGACTTGTAGCAACTAATACCATACAGCCACACCATGTGAGGAGTAAACTATTTAATCTAGGTGTTAATAAAAACATTATCAGATGGGTTAAAGAATTCAGGGTACATAGAACTCAGTATGTCAGTGTCAATGGCTATCAATCTTCTTTGCTCTTAACCTCTACTGGAGATCCACATGGCTGTGTTCCTTCTTCCGTACTCTTCGTTTTGTATACCAATGACTGTTACTTGTCAATATATGACTTGTTCACTGTGAAATTCGCAGATGACGCCACTGTTACTGGCCTAATTTCTGATTCTGAACATTATTATCGTCAAGGCATTGACAAAACCGTAATGACAGTTTTTTATCAAACCTTTATTCAAAGTGTGTTGACCTGCAATTATCTATGTTGGTATGGGGATCTGTCTCAACGCAACAAAAACAAACTTTTCAAAATTGTTAATACTGCTTGCAAAATTTCTGGAGTGTCTTTCGAGTATACTCCCTTTATCTATGAGCGCCAGATTGTCAAAAAGGGAGCTAATATTAGATTTGATAGTTGATATATTTGATTTCACCATTTTGAACTACTTCCTTCTGGACGCTGCTGACGATTACCTTCCCTCAAAACAAACAGAGCTAGACAATCTTTCATACCATCAAGTATTCGTGAATGCAACAAATATTTTGAATCACCATCATGTGATTAGAACTAGAATTATTCAGCCTCTTTACCTATGTGGTTAATTGAATTATATCATGTCAGTTTTATTTATAAATAGCATTCGTTTTGAGCATGTAATTATTGTGTATATTTTTGTGAACTGTGTATATATTCATTTTGAGACAGTTTGGATGTATAAGAATTTCCTACGGGATAATAAAGTTATATCTTATCTTAATATTAGACGTTAACGGCCGCTCATGCTTAGCACATGGCAGACAGTCTGTCAACGTCAAATAATCCGAGTTAGCTTCCCTTTTCGAGTCCTCGAGTCCTTGAAAATGGACTCGAGTCCAGCTAGACCCGACTCGCCCTCGAGTACCCGTGGAAGCCCTAATGGTAATGATGAAGTTTGATGCAGGACTTGACCACTCCCGGCTGTGTTTGTTGTAGGCTATAGATGGTGACTATAACCAGACTGGACAGATGACTGCTGCCCTGCTGGACTGGCCACAGGTGAGATAGTCTGCCACATGGATAGTTTGCCTCTTGGATAGTCTACCACATGGATAGTCTACCACATGGATAGTCTGCAACATTAATAGTCTGCAACATGGGTAGTCTGCCACATGGATATCAACACAGATGCTACCTGCTCTAGTCGGCTAGCATGTGTCAATTGTTTCAAACTTTAGAGATATCTTTGGGGCAATTTGAATTTTGGCATTTGTATGTCAGGTGTTATGTGATGCAGAAATGGACGTCCAGTAAGTGCAATTTTATAGAATGGAGGAAGCAATAAATGTAATATTTTAAGTAAAATTGATATATTATACTTATCCTTACTCATGATCTTTGCTTATCTCCCTTTTCCATGCGAATGGTAGTGGAACACTTGAATCCTTTGTAGTTCCCTGAAGCGGACGTAAAAATACACTCACCCACGAGTTACCTCCCTTTTCCCGCGCAAACAGTCATGTGAGCAGCCTTACTTGTCACTCTCTCCTCTCTTGCCAGGCATCGTTGCAATGGATGTACAGGGCTCCAGATAATATTTCAACATCAGGAGTACGTTATCCTTATTTTTTCAATATAGGAGTACTGGAGTACTTTTAGACTACTGAATGGAAAATAATGGCGTATCAGTAATCTTGTGTTTTGTTTTATATATGCACCACAACATTGCTGCTCTTGTGTAAACAGGTCAATAAACAATAAAACAATACTTTTTCAGATAAATACGTCTGTAAATGATTTTAAGACCATACACCATTGCTGTGGTGCGTATCTGCGACGTTTTCTAAATTATTTCCTACCGTATCGTGCATATCGTGCCCTTATCTGGAGCCCTGGATGTAGTTGTAACCTTCCTGTGCGAGTCAAGTCCTGCGCTGAGGTTGGTAGACCGAGTAGACATTGCCATGTTCGTAGTGTTAACGGAAAGATGACCTTGAGGAATCATGGCTTGTATCTTGACCCAACAATCTTCTGGGATCACAATTCTATTCTGTGTTGTGATAAATCTTATCCCCAGAAATTGCAGATCTTGTTTTGGTTCCAACTCTGACTTCATCAGGTTCACTAGCCATCCAAGTTGCGTGAGCAACTTGATTGTGAAGTTCAGCTGCTGTCTGAGTTGATTGGCACTTTGATGGACCTGTATGCCGTCGTCGAGGTAAAAGGCACTTAGACGTAGACCTTGATGATGTAGGTAGGCGACTATACGCTTGGTTATTCGTGTGAATAACCACGGAGCTGACGATATTCCAAATGGTAGGACGTTCCATTGGAAGTGCCGCCCTCTGAATAGGAATCGTAGATATTTTCTTGATTCCGGATGTATGGGGATGTGTAGATACACATCCTGCAGGTCTATGCTGGCCATATAATCTGCTGGACGGACGAGTAGTCTGAGTTGAGGTAGGTGGATCATTCTGAACCTTTCCGGTTTGAGTAGATAATCTTGGTTGAATTTCCGAATGTTGTAAATCAACCTGAATTTCTCTTTGGAATTCTTCTTGGGTACTAGGAAAATTGGGGAGTAGAAGCCTGGAATGAGATGATGTTGATCTATTCTCTCTACAGCATTCTTGGTTAGAAGTGAGTTGATGGCTTCTTGTAGCTTGTCTGCATAGTTGAAGACCATCGTTCTGAGGTTTAACGGTGGTGTGGCCTTGAGCTGCACTCTGTACCCTTCTTGCAGTACTTATGAGACGTAGTCGTCTTCCGGTATTCCCCAATTTTCCTAGTACCTTTGTAGACGTCCACCCACTGTCGATGGTTGTACAGGAACAGCTTGGGATGGAAGCATCCAGTCGTTACGAGCCCCAATTTCAACGTCTAGCTCCTGAAACCTCTGGGAGTACGTCCTCTCCCTGAGTTTCCTCTGTAGTTTCCGGATGGGCGAAGAAAAGAACTTTTCCTGCCTCTGAAGGTTGAGTAATTCTTCTCCTTAGCCTTCTGGATACCGGATTTCCCTTGAGTTGTGAGTTCGTTAGCTGCTTCATCTATCTCACCTCCGAAGATGGTAGGCGCCGCCCAAGGAGCGGTTGGGTAAATCTGTCACTCCAGGAACACGAAGCCAGTAGACCCTGTCTCCGTAACAAGGTGAGACCCGCCGACGTTGAGGCCAAATGATCTGATATGAAGTATTGGTTCTTCTGAGTGAGCAGAGCAGATAATATCATTCCTTTTCTTCCGAACTGGGGTTCTGGAACTTGTTAATCAATGCCTCATTGATTGCTCTGGATCTCACTAATCCGAAGAAGGACCTCGTCGTCGCTGTATCACGTTGGGCCAACTTTTTATCCTCCACCTTGTAAAACTTGTTCCGAGAGTCGTTGACCAGTTTCATATTTCTCATTTAAGTCCGGCGCTCTCATAAAGGGGTCCATGTGATGTAAGGGGAATTTCCTCGCATTAAATGCTGGCAGATGTTGATTCTAGAATCTAGTAGCTTTCTCAAAAGCTATGCGTAGGTTCGAAGGCACCTTAGGTATTGGCTCAATAGGAGGAATAGTCACTGAGTCGAAGTCGTCCTTGCACATCTTGTATGTGTAAGCTTCGTCCAATTCCTTGGAGGGAGACGTTCAATCCATTAGCTATCCAAGCTGTAACCTCCGTATCTGAGAAGATGTAGTCGGTATGTTCATCAGATAGCTCTTGTTCCGTAGAACTATGCCTTCACGAATCCTCCTGCGAACCTTCCTTTCTCGAATCTTGCTCCCGCGAACCTCTATCTTGTGATCCATCCTTTTGCGAACCTCTGTTTCATGATCCATCCCTTTGCAAACTTGTCTCTCGTGAACCTTGCCTTTGCGAACTTCCTTCTCGCGAACCTTGCCTTCGCGAACCTTCCCCTCGCATGTGAGAGCTGCGGGATCGGCTGGCTCTTGGAGATGGATTCCTAGGCATTCTCGAATGTTAAGGGTTCGCAGACGAAGTTCTCGTAGAGTTAGTAGCCTTCGCGAACCTTCCATCCTGTTCTATGATGACAGAGTCGTCCGATTGTGATGACCTTTTTCGAACGTACACGTTCGTCAACGTTGACGTTGTCTGCAGATATAGATCTGTGAGGCGTATCAGGTTCGCGTTGGTCTGAGGGTTTGCTAACGTTGTCGGTTGATGAGAGGTTCTGTTGTGCCTTCGCTTCCTCATCAAACAATCGTTCCATCATGGCCATGATTTGGGCAGGTAATGGCCTCATGAAGTCGCCTGGATCGAAGTTATGCGTTGACTGGAACTGATTCGGCGTTGACGAAGTGTTCGCAAACGCTGATGTGTTGTGTGTTCAACTTCACTACGTTGAGAAGTTGGTGGTTGGTCGTCAAACAGCTGTCCTGCTGTTGTAGTTGCAGGAGACGATCTTGTAGTCGTGGAGGTCGACTGCGTCGCCGATCTTGTAGGTACTTCAGGCAGAAGTAACGGTGGTTCATCAAACACGTCTGCCTCGTGCGGTGGGATGATCTCCTCATTAAACGACCTCTGATGAGTTGACTTGCTAAGTCATGTTGATTTCAATGCCGACCTAGTTATAGATGCCCTTTTCTGCGTTGTGGATGAAGCAGTAGTCTTTTTCTTACTTTGAGAGGGCGTCAAATCCGTCGTAGCAGACCTCATTTTTCTACCCCTCAACAGACGACTGCCCCTTCAAATTGTATACAAATAATAGATGATAGCTATAGCCAAATACACAGCGTAATTTTGATAAATAGGATCTAAATATAAAGGATATATGTATACTGGACTCCAGTGCTCGCCCAACCATCCGCTTGGGCGGGAAGGGAGAGAGTGACAAGTAAGGCTGGTCACATGACTGTTGTGGGTGAGTTTATTTTTACGGCTGTTTCAGGGAACACAAAGGATTCAAGTGTTCCACTACCATTCGCATGGAAAAGGGAGATAAGCAAAGATCATGAGTCAGGATAAGGAAAAATATATATTGTGTCGCAGGGGATGCACAGGTGGACCTATCTAGTTAGTGGTCACTGATGTGGACCATTGTAGTTGGTCACTCTGGTGGGCGCCTAAATGAAGCCACAAGTGGACCCAGCAGTGGACCCTGTAGTGCACCTGTCTAGAGGAAACTGTAATGATATGAGTCCTCAAATGGATGCTTTTTCGCCCTGTATAGTCTCTCTCATATGACCCCTCACATGGTCTCCCAATGGACCCCTCTAGTGGATCCTTTAATTTTTAAGTGACCTTTCGAATGGACCACTTCAGATGACCCCTCTAGTGGACCTCTCAAGTGGATGCCCAGTGTACCCCTCTATAGTGTACCCCTCTATAGTGTACCCCTCTATAGTGTACCCCTCTATAGTGTATCCCTCTAGTGGACTCCTTGAGTGGACCCCTTTAAATGACCCCTCTAGTGGACCCATTCAAAGTATCCCCCTAGTGGACCTCATTCCTTGATGGGTGTGGATCAGGTGGTCACGCTATCGATCACTGGTTTATCAGGCCCTGTAAAAATTACATACTGTAGATAATATGTTAGAATATCCAATAATGTTCCCCTGCTTTTTTCTCCTTTGGTCTGCATCAAAATTCATTGGGGGCGGTGTGCTAGCCTAGTGGTTAATGCATTCGCTTATCATGCCGAAGACTGGGGGTTTGATTTTACACATGGGTACAATGTGTGAAGCCCATTTCTGGTGGCACCCACCATGATACTGCTGGAATATTGCTAAAAGCGGCATAAAACTTCACTCACTCACTCACTCACTCACTCACTCACTCACTCACTCACTCACTCACTCCACTCACTCACTCCTCCACTCACTCAAACCACCACCCACCCACCCACCCACCCACCCACCCACCCACTCCTCCACTCACTCACTCACTCACTCCTCCTCCACTCACTCACTCACTCACTCACTCACTCACTCACTCACTCACTCAGAGTGCAGAGCTGCCAACCTTAGTTGTACCAGGATTCAGTCGTTATGGGTTTGACACTTGGTAACCAACCATCTAATACCTGTGTACTGTAGAGGGATTTGGGATTTCCTCCAATATGAACGGCTCATATCATGATATGACTTCCTTACTCTTTCCCACAGGCAACATTTGCGTCGGAGATCACCAAGAACAACGGGGACCTGACTGTCACACGGGAAGTAGATGGTGGCCTGGAAACAATCAAAGTGAAACTCCCGGCAGTCATCACCGCAGATCTACGTCTTAATGAACCTCGATATGCCACACTCCCCAATATCATGGTAGGTCAGATGAACCTCGATATGCCACCCTCCCCAATATCATGGTAGGTCAGATGAACCTTGATATGCCACCCTCCCCAATATCATGGTAGGTCAGATGAACCTCGATATGCCACCCTCCCCAATATCATGGTAGGTCAGATGAACCTCGATATGCCACACTCCCAATATCATGGTATCAACCTCGATATGTCCCCCAATATCATGGTAGGTCAGATGAACCTTGATATGCCACCTCTAATATCATGGTAGGTCAGATGAACCTCCGATATGCCACGACTCCCCAATATCATGGTAGGTCAGATGAACCTCGATATGCCACACTCCCCAATATCATGGTAGGTCAGATGAACCTTGATATGCCACTCCTCCCAATATCATGGTAGGTCAGATGAACTCGATATGCCATGCTCCCCAGTATCATGGTAGGTCAGATGAACCTCGATATGCCACACCCCCAATATCATGGTAGGTCAGATGAACCTCGATATGCCACCCTCCCCAATATCATGGTAGGTCAGATGAACCTCGATATGCCATGCTCCCCAGTATCATGGTAGGTCAGATGAACCTCGATATGCCACACTCCCCAATATCATGGTAGGTGAGATGAACCTCGATATGCCACCCTCCCCAATATCATGGTAGGTCAGATGAACCTCGATATGCCACACTCCCCAATATCATGGTAGGTCAGATGAACCTCGATATGCCACACTCCCCAATATCATGGTAGGTCAGATGAACCTTGATATGCCACACTCCCCAATATCATGGTAGGTCAGATGAACCTCGATATGCCACACCCCCAATATCATGGTAGGTCAGATGAACCTTGATATGCCACACTCCCCAATATCATGGTAGGTCAGATGAACCTCGATATGCCATGCTCCCCAATATCATGGTAGGTCAGATGAACCTCGATATGCCACACTCCCCAATATCATGGTAGGTCAGATGAACCTCGATATGCCACACTCCCCAATATCATGGTAGGTCAGATGAACCTTGATATGCCACACTCCCCAATATCATGGTAGGTCAGATGAACCTCGATATGCCATGCTCCCCAATATCATGGTAGGTCAGATGAACCTTGATATGCCACACTCCCCAATATCATGGTAGGTCAGATGAACCTCGATATGCCATGCTCCCCAGTATCATGGTAGGTCAGATGAACCTTGATATGCCACACCCCCAATATCATGGTAGGTCAGATGAACCTCGATATGCCACCCCCCCCCAATATCATGGTAGGTCAGATGAACCTTGGCATGTGAAAACGTAATTTAGGCCACTTCTCATTTACAGCAATTCTTTATTTTGTCACACAATTATTTTTCCAATACAACCAGCCATGGGTGAAAAATGATAAAATCAGAGGTAAAAATATTTCCTGGTAACCATGATACCATAATTCCCATGCCTTCCTGACTCCCTCCGCAGTACAGGAAGTAGTTGGAATACAGATAAGTTATAACACAAAATTCTTAGCGCTGGCAGACTTCTGCCAATTCTTTCATTGACATATAACTAGTGATACATACAGCCTGTTGTCCACAGAAAGCCAAAAAGAAGCCGCTAGCCAAGAAGAAGGCAAGTGACTATGGGGTGGACGTGACCCCATCACACCAGATCCTGTCGGTGGAGGACCCCCCTGTGCGGGAGGCAGGGCAGAAGCTGGAGACCACAGAGGACCTGGTTGGCAAGCTAAGGGAAGCAGGGCTGCTACCTTCATGATGACTGGAAGATCCTCGCCATCATAGAATTGTATGTTCACCTTTGGGTTCTTTTAATCATGTGGGGCGGTGGGGTAGCCTAATGGTTAAAGCGTTGGCTTGTCACGCCGAAGACCCGGGTTCGAATCCCCACATGGGTACAATGTGTGAAGCCCATTTCTGGTGTCCCCCGCCGTGATGTTGCTGGAATATTGCTAAAAGCGGCGTAAAACCAAACTCAGTCAGTCAGTCAGTCTTTTAATCATGTTTCCATTGTTCCATTTTAGGATTGTGTAGATGCTGTTTGTTTGTTGTGAACAAATATCTCAAGTCTGAGTGAGAATTGGTCTTCAGCAACCCATGCTTGTCGTAAGAGGTGACCAACGGGATTGGGTGATCAGGCTTGCTGACTTGGTTGACAGAGGTCATCTGTCTCAATTATGTAGACCGATGCTCATGCTGTTGATCACTGGATTGTCTGGTCCAGACTTGATTATTTACAGACCGCTGCCACATAGCTGGAATATTGCTGAGTGCGGCATTAAACAACAAACAAATGCTTGATTATTTACAGTCTTCCGGTACATAACTTTCCGCAACTTTAAATACCAACTGCTTACTCATTCTCCAGGTTTAAAACTCAGAAACTCTTGAAATCTTTTACTCACTCATTCATACTCCTATTTCAGGTATGAATGTAACCAAGAAGAGTTGTCTCCTTTGATAACAGGTGGATAATAGGACACTGCCAGTGGTTGCGCTCTGTGTGTATGTTGCCATGGATAGTCTGTAATTACTGTGTAAAGTATGTAATAATGATTGTGTTGATGACAGTTTTGAGTGTGACAAATTAAATATTTAGAACATTGACTGTTGAGTTATTTTTTTGCATCGATACTCCCAATGTTTGAGGCGTCTGCTATGAATGCATGTGCAGTAGTGTTGGGAATTGGTTGAAATCTCACAATTGATGATTGGTTCAATACCAACGACCAATCATCGAAAAAAAATTGGTTAGCGTCATTTTTTAGATTTTCCTATTCAGGTTGTATTTGCTGATAAGTATAAAGAAAAAAACATTTGTTTTTTTTTTGTTTTTTTAGAAACTGCACAAATTACAATTTCAGATTTCACATCCAGTGTAAAATGATTCAGTTCCAGTGTAACATTAACTTCCCAGAAATATTCAGTCATGACTTTTCAGAAAGTGAAGTGAGTTTTCTTAGAAATAAACACGTTTTCAGGCCCTGACAACGTCCTAGATATGTTCCATCATCAAGTATTTCAAACTCTATTACAGCGGTTCCAAAATCGTTTGTGTTCGATTATGAGAAAATTTGACCGATTGCTTGGTCGTTTGGCCACTGCGACCAATCTTCGATTATTTCAATTAATCGGAACACCACTAATGTGTAGTAGTCACACAAAATACTGCCATGTACATTTAATAGACCATACTTGATTTTGAGGCATTGTTTTCATTTTGAGACACACGTATTGAATCTTACCCTTGAAATTTGTCTGCTTTAATCGAGATTAATCCGGAAGATTGTTTTATACTTACCGACATGTCTCGCATGAACAAGACCATGTTTACATGTTCAGTTCCCATTTGTAGCAAGAATGAAGCATTGAGAACTCATTGAGAAAAGTAGACGAAAAACGATGCTAGTCACTGGAGACTACCATCACCAGATTCATGTTGACCTCAGCTTAATTTAGTTGTCTTGGGCTTGTGGACTCGCATGGATTTCAGAGGCTGCATGCACAGCATTATGAGTTCAACACAGTACAGTCGAATCTGATTGTGTCAAACTCATGTGAACGTTGAAATATTTGCTTTATCTGGTGTTCAAGACAACCAACAATTGGCTCAGTCAGTTGTGTGTCAAGTGAGAATAAAGCTTACGGTTTCGTGAGTGTAAATATGTGGTCATTTTTAAAAAAATAAATATTTGAAACCTTTCAAGTCATGGGTGTAATTTATGCTTAATTTTGATACTTGGGACTCCCAATTGAATATGAAACAACCTGTACTTTGACATGTCAGGTTCAAGATCCGGGTATTTATATGATCGCAAATAGGGACGGATTTCACATTGACCCTAATGTGAGTTTGGGAAAACGGTGAATTCGACGTATCCAAGCTGTAGACAAGGAGGCTTGCCTGCATTTAATTGCCATGCTTGACCTGCCCCCTAGACATAAATAACCCACAACGCTTTCTGTTAAAATACAAAATTTATTTCTGTAAACTGACACTAAGCTACTAATCAATTCTACATCCGATAAAGACAAGTAAAAGTGGTAAATACACTTGTGAAGGCTCCTCTCAAGTAGTTGAAAGAAAACAGTATCACATTGTTACATAGGGAACAATAAACAGTAATATATATATAAAATTAATCTCTGTGTCTGGTTATTGAGATTACATACTATGTAAAATATAAATTTATTTCACAAAACTTGATGTCCAATAAAAACATATCATCCAGGCGTTTGTGCACATAATCCGATATAATCACTGGGGCTTGTATTGCTGAAAATAATACGTCCTAGGTCCAACACTCGTTCACTGATAGCCACCTACATATAAATAATTAGGAGATAAACATTCTGTGTTGCAAAATCAGAGGTATGTAACGGAATTATAATACCTGTAAAGTTTTTATTTAAAACCTCACGCTACGCGTTCAAATTTTCCAAAACAGTATGTCCATCTCCATTCTACCATAACCGCGTTATGAAGATTTTAAAAAGATACATACATAGTGTGTTGGAAAATCAGAGGTATATAACGTGGTTATATACCTCTGAATGACTTTAATTAACCAATCACAATCCAGTATTTACTTTAGTTATGATAGAATTTTATTTATATGTAGATGGCTATCAGTGAACGAGTGTTGGACCTAGGACACACAAGCCCCTGTGGCTCTTTCCCGAGTGAACACGGTTGCGAAGCCAAGTCAGTTTGTCGTTTCCGATCTTTGAATCAGTATGTGTCTGACATGGTTTGTTCCCATGGTTACCAAAAGTGATGTCATAACACTAAAAGTTTGATGGAAGCAACTAGTTGTAAAAATACATTGGGGAAAAAAACTCGGACAAGTGTAAAAGGAAACTTGCTACAAGAAGCATCTAACAGAAAACTGAAACGCTTTGAGTGTTGTTAGGGGGAGACAACTGAGACAGTCGCTCCTCGCGACACCCACAATAAAATAACATCTCACCTTAAATGCTAAACATAAAATATCATAGTAGCGGAGATTGTCAGAATAACAATTTTAGGATACTCTAAAAATAGCATCAACATTAACATTGTCCACTGAGCTATCTTATGTGTCGAATCTTGTCTCTTACTTGGCAGTATCGAAGTACTGAGAGAACCATGCCTAGTATTACAGTATTAGGGCGTGGCTAGATGTGCCACTTGCGATTAAAGAATATTCAGCATTAACTTTACAAGGGAAGGGGCTCAGTTTCAATGTCGGTTGTATTCTGACGTGGGATGTGGTCATTTAGTGGCTAAGACTCGGGCTTAAGACCTTACTTAATTTTATTTGTATCTACTAACAGAGGGTCCCGTTACACAAAGGTCTCGTAAGCTAAGATATCGTAACTTTTCTCGTAGCATACGTACTTCCTATACTGTAACATTAACTACGACAGTCGTAGAGCTACAAGAGCTTTTGCCTTTGTACAAAGCGATCTTAGGGCCTAAGGTGATCGTAACTCCCATTCCTCAACAGAGACTTTCGACAGGAGTAGTGCTAAGGTTGCTTTGTACAACAGCACCCTGAAAGCGATGAAACGGTAATGTTAGATTTTGAGTGTCTAAAGAAGCAATTAATTATCAAATAGTACTAATTAATGAGTGATTGGCTCTTGGTCTTCCTTTTTCTTGGCTGCTCTTCTTTCATTACATAGGCGGTATGTTATGAAGATGATCCCACAGGCAACCACGATGATGGACAGAACGCCAGCAATTGTCAGAACGTCTGTACCTTGTTCAACTGAAATATATGGAGTATTGTCAAAACCTGTCTGTCCTCTACTGAAATATATAGTTGATTGATTGTTACCTGTTTAACGAAGCACTCAGCAATATTCCAGCTATATGACTGCGGTCTGTAAATAATCGAGTCTGAACCAGACAATCCAATGATCAACAGCATGGGCATCGATCTACGCAAATGGGAATTGATGACATGTGTCAACCAAGTCAGCGAACCTGACAACCCGATCCCGTTAGTCGCCTCTTACGACAACCATGGGTTGCTGAAGACCAAATCTAACCGGGAGTGGTTTAAAGTGTGTATTCTTGAAACGAAATTTATAGTGTTCTGAGAAAGAGCGTTTTCTTTAAGTGAAATTTACAGAGTGTTTTCAGAAAATGTATTCTTTAACTGAAATGTACATAGTGTTTTTAGAATGGTGTGTGTTCTTCAAGTGAATTTTAAAGAGTTTTCAGAAAGTGTGTATTCTCGAAACGGAATTTAGAACGTGTGTTATTGAAATGCAATAAACAGTATCGCGAGGTGTGTTCTTCAAATGAAATTTATAGAGTCAAGTGAGAACATGTTCTCGTCCCCCATCAGTATGTACAGATACCAGAGCTCATCAAACGGAGACATATGTAGACTTACTCTCCCGTGGTACAAGCGTGTCGGCATAGTATTGGAACCTGAAGCCTTTGTTTGCCATCATATCCATGTTGCCGTCCCCACCAGTCATCTTCATGTTCATGTCGTCAGCCTTGAAGGTGAGCATCAGCACCTGGCCAGTGCCGCGATACGTTGGTTTCCTCTTTCCACACCACTCGCCAATTCTTTCAGTGTCGTGGCTCTCACCTGGAACATGATTGGAGGTCAGAGTTGACTGACAGAACAGTGTCCCCAAAATCGTTCCCCTCTCTCATCACCTCTCTCAATTCTCTCGGACCGCCTCCGTGGTGTAGTGGTTGGAACCAGTGGTTAGAGCGGAAGGTCGCGGGTTCGATCCCCGGCCGCGTCATACCAAAAGACGTTAAAATATGGTACTTGTTGGTCTCTGCCTGGCGCTCAGCATTAATGGGTACAAGGACTTGCCGGCACGGAGTCAGTATAATGTGTATGGGTGGGTATTCATGCTTCACTGCGGCATGGTATCTCAGTGAGCTAGCACTATAAAACCAGCTTCAGTCTGGGCCAGTACAAGCAGCCGCACATACACACGCATGCACGTCGTCATATGAGTGAAATATTCTTAATTCTCTCTCCACCCACTCTCAATCGTCCCTTCTGCCCTCTCTCAACATTGCTCTTTTCTCTCTCCTTCCTGCTTTCCACACCTGTCTTCAATTCTCTCCGCCCCTCACCATGTTCATTCATTCTCTCTCCTCTCATATTTCCCCTCCCAATCTCCCCCCGCCCCTTCTGTTCTCTCTCCACCTCACTCATAGTCGCTCCGGGGCGGTGGGGTAGCCTAATGGTTAAAGCGTTCGCTCGTCATGCCGAAGACCCGGGTTCGATTCCCCACATGGGTACAATTATGTGAAGCCCATTTCTGGTGTCCCCCGCCGTGATATTGCTGGAATATTGCTAAACGCGGCGTAAAACCCAACTCACTCACTCACTCACTCATAGTCGCTCCAAAGTTTCTTCTTCCAACCCATCTGCCCCCTCTCACCTCAACCCTGTCTTCTCCTACATCACCACCTCCCAACCTACATCACCCTCTCTCTTCCTATCTCCCCACTTTTTCTCCCACTCTTACTTCTCTCAACCCTCTCTCCACATATTTCTGTATGTCACAACCACCCTCACCTCAGACCTCTCTCCACCTACATCACCCTCTCTCCACCTACATCACCCTCTCCAGACTCCTACATGACTTTCTCTCCTCCCATCACTCTCCGTCCTCTCACCTCAGACTCTCCCCTACACCACCCCCTCTCCCGACTCTCTCCTACACCACCCTCCCTCCCGACTCTCTCCTACATCACCCTCCCTCCCGACTCTCTCCTACATCCCCCCTCTCCCGACTCTCTCCTACATCACCCTCCCTCCCGACTCTCTCCTACATCTCCGTCTCCTCCCATAAATTGATCTCCCACTGCCCCGTCCTTTCAACTCTCTGCGTCCATTTTTAGTGCCATTCCTCCCCACCTTTCTTTCATCTCTGATATCTATATCCACTCATCATATGTGGAGTGAATGAAAAAATATCTTCTTACCATCATTGACGAAGGCGAAGTCGTCACAGTTGTCAGGCAAGTTAGATTCTAGTACCTCAATGACCACGACGTAATCCGGGCGATATGACACGAACCTCCACGAGCACATCGAGGCGCTGAAACAGTAAATACAAAACTATGGCACGGACAATGCTGAAACTTTCACCTCAATAGACAAGGAGCTGAAATAGTAAACACAAAACTAGGATATGGGACGGACAGCTGAAACTTTGATCTCAGTAGACAAGGAGCTGGAATAGTAAACACAAAACTATGATATGGGACGGACAGCTGAAACTTTGATCCCAGTAGACAAGGAGCAGGAACAGTAAATACAAAACTATGGCGCGTACAAAGCTGATACTCTCACCTAAATTGACAAGGAGCTGAAACTTTTACCAAAGTAACACTCAAACTTGAAACATTCACCACAGTAACGCACCAACATGGATGAAACCTTCACAGGAACTCACCTACATGGGTGAAACCTTCACAGGAACTCACCAACATGGGTGAAACCTTCACAGGAACTCACCAGCATGGGTGAAGCAGAGCTGAAGGGTACAGCTCGAAGGTGTATTCAAATGGGTATTGCATGGAAGCTAGCTAAGTGTACTCACAGTGGGTATTGGATGGAGGCAAGCTAGGTGTACTCACAGTGGGTATTGGATGGAGGCAAGCTAGGTGTACTCACAGTGGGTATTGCATGGAAGCTAGCTAAGTGTACTCACAGTGGGTATTGGATGGAGGCAAGCTAGGTGTACTCATTGTGGGTATTGCATTGAAGCTAGCTAAGTGTACCCATTGTGTGTATTGCATGGTGGCTAGCTAGGAGTACTCATTGTGTGTATTGCATGGAGGTTAGCTAGGTGTACTTACAGTGGGTATTGCATGGAAGCTAGCTAGGTGTACTCACAGTGGGTATTGGATGGAGGCAAGCTAGGTGTACTCACAGTGGGTATTGCATGGAGGCTAGCTAGATGTACTCACAGTGGGTATTGAACGGTGGCAAGCTAGGTGTACTCATTGTGGGTATTGCATGGAGGCTAGGTAGATGTACTCACAGTGGGTATTGAATGGTGGCAAGCTAGATGTACTCACAGTGTACATTTCATGGAGGCTAGCTAGGTGTATTCACAGTGGGTATTGAATGGAGACTAGCTAGGTGCACTCATTGTGTGTATTGCATTGAAGCTAGCTAAGTGTACTCATTGTGTGTATTGCATGGTGGCTAGCTAGGAGTACTCATTGTGTGTATTGCATGGAGGTTAGCTAGGTGTACTTACAGTGGGTATTGAATGGAGGCAAGCTAGGTGTACTCATTGTGTGTATTGAATGGAGGCAAGCTAGGTGTCCTCACCGTGGTATTGCATGCATGCTAGCTAGGTGTACTCACAGTGAGTATTGCATGCATGCTAGCTAGGTGTACTCACAGTGGGTATTGAATGGTGGCTAGCTAGGTGTACTCACAGTGGGTATTGCATGGAGGTTAGCTAGGTGTACTCACAGTGGGTATTGAATGGAGGCTAGCTAGGTGTACTCACAGTGGGTATTGAATGGTGGCTAGCTAGGTGTACTCACAGTGGGTATTGCATGGTGGCTAGCTAGGTGTACTCACAGTGGGTATTGCATGGAGGTTAGCTAGGTGTACTCACAGTGGGTATTGAATGGAGGTAAGCTAGGTGTACTCACAGTGGGTATTGAATGGTGGCTAGCTAGGTGTACTCACAGTGGGTATTGCATTGTGGCTAGCTAGGTGTACTCACAGTGGGTATTGCATGGAGGTTAGCTAGGTGTACTCACAGTGGGTATTGAATGGAGGTTAGCTAGGTGTACTCACAGTGGGTATTGCATGGTGGCTAGCTAGGTGTACTCACAGTGGGTATTGAATGGTGGCTAGCTAGGTGTACTCACAGTGGGTATTGCATGGAGGCTAGCTAGGTGTACTCACAGTGGGTATTGCATGGTGGCTAGCTAGGTGTACTCACAGTGGGTATTGCATAGGGAAGTTAGGTGATGTCAAGATGACCTTTTCTCTCTTAGCCAAGATGTTCATCATTTTAGGACAGCCTCCTTCCTCTGTGGAGAAGAACCACCATTTACATAATACAGCAAGCTACTTACTTCTTATTGAGAAATATCACATTATTTCACCATTTCAACATTACATACTTCTTGCAGAAAAGTATCTCACCATTTCACCACTACGTACTTTTTAGAGAGAAATATCTCACCATTACATAATTCTTGCAGAGAAATATCTCACCATTTCACCATTACATACTTCTTGCAGAGAAATATCTCACCATTTCAACACTACATAATTCATACAGAGAAATATTTCACTATTTCATCACTATTTACTTTTTACAGAGAAACTATTCACCATTTCAGTAATGAAGAAATATATCATCATTTTACTAGAACTTTACAGATATATATATTTTACCAGTTCACCACTACTTCTTACTGAACAATATTTCACTATTTTACTTCTAACTGAGAAATGTTTCACCATTTCACCACTACTGTTTTTACAGAGAAATATTTCACCACCATGTCACTACTTACTTCTTACAGAGAAATGATTCACCACGATGTCACTACTTACTTCTTACAGAGAAAAGTTTCACCACGATGTCACTACTTACTTCTTACAGAGAAATGTTTCACCACGATGTCACTACTTACTTCTTACAGAGAAATGTAAATGTTTCACCACGATGTCACTACTTACTTCTTACAGAGAAATGTAAATGTTTCACCACGATGTCACTACTTACTTCTTACAGAGAAATGTTTCACCACGATGTCACTACTTACTTCTTACAGAGAAATGTTTCACCACGATGTCACTACTTACTTCTTACAGAGAAATGTTTCACCACGATGTCACTATTTACTTCTAACTGAGAAATGTTTCACCATTTCACCACTACTGTTTTTACAGAGAAATATTTCACCACGATGTCACTACTTACTTCTTACAGAGAAATGTTTCACCACGATGTCACTACTTACTTCTTACAGAGAAATGTTTCACCACGATGTCACTACTTACTTCTTACAGAGAAATGTTTCACCACGATGTCACTACTTACTTCTTACAGAGAAAAGTTTCACCACGATGTCACTACTTACTTCTTACAAAGAAATGTTTCACCACGATGTCACCACTTACTTCTTACAGAGAAATGTTTCACCACGATGTCACTACTTACTTCTTACAGAGAAATGTTTCACCACGATGTCACTACTTACTTCTTACAGAGAAATGTTTCACCACGATGTCACTACTTACTTCTTACAGAGAAATGTTTCACCACGATGTCACTACTTACTTCTTACAGAGAAATGTTTCATCATTTTAACAGAACTATTTTTACAGAAAAGTATTTCACCATTTCCGCTCTACTTACTTCTTACAGAGAAGTATTTCACAATGACCTTTCCCTTCATCATTTTGTTATCTGTCATGATTTCGTAAGACAGATATCGACCAGTGCTGGAAAACATTTTCTTGAATGCCCCACACATCTTTTCCATTGGTGATGCTTTGTCTTCTCCTGGAACAAAAACACCATACTGACCATTTAACATTCTGACGGGTCGTGGGAGGGACAGGGGGTCGTTGGGGGGGACAGGGGGTCGTTGGGGGAACAGTGGTTTGGGGGAAGATGAAGCTGAAGAGGATGGAGAAGGGTGGCGATGGCTGGACATTTGCTTACAATCAGTTCTTCATCATATATACTCAGCAGCAAAAAACACCCGTCAGTACGAATTCAAAATTAGATAGGCACTGTAATCAAATCATTTCAGAAATGGACATACTAAGCGGATCAAAAACATTTTTTGTGTACAATATCTTGACACATCAATGAATAACTCGGCACAATTTCAAGACATTACGTGAACGTTTGCAATCCATTCAAACTCTTGACTTCAGTATCTAGTGTGGGTACCACGAGCGGCAATAACTGCAGCACAGCGTCTATGCATGGAGTGCACCAATCGATTGATGAAGGCCATTGGCACCTGGAACCACACTCTGAGAAAGGCCTGGCGCAATAAATCGGCTGTGCTCGGCCTTGGTATGATATTATTCAGTCTCCTCTGAATTTCATCCCAAAGATGTTCAATTGGGTTTAAATCAGGACTAAGGGCTGGCCACTGCATAATGTTGACACCGTTCGGCTGTAGGAAGTCCCGTGTAGCTCTGGCAGTATGGGCCCGGGCGTTATCATGCTGGAAAATGTTCTTCCGGTGACGTGCGAAATGTGGTATGACGCGGGGTCTGAGAGCTTGGTCGATGTAGCGCACCGCTGTGATGCCGCCTCCTCTCCTTGGACCAAGGTTCTGGAACACCACAGGACCCACTCTCTGGTTCAGGCCTATTCCACCCCATACCATGATGATTGCACCTCCCCATGAGTCTGGTTTGAGTAACACTGGCCACGTCGTCGCCATATTCTTGTTCTGCCATCTCCATTTGATACGCAGTACCGACTCACATTTGTGAACAGAACAGTTCTCCATTGCCTGTATCGCCAGTTTTGGTGTTGTAGGGCAAACTGTAGACGTTCACGCCGATGACGAGGGGTGAGGATAGGTCCACGGTAAGGCCTACGGCAATGGAGGTTCCCGCTGTTAAGACTTCGGCGTACTGTATCAGTACTGATTGGTCTTCCATGTGTTCCCACTGTCTGGCGTGCTGTTTCGGATGCCTGCATGAAGGGATTTTGTACATGCCGTCGCACAACATGGCAGTCTTGTCGTCTTATGGTCACCCTTGGTCTGCCATTACTGGGGCGATCATTTGTGGTGTTGGTGGCCCGGAAACGTTGCTGCAGCCTGTAGATGGTCCGAACGTTGACCTGGAAGTGATTGGCAACGGCTTGTGCAGTGTGGCCACCTTCAAGTCTTCCTAGCGCCTGGTTCCTCTAAACTGTGATGAGTCGCGGGATCCTGCTGACGTTGTAATGTAAATGTTTCAACCAGGTTTAGGGGTGCATTTTATAGGGCTGGTCCTTGTGAACAGCACGTGGAGCATGAGTTGCATGAAAAACATGGAGAACACCGTACCATCTCCCGAGATCAGGTTGCGTTTTTGAGACCATTTCCTGGGTTCCATTCTGAGTTTTGGAAGAAATGTCTTTGCTCAGGTAAAGTTGGAGATGTGGTAAAAAATATACAATCAAAACATTAAATGAGTTTACAGTTATCCGTTTCTGCAAAGGAAAATTCCAAACTGACGTTTCTTTTGCTGCTTAGTATATCAGATTCGAATCCACACTCTCACAGTCAGGCACCTAATCGCCAGCACACACAGTCAGCAATCTAACCCACTCAGCCACCGTGGCTTCCAGTGAGATGGAGACCTGACAACAGGCAGTCTAGTGACATACTTTGTGTGGCCAACTGACAAGTTTAATTGGGCTCCCACTGCTGAAGCTATGAATACACGATGCTTTTTAGAAAGTGGTCAGATGTAACATACGTTACATTGGGATAGCACTGTCTCAGTACAGACTCTAGCACCTTTTTGGAATCCCCATTCTCAGAGTCAGGCACCCAATCGCCAGCACACAAAGTTAGCGATCTAACCCACTCAGCCATCGCCGCTTCCACAAATCGGACAACTGGTAGTCTACATCACATGCTTTTACCTTTGTTACGGACCGCCTCCGTGGTGTAGTGGTTAGAGCGTCCGCCCGGAGAGCGGAAGGTCGCGGGTTCGATCCCCCACCGCGTCATACCAAAAGACGTTAAAATATGGTAATTGTTGGACCCTGCCTGGCGCTGGGCATTAATGGGTACAACAAGGACTGGTCGGCTCGGAGTCCGTATAATGTGTCTGAGTGGGGTATTCATGCTTCACTGCGGTATGGTATCTCAGTGGGCTAGCACTATAAAACCAGCTTCAGTCTGGGCTAGTACAAACAGCCGCACATACACATACATACGCATGCACGTCGTCATATGAGCGAAATATTCTCCAGCACGACGTTAAACCCAATTTCACCTCACCTCACCTCACCTCACCTCTCTTACGAGCAAAACTGGGCATCGCACCCGTTGCCTGAGCTATGAATACACAATGCCACTTAGAAAGTGTCCAGATATAACATATGTTGTATTTGAGATTACACTTTCTCAATCAAGTACATATTGTAGTACTTGTGTCTGGTTGAGTCCCGTCTAGGAGTAGTATGTTCAAAACTTTCAAAGTTCAATTCAAACTTACCAGATTTTTAAACGTAGTATTTTTTTTGTTATTTTACACTTGGCTAAACTTTACCTACAATCACCAGCGGCTGAAGGGATGGTGTAAATCCAGCCAGGGTCCATGCAGGTAGCAAAAGTAATGTAAGTCCCCATGGTCCCTAGCATGGTGATGTACCTTCAGTTGTTGGCGGTCTTTAGCCCATTTTCACATTTGTTGTTGTTTATTATCTATTCTTTTAAATGCTATCAACTAGTTGTAACTTCTAACTGTTATTCTACTCTCCACCCATGACAGGTTATTATTCCGTATGTATTTAGTCTTAAGATTCAAATTCTCGTCACGATATGGCTGAAATATTGCCGATGTGACGCTAAACTTTAACCCACTCACTCACTCATCCGTCTAGGAATACCAGAGTAAGGCAATTATCCAATACCGACAACGACAGACAAGAAAAACATATTTTAAGTTATCTCCCTTCCTTCGATTTGCATTCGCAAAACATCGGTACTTTCCGCTCATAATATAGACTCAATTATTCGAGATAAAGAATTACTAACACGAAGTACCAAATGAATTCCTACAGTTCGTCATTCCCAGCGGGTAACATAGAAAATGTTACTCACATGTAAGCAGGGTACATTGAAAATATTAGAAGAGTACTCAGCCAATAGACAAACGACATGATATTTTGGGCAATTTTGCTCAAAGTTAGGTTTCCGATATTTATCGATAGTCAATCGATATTGTGTTAACGCTAATCGATGTCTATGATCTATATTGATAGCCAGTGTCCTTACCATCATATACTGTGACACAGTCGGCCATGTCCATCAGGGTTGACTCTATGTGAACGTTTACCACCTCATCGTCACTGGGCGCCATCACTCGGTACATGCACATGGAGTTCCTGGAACACACACAACAGGCTCCTGTATCTAATACCTCGAGTCCATATTACATGATGGCAACGGGGAGGGGTCAGGTTGGGGTGGGGGTGGGGGGTGACTTGGCAACATAGTTTGGAGGGGTCAGGGTGGGTGACATGGCAACCTCATGGGGAGGGGTTAGGGTGGGGTGGGTGACTTGACAACATAGTTTGGGGGATCAGAGTGGGTGACATGGCAACCTCATGGGAAGGGGTCAGGGTGGGTGGGTGACATGGCAACGAATGTGGAGGGTCAGGGTGGGTGGGTGACATGGCAACCTAGTTTTGAGTGGTCAGGGTGGGTGGGTGACATGGAAACTTAGTTTTGGGGAGGAGGGTGGGTGGGTGACATGGCAACTAGTTTGGAGGAGACAGGGTGGGTGGATTATATGACAACTTCATGGGGAGGGGTCAGGGTGGGTGGGTGATATGGCAATCTAGTTTGGAGGGGACAGGGTAGGTGGGTGACACGGCAACCTAGTTTGGAGGGGTCAGGGTGGGTGGGTGACTTGGCAACTAGTTTGGAGGGGTCTAGGTTGGTGGGTGACATGGCAACCCTAGTTTGGAGGGTCAGGGTTGGTGGGTGACTTGGCAACTAGTTTGGAGGGTCAGGGTGGGTGGGTGACATGGCAACCTAGTTTGGAGGGGTCAGGGCGGGTGGGTGACATGGCAGCCTCATGGGGAGAGGGTCAGGGTGGGTGGGTGACATGGCAACCCTAGTTTGGAGGGTCAGGGTGGGTGGGTGACATGGCAACCTAGTTTGGACTGGTCAGGGTGGGTGGGTGATATGACAACTTCATGGGGAGGGTCAGGGTGGTTGGGTGAGATGGCAACCCTAGTTTGGAGGGGTCAGGGTGGGTGGGTGACATGGCAATCTACTTTTTGGAGGGGTCAGGGTGGGTGGGTGACATGGCAGCCTCATGGGGAGGGGTCAGGGTGGGTGACTTGGCAATCATGGGATCATCAGTTATCCTACCTCTGAATGTCCTCATGTTCTGCTGTCTTTGCAGTACCATTGTCGGCCGCCATTTTCATAAACATTCCGTTACACTGTGAGGCTGCAACAAGAACGTCATAAATACAAACATCCGGGTGCTTCAATTTGCTACAGCAAAGGACGCTGAAGGACAGGTGTTTGGTCTTCGAAGAATTTCCGACCAAACCATCTGAAATTGTCTGAGAGAAGCGATAATTGGAGCGTATCGACCAAAAGTTGGAGCTGTCCTGACACGGCTACACCGACAACGACGTGTCCAGTGGTCCAACAAGATACAGGTATGGAACCTGAGGAACTGGCGACGCGTTTGGTTCAGCGATGAGTGGCGTTTCATCCTGCAACGACGGGATTGGAGGCAACGTGTCTATCGATGTCAACACGAACGTTTTGCGCCGAACTGCGTTCGACAGGTGGACCGATTTAGTGGGGAGGCGTCATGGTGTGGGGAATCATTTCCTACATGGGTAGAACAGAGCGAGCGGTGGTTGAAGGCAGTGTTACAGCAAATCGCAACATCGACCAAATCCTGCGACCTCATCTTCTCCCACTTTTTATCCGTAGAGGGAGCTGTAAACACAACAATGTTCGACCCCTCGCAGCTCGTGTAGCAGGTACCTATCTCACCAATAAAAACGTCAATACCCATATGTATGACAGGTGTAAAACACTACAGATATATGACAGGTATAAGACACACCAGATGTATGACAGGTATAACACACAACAGATGTATGACAGGTATAACACACAACAGATGTATGACAGGTATAACACACACCAGATGTATGACAGATATAACGCACACCAGATCTATGACAGATATAACACACACCAGATGTATAACAGGTATAACACACTCCAGATGTATGACAGGTATAACACACTCCAGATGTATGACAGGTGTAATACACACCAGATGTATGACATGTATAACACACTCCAGATGTATGACAGGTATAACACACACCAGATGTATGAAAGGTGTAATAGACACCAGATGTATGACAGGTGTAACACACTCCAGATGTATGACAGGTGTAATACACACCATGTGTATGACAGGTATAACACACTCCAGATGTATGACAGGTATAACACACTCCAGATGTATGACAGGTATAACACGCTCCAGATGTATGACAGGTATAACACACACCAGATGTATGACAGGTGTAATACACACCAGATGTATGACAGGTGTAACACACACCAGATGTATGACAGGTATAACACACACCATGTGTATGAAAGGTATAACACACTCCAGATGTACGACAGGTATGACACACACCAGATGTATGACAGGTGTAATACACACCATGTGTATGAAAGGTGTAACACACTCCAGATGTATGACAGGTGTAACATACACCAGATATATGACAGGTATAACACACACCAGATGTATGACAGGTATAACACACTCCAGATGTATGACAGGTATAACACACACCAGATGTATGACAGGTATAAGACACTCCAGATGAATGACAGGTGTAGTACACACCAGATCTATGACAGGTATAACACACACCAGATGTATGACAGGTATAACACACACCAGATGTATGACAGGTGTAATACACACCAGATGTATGACAGGTATAACACACACCAGATGTATGACAGGTATAACACACGCCAGATGTATGACAGGTGTAATACACTCCAGATATACGACAGGTATAACACACACAAGATGTATGACAGGTATAACACACTCCAGATGTATGACAGGTATAACACACACCAGATGTATGACAGGTATAACACACTCCAGATGTATGACAGGTGTAATACACACCAGATGTATGACAGGTATAACACACTCCAGATGTATGACAGGTATAACACACACCAGATGTATGACAGGTATAACACACGCCAGATGTATGACAGGTGTAATACACACCATGTGTATGACAGGTATAACACACTCCAGATGTATGACAGGTATAACACACTCCAGAGGTACGACAGGTATGACACACACCAGATGTATGACAGGTGTAATACACACCAGGTGTATGACAGGTGTAACACACTCCAGATGTATGACAGGTGTAACATACACCAGATATATGATAGGTATAACACACTGCAGATGTATGACAGGTGTGTCACACTCCAGATGTATGACAGGTATAACACACGCCAGATGTATCACAGGTATAACAGACGCCAGATGTATGACAGGTATAACACACAACAGATGTATGACAGGTATAACACACGTCAGATGTATGACAGGTATAACACACAACAGATGTATGACAGGTATAACACACGCCAGATGTATGACAGGTATAACACACGCCAGATGTATGACAGGTATAACACACAACAGATATATGACAGGTATAACACACACCAGTTGTGTGAAAGGTATAACACACAACAGATGTATGACAGGTATAACACACAACAGATGTATGACAGGTATAACACACAACAGATGTATGACAGGTATAACACACTCCAGATGTATGACAGGTATAACACACACCAGTTGTGTGAAAGGTATAACACACAACAGATGTATGACAGGTATAACACACAACAGATGTATGACAGGTATAACACACAACAGATGTATGACAGGTATAACACACAACAGATGTATGACAGGTATAACACACTCCAGATGTATGACAGGTATAACACACAACAGATGTATGACAGGTATAACACACACCAGTTGTGTGAAAGGTATAACACACGCCAGATGTATGACAGGTATAACACACACCAGATGTATGACAGGTATAACACACAACAGATGTATGACAGGTATAACACACACCAGGTGTATCACAGGTATAACACACACCAGATGTATGCCAGGTATAACACACAACAGATGTATGACAGGTATAACACACAACAGATGTATGACAGGTATAACACACTCCAGATGTGTCATAGTGCGGGGTAATAATGATCAGAATATATTTGTGCGCTTTGAGCAAGATATGAGGCCGTGAAAGTTTCTTATAAATATTCTACATTTTTATTATTATCATTATACTCAGTGTTACTCAGACCAGACTTACCAAATGAAGCAACCCTGAGAAGGAATCTCTCAGATGACACAGTTCTCAGCCTGAGGTCAGGCCCGGTACTCAAAAACATGGGTTTGGGCATGCAGGTCTTGGAGATGTTTGTCGTCCCTGTCGCACCTGACAATACAGAGCAAATGGAGGGTGTGATGAATATTGGTGATACCTTTGGTCTGTGTGCTCCAGAGTTGCGTCTGGTCTCCCTGAATGTCTGTCTATTCTCTAGGCATCTATGTTGCTGTATTCTCTAGGGATGTATGTTAACTGTATTCTCTTGGCATCTATGTTAACTGTATTCTATAGGCATCTATGTTAACTATATTCTCTAGGCATCTATGTTAACTGTATTCTATAGGTATCTATGTTAACTGTATGCTCTAGGCATCTATGTTAACTGTATTCTCTAGGCATCTATGTTAACTGTATTCTCTAGGCATCTTTGTTAACTGTATTCTCTAGGCATCTATGTTAACTGTATTCTCTAGGCATCTATGTTAACTATATTCTCTAGGCATCTATGTTAACTGTATTCTATAGGCATCTATGTTAACTGTATTCTCTAGGCATCTATGTTGCTGTATTCTCTAGGCATCTATGTTAACTATATTCTCCTGTAATGTATGTTAACTATATTCTCTAGGCATCTATGTTAACTGTATTCTCTAGGCATCTATGTTAACTGTATTCTCTAGGCATCTATGTTAACTGTATTCTCTAGGCATCTATGTTAACTATATTCTCTAGGCATCTATGTTAACTGTATTCTCTAGGCATCTATGTTAACTGTATTCTCTAGGCATCTATGTTAACTGTATTCTCTAGGCATCTATGTGAACTGTATTCTCTAGGCATCTATGTTAACTGTATTCTCTAGGCATCTATGTTAACTGTATTCTATAGGCATCTATGTTAACTGTATTCTCTAGGCATCTATGTTGCTGTATTCTCTAGGCATCTATGTTAACTATATTCTCCAGTTATGTATGTTAACTGTATTCTCTAGGCATCTATGTTAACTGTATTCTCTAGGCATCTATGTTAACTATATTCTCTAGGCATCTATGTTAACTGTATTCTCTAGGCATCTATGTTAACTATATTCTCTAGGCATCTATGTTAACTGTATTCTTCTAGGCATCTATGTTAACTGTATTCCTGGTGGGCATCTATGTTAACTGTATTCTCTAGGCATCTATGTGAACTGTATTCTCTAGGCATCTATGTTAACTGTATTCTCTAGGCATCTATGTTAACTGTATTCTATAGGCATCTATGTTAACTGTATTCTCTAGGCATCTATGTTGCTGTATTCTCTAGGCATCTATGTTAACTATATTCTCCAGTTATGTATGTTAACTGTATTCTCTAGGCATCTATGTTAACTGTATTCTCTAGGCATCTATGTTAACTATATTCTCTAGGCATCTATGTTAACTGTATTCTCTAGGCATCTATGTTAACTGTATTCTCTAGGCATCTATGTTGCTGTATTCTCTAGGCATCTATGTTAACTATATTCTCCTGTTATGTATGTTAACTATATTCTCTAGGCATCTATGTTACACTGTATTCTCTAGGCATCTATGTAGCTGTATTCTCTAGGCATCTATGTTAACTATATTCTCCTGTTATTTATGTTAACTGTATTCTCTAGGCATCTACGTTAACTATATCCTCTAGACATCTATGTTAACTGTATGCTCTAGGCATCTATGTTAACTATATTCTCTAGGCATCTATGTTAACTGTATTGTCCAGGTATCTATATCAACTGTATTCTCTAGACATCTATGTTAACTGTATGCTCTAGGCATCTATGTTAACTGTATTCTCTAGGCATCTATGTTAACTATATTCTCTAGGTATCTATGTTAGCTGTATTCTCTAGGCATCTATGTTAACTGTATTCTCTAGGGATCTATGTTAACTGTATTCTCTAGGGATCTATGTTAACTGTATTCTCTAGGCACCTATGTTAACTGTATTCTCTGGGCATCTATGTTAACTGTATTCTATAGGCATCTATGTTAACTGTATGATCTAGGCATCCATGTTAACTGTATTCTCTAGTCATCTATGTTAACTGTATTCTCTTGGCATCTATGTTAACTGTATTCTCTAGGAATCTATGTTAACTGTATTCTCTAGGCATCTATGTTAACTGTATGATCTAGGCATCCATGTTAACTGTATTCTCTAGGCATCTATGTTAACTGTATTTTCTTGGCATCTATGTTAACTGTATTCTCTAGGGATGTATGTTAACTGTATTCTCTAGGCACCTATGTTAACTGTATTCTCTTGGCATCTATGTTAACTGTAATCTCTAGGAATCTATGTTAACTGTATTCTCTTGGCATCTATGTTAACTGTATTCTCGAGGAATCTATGTTAACTGTATTCTCTAGGCATCTATGTTAACTGTATGATCTAGGCATCCATGTTAACTGTATTCTCTAGTCATCTATGTTAACTGTATTTTCTTGGCATCTATGTTAACTGTATTCTCTAGGGATGTATGTTAACTGTATTCTCTAGGCACCTATGTTAACTGTATTCTCTGGGCATCTATGTTAACTGTAATCTCTAGGAATCTATGTTAACTGTATTCTCTTGGCATCTATGTTAACTGTATTCTCTAGGAATCTATGTTAACTGTATTCTCTAGGCATCAATGTTAACTATATTCTCCAGTTATCTACGTTAACTATAATCTCCGGTTATGTATGTCAACTGTATTGTCTAGGTATCTATGTCAACTGTATTCTACAGTTATGTATACTAACTTTATTCTCCCGTTATCTCTGTCTGTATGTATTCTCTATGTGTGCATGGTAAATTTGTTCTCAAGTAATTTATGTTAACTGTATTGTTTTTGTACAGATTCTGCAGAAAGTCAATATTTGACCTTACATGTATATGTGTTGTGTATATATTTCACAACACGGTGAGTGAGTGAGTTTAGTTTTATGCCACTTTTAGCAATATTCCAGCAATATCATAGCGGGAAATACCAGAAATGAATTTTACACATTGTACCCAAGTGGGGAATCGAACCCGGGTCTTCGGCGTGACAAGCGAGCGCTTTAACCCCTTCACAATACAGTGTATTGATAAAGTACACTCACCTTCCAGTACTTCAACAGGGAATGGACTGTTACACGGGACGTCTAGTCCTGTTGTGTTGCTGATGACAGTGACCCGAACCGTAGTGCCTGGTGCCAGCAGGGTCTTGTCACAGTATACCCTGGGGGTCAAACACGGATTACAGTGGTGAGTGAGTGAGTGAGTGAGTGAGTGAGCGAGCGAGCGAGCGTGCGTGCGTGCGTGCGTGCGTGCGTGCGTGCGTGCGTGCGTGCGTGAGTGAGTGAGTGAGTGAGTGAGTGAGTGAGGTTTTACGCTGCTTTTAGCAATATTCCAGCAACATCACGGCGGGGGACACCAGAAATGGGGTTCACACATTGTACCCATGTGGGGAATCGACCCCGGGTCCTCGGCGTGACGTGTTAACCACAAATATACCCCACCACCCCTCAGCTTACAGTGGGTTGGGCAGGATTTGACCTTGACCTCCATAACAAGGGGTCCAAAGGATTGGTTGTTGATTGTTGTTTAACGCCGCACTCAGCAATATTCCAGCTTTATAGCGACGGTCTGTAAACAATCGAGTCTGGACCAGACAATCCAGTGATCAACAGCACGAGCATCTATCTACCCAACTGGGATACGATGATATGTGATGACCAGGTCAACGAGCCTGACCACCAGATCAGACAGATTAGACAGACAGTCAGACAGGATGTTATGTTCCAGACGCTTCTTTGCGTTAAAGGACCATTATAGACAGATTTCCGCATAGTAAAGAGAAGGCTGAGTGGTGGGATTTCACACTATCCTACCCAGAGTTTCATGTGGCCAGCATAGTACCTCTGCCACAGCCCAGAGAGATGAGTGACGATCGGTGATCGGTTTTACTTTTGACGGGTCTACACATCTAATTAACTTCTTTGAAAGAATGAGTTACTTTCACTGAGAAAATATTCTAAAACGTTTCACACTATTTCGATTTGCGTAGGGATCCTTTGTTTACATAGGCTGTGCGGTTCGACGTGATGTCATCCAAGCCCACTTGAGGGAAGCAATGCAGTCACTTTGATGTGTAAATATGTATTGTTATAAACCCTACTGTCGCAGTTGTAGAAAAAGTTGTTTACATAACAATGTAAAACAACATGAGGAGCGCACCGAAAAACTTGCATTAAGGCCTGCCCCTTCTGACTTACAAGTATGTGCGTTTGTACATAAACAAGAGAAAGGTCCGGTCACGTGATATGCAAATTAGCCTATGGCAGTGATGGTAGGCTGAGTCACCACTGCGGTGGAGTGTGGGTGAGAGGTGAAATTGGGTTTAACATCGTGCTTGAGAATATTTGCTTGAGAATATTTCGCTCATATGACGACGTGCATACTTGTGTATGTGTATGTGCGACTGCTTGTACTAGCCCAGACTGAAGCTGGTTTTATAGTGCTAGCCCACTGAGGTACCATGCCGCAGTGAAGCATGAATACCCCACTCAGACACATTATACTGACTCCGAGTTGACCAGTCCTGCGGCGGAGTGCGGAGTGTCCGTATCCATATGGGTGTACCTACCCTGAAGCTCTCATGAAGTTGGGATACCAAATATACGACGACATTGGTCCTATCGGGAAGTTGGCCACAGCGGCACAGTCGGGTACTGTAATCATAACATAACAATTATAAATCTACATTTGTATCAGGTGAGTAATAATAATATGATTGGCAAGATTCAGGAAAAGCATGCTAAGTATGCGGACCTCGCCTTTGAAATGTCTCGCTTGCATCCCAAATACACTGTCTCAGGCTCCCCATTGTTCTCGGTGCCCTTGGTTTGGTACCTCTTGATCTCCTGGCGCAGATCAGGAGAGTGCTCGGGTTCTCCACCGGAAGCACAGCCCATCTGACACTCTGGGTAATGCAGAAGGCTGCAGTGTTGGGGAGTCTACATATTCTCCGGAAAGTTCTTGGTGGGTTCGACTAGGTAGCGTTTCCTGGGAGAAGTCCCATTCGCTGTCTGGGCTGCGAGTAGAGGGGGCAAGGGCCCCGAACCCTCTTTGCTGCATACTATGTTTAATCTGTAAAACATAATAATAATAATAGAACTAGTCACTTGTATGGCGCCCTTTCCATGAAAGATTGCTCAAGAACGCTGATCACTGGTAGGCTTTGCAAAGTGATGCGTTTTGAGTTTTTTGTTGGAAGGAACTGAGTGTGGTAACGTTCGTGATGTGGAGAGAGTTCCACAGAACTGGCCCTGATTTCTCAGAAGGCCATTGAGTTACTCAGTCACTCAAAGGCCCATCAAGTGATTCCCGCACCCACTAACACGCCATTCTGCTCGCTCCCTCCCTCCCTCACTCACCTCACTGACTCACTAATGTTTCCACGCTAGATTTGTCATGCTATCTCTGTGGGTTAGCACTTTAATACCTGGATTAGTCCATACTAGTTCAGGCGGACATGCACGCACGTACAGACTCACAGGCACAGACACAAACTCATCCACAGACACACCGACGAATCCACTCACTCACCACATCAAACTCACATACTAACATACTTGTCACCAACCCACCTTAACCAACCCACCCATCACCGCCAACATCGGACCCTACTATCATACTGACATACCTGTCACCAACTAACCTTAACCAACCCACCCATCACTGCCAACATCCGACCCTACTCCCATACTGACATACCTGTCACCAACCCACCTTAACCAACCCACCCATCACTGCCAACATCCGACCCTACTCAAATACTGACATACCTGTCACCATCCCACCCATCACTGCCAACATCGGACCCAACTATCATACTGACATACCTGTCACCAACCCATCATAGCCAACCCACCCATCACTGCCAACATCTGGCCCTACACCTGTCACTAACCCACCTTAACCAATCCACCCATCACTGCCAACATCGGACCCTACTATCATACTGACATACCTGTCACCAACCCACCTTAAGCAACCCACCAGCACTGCCAACATCGGACCCTACTCTCATACTGACATACCTGTCACCAACCCACCTTAAGCAACCCACCAGCACTGCCAACATCGGACCCTACTCTCATACTGACACACCTGTCACCAACCCACCTTAACCAATCCACCCATCACTGCCAACATCCGACCCTACTCTCATACTGACACACCTGTCACCAACCCACCCATCACTGCCAACATCGGACCCTACTATCATACTGACATATCTGTCACCAACCCACCTTAACCAACCCACCCATCACTGCCAACATCGGACCCTACTCTCATACTGACACACCTGTCACCAACCCACCCATCACTGCCAACATCGGACCCTACTATCATACTGACATATCTGTCACCAACCCACCTTAACCAACCCACCCATCACTGCCAACATCGGACCCTACTCTAGTACTGACACACCTGTCACCAACCCACCCATCACTGCCAACATCGGACCCTACTATCATACTGACATATCTGTCACCAACCCACCTTAACCAACCCACCCATCACTGCCAACATCGGACCCTACTATCATACTGACATACCTGTCACCAACCCACCCATCACTGCCAACATCGGACCCTACTATCATACTGACATATCTGTCACCAACCCACCTTAACCAACCAACCCATCACTGCCAACATCGGACCCTACTCTAGTACTGACACACCTGTCACCAACCCACCTTAACCAACCCACCCAGCACTGCCAACATCGGACCCAACTATCATACTGACATACCTGTCACCAACCCACCCATCACTGCCAACATCCGACCCTACTCTCATACTGACACACCTGTCACCAACCCACCCATCACTGCCAACATCGGACCCTACTATCATACTGACATACCTGTCACCAACCCCACCTTAACCAACCCACCCATCACTGCCAACATCGGACCCTACTCTCATACTGACATACTTGTCCTGTCACCAACCCACCCATCACTGCCAACATCGGACCCTACTATCATACTGACATATCTGTCACCAACCCACCTTAACCAACCCACCCATCACTGCCAACATCGGACCCTACTCTCATACTGACACACCTGTCACCAACCCACCCATCACTGCCAACATCGGACCCTACTATCATACTGATATACCCGTCACCAACCCACCCATCACTGCCAACATCGGACCCAACTATCATACTGATATACCCGTCACCAACCCACCCATCACTGCCAACATCGGACCCTACTCTAGTACTGACACACCTGTCACCAACCCACCCATCACTGCCAACATCGGACCCAACTATCATACTGATATACCCGTCACCAACCCACCCATCACTGCCAACATCGGACCCAACTATCATACTGATATACCCGTCACCAACCCCACCCATCACTGCCAACATCGGACCCTACTCTCATACTGACATACCTGTCACCATCCCACCCATCACACTGCCAACATCGGACCCTACTATCATACTGATATACCTGTCACCAACCCACCCATCACTGCCAACATCGGACCCTACTATCATACTGATATACCCGTCACCAACCCACCCATCACTGCCAACATCGGACCCTACTCATGCCTGATATACCCGTCACCAACCCACCCATCACTGCCAACATCGGACCCTACTCTCATACTGACACACCTGTCACCATCCCACCCATCACTGCCAACATCGGACCCTACTATCATACTGATATACCCGTCACCAACCCACCCATCACTGCCAACATCGGACCCAACTCTATCATACTGATATACCCGTCACCAACCCACCCATCACTGCCAACATCGGACCCAACTATCATACTGATATACCCGTCACCATCCCACCCATCACTGCCAACATCGGACCCAACTATCATACTGATATACCTGTCACCAACCCACCCATCACTGCCAACATCGGACCCTACTATCATACTGATATACCCGTCACCAACCCACCCATCACTGCCAACATCGGACCCAACTATCATACTGATATACCTGTCACCAACCCACCCATCACTGCCAACATCGGACCCTACTCTCATACTGACATACCTGTCACCATCCCCTTAACACCCATCACTGCCAACATCGGACCCTACTATCATACTGATATACCTGTCACCAACCCACCCATCACTGCCAACATCGGACCCAACTATCATACTGATATACCCGTCACCAACCTGTCACCAACCAACCCACCCATCACTGCCAACATCGGACCCAACTATCATACTGATATACCCGTCACCAACCCACCTTAACCAACCCACCCATCACTGCCAACATCGGACCCAACTATCATACTGATATACCCGTCACCATCCCACCCATCACTGCCAACATCGGACCCAACTATCATACTGATATACCCGTCACCAACCCACCCATCACTGCCAACATCGGACCCTACTCTCATACTGACACACCTGTCACCATCCCACCCATCACTGCCAACATCGGACCCTACTATCATACTGATATACCCGTCACCAACCCACCCATCACTGCCAACATCGGACCCAACTATCATACTGATATACCCGTCACCAACCCACCCATCACTGCCAACATCGGACCCAACTATCATACTGATATACCCGTCACCAACCCACCTTAACCAACCCACCCATCACTGCCAACATCGGACCCAACTATCATACTGATATACCCGTCACCATCCCACCCATCACTGCCAACATCGGACCCAACTATCATACTGATATACCCGTCACCAACCCACCCATCACTGCCAACATCGGACCCAACTATCATACTGATATACCCGTCACCAACCCACCCATCACTGCCAACATCGGACCCTACTATCATACTGACACACCTGTCACCATCCCACCCATCACTGCCAACATCGGACCCTACTATCATACTGACACACCTGTCACCATCCCACCCATCACTGCCAACATCGGACCCTACTATCATACTGATATACCCGTCACCAACCCACCCATCACTGCCAACATCGGACCCAACTATCATACTGATATACCCGTCACCATCCCACCCATCACTGCCAACATCGGACCCTACTATCATACTGACACACCTGTCACCAACCCACCCATCACTGCCAACATCGGACCCTACTATCATACTGATATACCCGTCACCAACCCACCCATCACTGCCAACATCGGACCCAACTATCATACTGATATACCCGTCACCAACCCACCCATCACTGCCAACATCGGACCCTACTCTCATACTGACACACCTGTCACCATCCCACCCATCACTGCCAACATCGGACCCTACTATCATACTGATATACCCGTCACCAACCCACCCATCACTGCCAACATCGGACCCAACTATCATACTGATATACCCGTCACCAACCCACCCATCACTGCCAACATCGGACCCAACTATCATACTGATATACCCGTCACCATCCCACCCATCACTGCCAACATCGGACCCAACTATCATACTGATATACCTGTCACCAACCCCAACCCACCCATCACTGCCAACATCGGACCCTACTATCATACTGATATACCCGTCACCAACCCACCCATCACTGCCAACATCGGACCCAACTATCATACTGATATACCCGTCCCACCAACCCACCCATCACTGCCAACATCGGACCCTACTCTCATACTGACACACCTGTCACCATCCCACCCATCACTGCCAACATCGGACCCTACTATCATACCGATATACCCGTCACTATCCCACCTTATCACTGCTGATATACCTGTCACCAACCCACCCATCACTGCCAACATCGGACCCAACTATCATACTGATATACCCGTCACCAACCCACCTTAACCAACCCACCCATCACTGCCAACATCGGACCCAACTATCATACTGATATACCCGTCACCAACCCACCTTAACCAACCCACCCATCACTGCCAACATCGGACCCAACTATCATACTGATATACCCGTCACCATCCCACCCATCACTGCCAACATCGGACCCAACTATCATACTGATATACCCGTCACCAACCCACCCATCACTGCCAACATCGGACCCTACTTCATACTGCGACACACCTGTCACCATCCCACCCATCACTGCCAACATCGGACCCTACTATCATACTGATATACCCGTCACCAACCCACCCATCACTGCCAACATCGGACCCAACTATCATACTGATATACCTGTCACCAACCCACCCATCACTGCCAACATCGGACCCAACTATCATACTGATACTGATATACCCATCACCAACATCCACCTTAACACCTGTCACCACCCACCCATCACTGCCAACATCGGACCCAACTATCATACTGATATACCCGTCACCATCCCACCCATCACTGCCAACATCGGACCCAACTATCATACTGATATACCCGTCACCAACCCACCCATCACTGCCAACATCGGACCCAACTATCATACTGATATACCCGTCACCAACCCACCCATCACTGCCAACATCGGACCCAACTACTATCATACTGTCGACACCCACCTGTCACCATCCCACCCATCACTGCCAACATCGGACCTCACTATCATACTGACACACCTGTCACCATCCCACCCATCACTGCCAACATCGGACCCTACTATCATACTGATATACCCGTCACCAACCCACCCATCACTGCCAACATCGGACCCAACTATCATACTGATATACCCGTCACCATCCCACCCATCACTGCCAACATCGGACCCAACTATCATACTGATATACCCGTCACCAACCCACCCATCACTGCCAACATCGGACCCTACTATCATAGTACTGACACACCTGTCACCATCCATCCCACCCATCACTCGGACCAACATCGGACCCAACTATCATACTGACACACCTGTCACCATCCCACCCATCACTGCCAACATCGGACCCTACTATCATACTGATATACCCGTCACCAACCCACCCATCACTGCCAACATCGGACCCAACTATCATACTGATATACCTGTCACCATCCCACCCATCACTGCCAACATCGGACCCAACTATCATACTGATATACCCGTCACCAACCCACCCATCACTGCCAACATCGGACCCTACTCTCATACTGACACACCTGTCACCATCCCACCCATCACTGCCAACATCGGACCCTACTCTCATACTGACACACCTGTCACCATCCCACCCATCACTGCCAACATCGGACCCTACTATCATACTGATATACCCGTCACCAACCCACCCTAACCAACCCACCCATCACTGCCAACATGGACCTTCTAGTACTGACATCGGACCCTACTATCATACTGACACACCTGTCACCAACCCACCCATCACTGCCAACATCGGACCCTACTCTCATACTGACACACCCAAATCTGTCACCATCCCACCCATCACTGCCAACATCGGACCCTACTCTAGTACTGACACACCTGTCACCAACCCACCTTAACCAACCCACCCAGCACTGCCAACATCGGACCCAACTATCATACTGATATACCCGTCACCAACCCACCCATCACTGCCAACATCCGACCCTACTCTCATACTGACACACCTGTCACCATCCCACCCATCACTGCCAACATCGGACCCTACTCTCATACTGACCAACCCCGTCAACCAACCCACCCATCACTGCCAACATCGGACCCTACTCATACTGACACACCTGTCACCATCCACCCATCACTGCCAACATCGGACCCTACTCTCATACTGACACCTGTCACCATCCCACCCATCACTGCCAACATCGGACCCTACTATCATACTGACACACCCGTCACCATCCCACCCATTACTGCCAACATCGGACCCTACTCTCATACTGACACACCTGTCACCATCCCACCCATTACTGCCAACATCGGACCCTACTCTCATACTGACACACCTGTCACCATCCCACCCATTACTGCCAACATCGGACCCTATACTGACACACCCTGTCACCATCCCACCCATTACTGCCAACATCGGACCCTACTCTCATACTGATATACCTGTCACCATCCCACCCATCACTGCCAACATCGGACCCTACTATCATACTGATATACCCCCACCCATCACCCCGCTATTTTATCCACCCATCACTGCCAACATCGGACCCTACTCTCATACTGACACACCTGTCACCATCCCACCCATTACTGCCAACATCGGACCCTACTCTCATACTGACATACCTGTCACCATCCCACCCATTACTGCCAACATCGGACCCTACTCTCATACTGACACACCTGTCACCATCCCACCCATTACTGCCAACATCGGACCCTACTATCATACTGATATACCCGTCACCAACCCACCCATCACCGCCAACATCGGACCCTACTCATACTGCCAACATCGGACCCATACTAACATCATACTCTCATACTACCTGTCACCAACCCATCTTAACCAACCCACCTACTGTGCCAACATCGGACCCTACTATCATACTGACACACCTGTCACCATCCCACCCATCACTGCCAACATCGGACCCTACTCTCATACTGACACACCTGTCACCATCCCACCCATTACTGCCAACATCGGACCCTACTCTCATACTGACATACCATCCCTGTCACCAATCCCACCCATTACTGCCAACATCGGACCCTACTATCATACTGACATACCTGTCACCACCATCCCCACCCATCACTGCCAACATCGGACCCTACTATCATACTGATATACCGTCACCAACCCACCATAGCCAACCCACCCATCACTGCCAACATCCGACCCTACCTGTCACTGACACACCTTACCGTTAACCAACCCACCCAGCACTGCCAACATCGGACCCTACTCAAATACTGACACACCTGTCACCATTCCACTCTTAACCATCCCACCCATCACTGCCAACATCGGACCCTACTATCATACTGATATACCCGTCACCAACCCACCTTAACCAACCCACCCATCACTGCCAACATCGGACCCTACTGTCAGTACTAACGAATGTACCTGCTTTTCAATTGAGTGCTATGACATTCTCTGTTCTAAAATGACAACGTAATGAATGTATGTCTTTGAAACGAAACCACTTTGTACTTACAATGTATATTAATGCAGACTTGTTCTCGTCACTATATGGCTGGAATAATGCCGATGTGACGTAAAGCCCAACTCAACTCAACTCAACTCAACTCAACTCTCATACTGACACACCTGTCACCATCCCACCCATCACTGCCAACATCGGACCCTACTATCATACTGATATACCCGTCACCAACCCACCTTAACTAACCCACCCATCACTGCCAACATCCGACCCTACTCTCATACTGACACACCTGTCACCATTCCACCTTAACCAACCCACCCAGCACTGCCAACATCGGACCCTACTCAAATACTGACACACCTGTCACCATTCCACCTTAACCATCCCACCCATCACTGCCAACATCGGACCCTACTATCATACTGATATACCCGTCACCAACCCACCTTAACCAACCCACCCATCACTGCCAACATCGGACCCTACTGTCAGTACTAACGAATGTACCTGCTTTTCAATTGAGTGCTATGACATTCTCTGTTCTAAAATGACAACGTAATGAATGTATGTCTTTGAAACGAAACCACTTTGTACTTACAATGTATATTAATGCAGACTTGTTCTCGTCACTATATGGCTGGAATAATGCCGATGTGACGTAAAGCCCAACTCAACTCAACTCAACTCAACTCAACTCTCATACTGACACACCTGTCACCAACCCACCTTAACTAACCCACCAATCACTGCCAACATCTGACCCTACTCTCATACTGACACACCTGTCACCATCCCACCCATTACTGCCAACATCGGACCCTACTCTCATACTGACACACCTGTCACCAACCCACCTTAACTAACCCACCCATCACTGCCAACATCTGACCCTACTCTCATACTGACACACCTGTCACCAACCCACCCATCAATGCCAACATCGGACCCTACTCTCATACTGACACACCTGTCACCAACCCACCTTAACTAACCCACCCATCACTGCCAACATCGGACCCTACTATCATACTGACACACCTGTCACCAACCCACCCATCAATGCCAACATCGGACCCTACTCTCATACTGACCACCAACCCACCTATCACCGGAAGCTCTCATACTGACGTACCTGTCATTCGCATGCTGATGGCCTTCAGCATGAACTGCTTGGGCTTTGCCCCCTTGTATGTGGTGCTGATCTCAATTGTCAGGCTCTGTCCACTGCTGTCGAGGGACCAGAACGGCCGTTCACTTCCGCAGCTGTCAATCATCATAACCCTGTCATTTCCGTCACCTTCATAGAAATATATTCAAACAAATAGCAGTTAGAAACATGACCAAATATATCTGTAGGATGTGCTAGAGTGGAAGTGAGGGTGAGCTAGAGTGGAATTGAGGGTGAGCTAGAGCGGAATTGAGGGTGAGCTAGAGCGGAATTGAGGGTGAGCTAGAGCGGAATTGAGGGTGAGCTAGGGCGGAAGTGAGGGTGAGCTAGAGTGGAATTGAGGGTGAGATGGAGTGGAATTAAGGGTGAGCTAGAGCGGAAGTGACGGTTAGCTAGAGCGGAAGGTAAGGGTGTACTAGAATGAAGGTAAGGGTGAGCTAGAGTGAAATTAAGGGTGAGCTAGAGTGGAATTAAAGGTGAGCTAGAGCGGAATTGAGGGTGAGCTAGAGCGGAATTGAGGGTGAGCATGATCGGAATTGAGGGTCAGCTAGAGTTGAATTAAGGGTGAGCTAGAGAGGAAGTTAGGGTGAGCTAGAGCGGAAGTGAGGGTGTGCTAGAGCGGAATTGAGGGTGAGATACAGTGGAATTAAGGGTGAGCAAGAGTGGAATTAAGGTAGGGCTAGAGTGAAGGTAAGGGTGTACTAGAGTGAAGGTAAGGGTGAGAGAGAGTGGAAGTGAGGGTGTGCTAGAGTGGAATTGAGGGTGAGCATGATCGGAATTGAGGGTCAGCTAGAGTTGAATTAAGGGTGAGCTAGAGAGGAAGTTAGGGTGAGCTAGAGCGGAAGTGAGGGTGTGCTAGAGCGGAATTGAGGGTGAGATACAGTGGAATTAAGGGTGAGCAAGAGTGGAATTAAGGTAGGGCTAGAGTGAAGGTAAGGGTGTACTAGAGTGAAGGTAAGGGTGAGAGAGAGTGGAAGTGAGGGTGTGCTAGAGTGGAATTGAGGGTGAGTTAGAGTTGAATTAAGGGTGAGATAGAGCGGAATTAAGGGTGTGCTAGAGCGGAATTGAGAGTGAGCTAGAGTGGAATTGAGGGTGAGCTACAGCGGAATTTAGGGTGAGCTACAGCGGAATTGAGGGTGTGCTAGAGCGGAATTGAGGGTGAGATAGAGCGGAATTAAGGGTGAGCAAGAGTGGAATTAAGGTAGGGCTAGAGTGAAGGTAAGGGTGTACTAGAGTGGAATTAAGGGTGAGCTAGAGCGGAAATGAGGGTGAGCTAGAGCGGAATTGAGGGTGAGCTAGAGTGGAATTGAGGGTGAGATGGAGTAGAATTAAGGGTGAGCTAGAGCGGAAGTGAGGGTTAGCTAGAGCAGAAGGTAAGGGTGTACTAGAATGAGGGTAAGGGTGAGCTAGAGTGGAATTAAGGGTGAGCTAGAGTGGAATTGAGGGTGAGCTAGAGCGGAATTGAGGGTGAGCTAGAGTGGAATTGAGGGTGAGCTAGATTTGAATTGAGGGTGAGCTTGAACGGAATTGAGGGTCAGCTAGAGTTGAATTAAGGGTGAGCTAGAGTGGAAGTTAGGGTGAGCTAGAGCGGAAGTGAGGGTGTGCTAGAGCGGAATTGAGGGTGAGCTAGAGCGGAATTGAGGGTGAGCAAGAGTGGAAATTAGGGTAAGCTAGAGTGGAAGTGAGGGTGTGCTAGCGTGGAATTAAGGGTGAGCTAGAGCGGAAGTGAGGGTCAGCTAGAGTGGAATTAAGGATGAGCTAGTATGAAAATGGGGGTGAGCTAGAGCTGGATGGTGAGCTAGAGCGGAAGTTAGGGTGAGCTAGAGTAGAAGTTAGGGTGAGTTAGGGCGGAAGTGAGGGTGTGCTTGCGTGGAATTAAAGGTGAGCTAGAGAGGAATTGAGGGTGAGCTAGAGAGGAATTAAGGGTGGGCTAGTGCGGAATTGAGGGTAAGCTAGAGTGAAGTTAAGGGTGTGCTAGAGTGGAATTAAGGGTGAGCTAGAGTGGAATTGAGGGTGAGATAGAGTAATTGAGGGTGAGATAGAGTGGAATTGAGGGTGAGCTAGAGTGATGGTAAGGGTGTACTAGAGTGGAATTGAGGGTGTGCTAGAGTGGAATTGAGGGTGAGCTAGAGTGGAATTAAGGGTGGGCTAGAGTGGAATTGAGGGTAAGTTAGAGTGGAATTAAGGGTGAGCTAGAGCGGCAGTGAGGGTGTGCTAGAGTGGAATTAAGGGTGAGCTAGAGCGGAAGTGAGGGTCAGCTAGAGTGGAATTAAGAGTGAGCTAGTATGAAAGTGGGGGTGAGCTAGAGCGGAAGTGAGGGTGAGCTAGAGCGGGAGTTAGGGTGAGCTAGAGCGGAATTGAGGGTGAGCTAGATTGGAAGTGAGGATGAGCTAGAGTGGAATTAAGGGTGAGCTAGAGCGGAAGTGAGGGTCAGCTAGAGTGGAATTAAGAATGAGCTAGTATGAAAGTGGGGGTGAGCTAGAGCGGAATTGAGGGTGAGCTAGGGTGGAAGTGAGGGTGAGCTAGAGCAGAAGTGAGGGTTGGCTTGAGTGGAATAGGATGAGCTTGAGTGGAATTGAAGGTGAGTTAGAGTCGAGGTGTCGATGGGCTCGAGCAGAAGCGAGATTTACTTAGAGCGGAAGCGAATCTTATCCAGAGTGGAAGTTATAGGAGGCCAGAGGAGGTGAGGGGGAGCTAGAGCGGAGTTGATTGTGATCTTAAGTGGAGGCTGAACTGCAAGGTGTGCGGTTGTGCCAGAGTAAGTGTGTGTCAGCGTGTAAGTTTGCAGACTATGTATGCTGGCACTCGTGCCTCGACCTGAGAGGGTAGGTTCGAACCCCAGATTTGTCCAACCAACCTGAAAAGTGAAAGTGTAACCCAAAATATAACGTATGTCGTAGCTTTTCTTACCGTCATAAACCTTCATGGATCCAGTCCCACATGCCAGAGCTTCTGACTCCATCCAGCCAGGCAGATCCACATTGACGAATCCACTGGTGGCAGTCAGCGTGTAGTTACAAGTGCTCACAACCCTGAAACACCGGCACCGAAGTCGTTGTCAACCGTGAAAATATCCCAAAACCAAATTGAAATAAATAGACCATTCTAAATTTTAACTTCCAAATTTATAAAACAATGCCCTTTCACTTCCTCTATGAGCGTTCGACCCGGCAAGATCCGGGTTAGAATTGATCTGCAGCAACCAGTGCTTGTCGTAAGAGGCGACTAACGGGATCGGGTGGTCAGGCTCGCTGACTTGGTTGACACATGTCATCTTATCCCAACTGCGTAGATCGATGCTCATGATGTTGGTCACTGGATTGTCTGGTCCAGACTCGATTATTTACAGACTGCCGCCATATAGGTCGAATATTGCTGAGCACCGTTAAACAACAACCAATCAACCAACCATGAGGGTTCAGTAGGGCAATAATCTACTCACATGTTGCCGTTCATTGGAGGCATGGGTAGAAACACTGGATTGGTGCCAACACTGATGGTAGTTTGTGAGCAGTCCGTCGCGTCTGAAACCATATGAGATATATATATATATATATATATATATATATATATATATATAAGATATATGTGAATATTAAAAAAGTTGAGTTGATTTGAGGTGAGGTGAGGATAAACAAGGCGAGGCAGGGTGAGTTGAGTTGAGATGAGGTGAGGTGAGGCTGGGTGTGGTGAGGTGAGGGTGAGGTGGAAGAGGTGGGGTGAGGTGGGGTAAGGGTGAGGCTGGGTGGGAAGAAGGGTGAGGGTGAGGTGAGGTGCACGTGAGGGTGGAGGTGGGATGGGGTGAGGTGAGTGTGAGGTGAGGTGAGGTGAGGCTGGGTGGCGTGAGGTGAGTGTGAGGTGAGTGTGAGGGGACTGTGAGGTGAGGTGAGGCTGGGTGGCGTGAAGTGAGTTGAGGTGAGTGTGAGGTGAGGTGAGGCTGGGTGGCTTGAGGTGAGGTGAGGAGAGGTGTGTGTGAGGTGAGGTGAGGCTGCGTGGCCTGAGGTGAGGTCACAGGGGCGTGTCACGCTTAGAAGCAGCGTTAGAAAGACATATAGGTACATAGACCCTACCCTAGTAAAATCCTTTTATATAGTACTAGGGAAGGGTCTATATACCTATATGTCTTTCTAACGCTGTTTCTTAGCGTGACACGCCCCTGTGGGTGAGGTGTGGTGTGAGGTGAGGCTGGGTGGCGTGAGGTGAGGTGAGGGTGATGTCAGGTTAGGTGAGGTGAAGTTTAACGTCAAGTTCCAGATTGTTGGTATGGGTTTGTGAGAGAGTATGTGTATTTGTGTTGCGTGTGTGTATGTGTATATGTTGGTGTGTGCCGTGCGTGTCTACGTGTGTATTTATGTGTATATGTGCGTGTGTGCATGCTTGTGTGCATGCGTACATGTGTGCATGTGAGTCATTGTTACAGTTAAGCCTTATAGCATACCCCTCAGATATACCTCAGTTGGTACCCCTCAGTTTAACAAGGATACCCTGCTTCGTCCGGGACGCCAAGTTGAAGCAACGTTGGTCACAGAGAGTTCTTGGATGGGTGTCGTGTTTGGCAGTTAGACTCCTGAGAGTTTCAAGGACTTCAGTCCTCCTCCACAACGAAGCACACGTGACACATGTGGTCTCACCCTAGGTTAGTTTGTTAAAACATTACCTCTGTTCACCCAACAGTGAATGTGGACCCGGGGGCCATTAACCTTCTAGTAATAATGTCGTAGCGCTTTGAGCATGCACAAATTCACTTGAAATTGATTCAGATACTTACATTTGAGTCCAAACAGATTGAACATTTTCTTTACTGGTTAGAATTAGCATTTCCATGCTAATTAAGGCATACATATTTTAGGTCCTTGTAATGTGCGAAATAGTTTCCAAATGAAAATAGTTTTATTTATCAACTGAAGGAACGTGCTCAAACATGGAACACTGCCTCAAACTCAGCATATCTAGCTCATTTCAAGACTTTAGATACATCCCCTCTACAGCCAGAATTCTATATAAAGCATGTTGAAGATAAAACCTCCGACGAGTACTATGTAAATTTAGAATATCTCTACACGATTTTAAAGTAAATATTGCAAGGAAGAGTAAAAATGATGAAAATGGTAATAATATTTGTACAAATTGTAATGATTACAGCTTTGGGAATGAATTTCATGTCTTGTTCGCTTGTTCAAAGTATTCCAGTTTACGAATGAAGTTGCCATGTCCATATCAAATTAAGAATATGTATAAAATGACAAACCCGCTAAACTAAAAATAATGTAAATTCCCTTAAATCCGTTACAATATTGCTGCAACATGTTTTTCGTTTAAGATCCTTCACGTGATTATATATATTGATTATCTATACTTCAGATAACTGTACTCTAGGCCATGTGGCTATTCTACTGAACAAAAAGTTTGATTGATTGAATAGTTTCCAAATTTTGCAAGCCAGTCCGGCTTGCTATGCCTGAAAGTTACTAGCCCACAAAATAATTCACTTTAATCACCACAATGCGGAAACTATGCAAATAATAAAATGATATTATCATATAGTTGGAATATTGCTGAGTGCGGCGTAAAACTAAATTCACTCACTCACTCACATACCAAGCTACTTACACTGTGGTGCTGACCATATCTTCAGGTAGAAGCCCTTGTCCTCCCGCATGCCGTCCGAAGTGAAGAGGATGTACATTGTCACCCCTGTCGACTGCAACATCACCTTCTGCTCGCCACACGTGGTCTTAAGTACTGTAGCAGTTGTGCTCTGGCCTTTAAAATAGAGTCCATTAATTGAACACAGACCTACATTAATGGCAGCTCACATGTCTTGTCCTTTTCACCCGTTGGTATTCTGGGTTCGAACTAATCCTCACACTGGGTATTCTGGTGCCAATTCGGATATTTACATGTTGCCGCCACACTGCTTGGTTATAGTGGAGCGCAACCTCACCAATCAGGCAATAACTCACCAAGTCACCCACTCACTCACCCATCAATTCACTCACTCACAAACTCTTTAATCGACCCACCAATCCACTCACTCATTCTCAAACTCTCTCGTCTTTTAACCAATCCAATCAGTCACTCACAAACCCTTTAATCTACCCACCAAACCACTCACACTCACTAATCCATCCATCAACCCGCTCACTCACTCACTCTGCACCAAATCTCATACCATCATAAAACATGATCTTGTCCGAGCAGGATCCGTCGTCGTGGAGGTCCACGTCTACGCTCATGACGTGAACTACCTGGTTAGCAGTTGAAGCGGTTATTGTCCATGAACAGGTTTCATTACTGAAAAAAAATATGTTTCAAAAATAGAATTTAAACGTGAGAGCTACATATTAACTGTCTCTCTCGACAGGGGAGTGTGGAACATTTTAGATACCTCACACCGCTGTATGACGGGCTAGATTTCTGACGGATGGTCTAAAATTACAGCTTGCCAGCCCGATTATCTGGTAAAAAAATTAGAGGACATGATCCATACATCTGAGTAAATTCACCATATCTTAAAATCTATTTTTCAAATTGAGTGAGTGAGTGAGTTTAGTTTTACGTCGCACTCAGCAATATTCCAGCTATATAGCGGAGGTCTGTAAATAATCGAGTCTGGACCAGACAATCCAGTGACCAACAGCATGAGCATCGATCAACGCAACTGGGAACCGATGACATGTATCAACCAAGACAGTGAGCCTGACCACCCAATCCCGTTAGTCGCCTCTTACGACAAGCATGGGTTAATGAAGATCAATATTCTAAGCCAGATCTTCACGGGTCATCAATATTTTGAAGCTACAGTATACTTAAACAGTTACAGAGATCATACGCTTGGGGTGTCTGTAGATTTGGTTTGGGTTGCTGAAGGTTAATTTTAACCCGGACCTTCACGGGTCTTCAAATTGAGCGTTAGGTTTAGACTTGACATTAGTTCGCATTTACTGTTTGAACATTGAACTGTCGTATAACAAACTCAAAGTACTGCGCTGACATATTATCACTGAAACACTGTACTTGTGTACAATGAAACTATTTGTACTGTACTGTGTACTACCGAGGTAAAATCTGTAAACATTTAACACTTCATATACATGCTTAGTTTTTGACCGTTTTTTACATATGTGAACAGCATGTTATTTGACAATGAGATCAAAGAAACACTGTACTTGCATTCTAAGAAGCTACCTATACTGTACTGTACTACTGAGGTAAAGTCTGTAAACATAATTCTGGGAATAAAAACATGAAAAAAATAAAAATAATAAAATAAAATAAATAAATTTAAATAAATAAATAAATAAATAAATAAATAAATAAATAAATAAATAAATAAATAAATAAATAAATAAATAAATAAATAAATAAATAAATAAATAAATAAATAAAAATAAAATAAAAAAAATTAAAAATATTATCACTGAAACAGCGACACTCATCGATGCGTGGAGTTCTGCAAACTAGGAGTCGGATTTTGTTAAAAATGACTGTTGTGAATAGACTGTTAGACAAAAAACAAATCTCAAGTTCATTGAATCATTCATTGTAACTAAAAGTTGAATTATTTTCTTTGGATTGTTTGGTCTGGTTAAATCCATTTGGGGCTGATGTCTGGCTTGATTTTAGGGTTATTTCACACACTGCCTCAAATATCAAATGGTTTACCTTCTTCAATAACGCTCCGGGTTGTTTTGACAAAACAAAGTATTTACCATTAGTATAAAGGATTTCTCGTCCCGAAAAAGTATCATTAATCACCTACCACAAAGCTAGGTCACGCTTTGGGTAATAAGACAATGTGTGGGATTTGCCTTCTTCAACGGTCGTTGAAGAAAAAAAATTAAGTTTCATTCCAAAACGATCTAAGTAGGACAGGTTACAGGATTTGCCTTCCGTAATGCTCTGGGTAGTTGGGTAATATTAAGGATTCACTTTGGTAAGAGTTCCTCCCGTTCCCCCATCCCAAATAATATCTATAAATTAATATATACTAAATTTATTAACAAATCTAAATACAACAATTACTAGAGAACTCACAAAAATGACTAAAAGCTCAAAATGTAAGTTAGGGTTAGGTTTAGAGTTAGGTTTAGGGTTGGGGGAACAGAAGGAACTCTTTCCTTACCTTCTATAATGATCTAGGATATTTGGGCAATATAAAGGATTTACCTTCCATAACGCTGTGGGAAGTTGGGAGACCCTATAGACTGCTGTGTTTCTGTTGCTGTGAGGTTCACTGGTGTACATGCTGCGTCTGCAAGATGAAATTATTGTTAAGAACATCAACCATCATTTCCTTCAATCAAAGTTTGTCGTTTGTTTCTTGGTGTCCTCTCATTCTGTCTACACTTTTATTATGTGTGTAGGCACAATGAGATATACGTAGGCACAATGAGATATACGTAGGCAGAATGAGAATAAACCTGTTTCTTTGAGTTGTCTCCCCAAACCCCTACAGCCCATAACCCCTACAGCCCAGTACCCCTACATCCCATAACCCCTACAGCCCATAACCCCTACAGCCCATAACCCCTACAGCCCATAACCCCTACAGCCCATAACCGCTACAGCCCAGTACCCCTACAGCCCATAACCCCTACAGCCCAGTACCCCTACAGCCCAGTACCCCTACATCCCATAACCCCTACAGACCATAACCCCTACAGACCATAACCCAGGTATGATATTTAATGAAGTCGATTAATGTTAAAATATTTTTGTTATCATCCATAAAAAAACATTCTCTCAAACTCTAAGTTAGGTTTATTGCTTATTAAAATCATTCTCTCAATTGCAAAGTGTTTGGGCTGGTCCATTTGTATGAAATAGGTAACAGGCAGGAAATTAGCAGTGCACTGGACCATGAGCTTTGTTGTTATAAGCTGTAGGGGTTATGGGAGGTTATTTAACGCCTCGTTCAGCAATATTCCTGTTTTTGGGCGGTGGTCTGTTAATAATCAAGTCTGGATCAAATAATCCAATGATCTACAGCAAGAGCATCGATCTAGGCAATTATTAATTCGCTCTAGGTTTAAATTCGGGTTAGTTTTGGTTTTGGTATAACATTAGAGATATTTTATGGTATTTCAGATATAGTCTTGGTTGTTTGGTTACGATATACATTGCAGTATATATATTTAAGGCTATTTGAGATGATAGAGATAATAAAAAGTAATCGTATACCTTTCTTTGTGTTTGTTTACTTATATTTACATATACTGAGGAAAACAACTAACGGAACACGATAAGGAACAAACGTTCCTGTATTCTTTCCAGTTTTTTTTCCCAAGAGCTGTATCATTGGCTGCCTAAACATACACACCGGAACACTGTGATGAAGTGGTGTTCCCTTATTTGTTTCCCTCAGTATATATATATTTTTTTAACGACACTGCCAAGTCCGATAACCAGCAATGACTTCACGTATACAGCGCTGGTTTCTATGACGTTGTTGCTATGATACATGATCCGTGCCCTACAAAGTTGGAGCTGTTACTGTTGTCACAGGTTGAATCACACAGAGTTGTTTACACAATGGCAGTGTACAGGCAGAATTACCACGCGGCAGACATGGGTGTGCATGTATTGAAGAGGTTATAGCCGGTTTATGAGACATAAAAGAAGCGTTATGAGCTGGGGCTGATACACGATATTCCCTATACCGACACCTGGTGGGTAGAACGCAATTCCTCTGACTAGATATCAGTAACGGTGAAGTGGAGGTGCTGTATTCTATTGCAACAGTCACTGCATAATCTCAACAATGTTACAATACCCTGAAATAGTGACGTGCATACCAGTGTTACCATTTAATGTCAACAATGTTGCGGTGAATATGCAATATTCTCCATATAACACCTGATGACGTGCATACCAGTGCAAACACTGTTGCAATATAGGTGCAATTGTGGTACATATGCAATATATTCTCTATCCAACACCTGATGACGTGCACCCTAGTGTCACTACTTGTTATCAACACTGTAAGAGAAGAGATGCAATATTCTCTATCCAACATGTGATGACGTGCATCCTAGTGTCACTACTTGTTATCAACACTGTTGGAGAAGAGATGCAATATTCTCTATCCAATCCCATGACTGATGACGTGCATCCTCGTGTCACTACTTGTTATCAACACTGTTAGAGAAGAGATGCAATATTCTCTATCAAACACCTGATGACGTGTATCATAGTGTCACTACTTGTTATCAACACTGTTGCAGGAGGGATGCAATTCTCAATACAACGCCTGGTAACATATATCACAATAAAGTTGCAACACTTACTTTGATTAAAATGTTTTATAACACACTAGGTAAACTATATTGTGACATGCAACGTAACAGCGTGACCATGTCTGTGCTTTTTATATAATACATACGACTTCCAGTTGCACTATGGGTTTTTTTTGGTCATAAGCTTTGCATAATGTGACACATGCAGCGTGACATGTGACGTGACTGTGTGTCCTAGTATCTAGATAGGGTGACGCATTGTGAAGCGCTGCTCCTCCTTAAACTGGTGGGGATGTCATTGTCAGCCGTTGCTGTCCATGGAGGAGGCTACGTCCCTACGCCGCAGAGCACAACGAACGATCACGATGCAAAAGCACATGTCAGTACGAACAGACGTACTCCCGTATGTAGAACATGTTTTGTGTGGAAAACGTATGCTGATGCGATACTGACGTATTGAACGTACTTCAAATATGTAATTTTGAAACGTATTACGCTGAGTGAATTTTTACAACAAACGTCAGTTGTACGCAAGATATAACACGTGTGTACAACAAACATCACGCCATATAGCTGGAATATTGCTGAGTGCGGCGTAAAACTCACTCACTCACTCACTCAAACATCAGTTGTACACAAGAAACATCACGTGTGTACAACAAACATCAGTTGTACACAAGAAACATCACGTGTGTACAACAATCATCAGTTGTATAGAAGCAGCATCACGTGTGTACAACAACTATCAGGTACACACAAGAAATATGGCGTGTGTACAACAGCAATGTGTACGACGACCTCAAGGTGCGTGCAACTGATACCATGAATCTAAAAAATGCAATGTCACTGTGATTCTATACGGTTTCGTCATAGCGACTTAGCTCAAAAATAGAAACATTTTCAGCACGTCTCGCCCAGCATTGTAGAGCCACACAAGCACGCATCATACACAATGGCGACTGAGGTGGCCAACCGTGACTGTCCCATTGACACAGCACCCCTATACATAGATCTCATCTGGGGTAACCGGTTCAGCTTTTATCCTCTGTGTTAAACTAGGACCAGCTCTTTATACTTCTTCAAGTATATCGAGGTTTTAGTCTCCCAGAAGGATTCAATGAAGCCTGCAAGTTCAGATTTGATTGTGTGTTTGTGGGTAGGATGTGACGGTGTGTGTTAGTTGTGTAAATGTTTTCACTGAATGTTTATGAGGTATAGGAGGTCACTGTTAACACCTGACTGAGGTGTGTTGACATCAGGATTCATCATCCAAAACTGTGTTCCACAGGAGATATTGCTTGTGTGAGATCCAACGATATCTCAAAGCACATATCGTTTTGACAGTAGATTTGTACAAAGCCCTGGCGTCATCAAATACATGACTCACAATGCTATGACGTCAAATACCTGATGACGTCACAATGCTATGACATCGCTGCACTTCAAGTCTAATGACAGCACCGTGTTCAGAGACGTACAGTTTTCATTGAAAACTAATGGTGATTTTTGATGATAAATAGAATCTCATCCTCGTGTCTCCTGATATCAAATATATCAACACTCGTTGATAAAAGTAAAAAGCCTCGGATATTTGTAACTTTATCAACTTGTGGTGATATATTTGATAGCAAAACACGCTCGGATGAGATTCTTATATATCTACCGGGTACCCACTTATACAGGCATCCTGTCCGTAAACAGAGGGCTATAGTCTTCAACATACTATTTCGCGGGTGATATATAATTAATAGCATGGTGTTTGGATGGTGTAGTTCATATCACGCAATGTGATGAGCATTTTTTTCATACCATGATATAGTTCATGGCATACCATATGTTGGTAGATACAGTTTGTAACACGCAATGTGGTGAATAAATAGTAGTACATGGCATACCACGTGTTGGGAGATATAGTTTACAACATACATGTACCATGTGTTGGGAGATATATAGTTATAGTTATAACATTCCACGTATTGGTGGTATATTTTATATCAGACCATGTGTGAGCGGACATACAGTATAAGTATATAACATCCAATGTGTAGGAGACATAGTTTATAACATACCACGTGGTCGGGGTGTATTTTATAACCTACCACATATTTGGTTATAACATACCATGTGTTGGGAGATATATAGTTTGTGTTTATAACATAACCGTATTTGGTGGTATATTTTAAATCAGACCATTTGTGAGCGGATATATAGTATATAACATCAAATGTGTAGGAGATATAGTAGATAACATCCAATGTGTAGGAGATTTTATTTATAACATACCGCGTGGCCGGGAGGTATTTTATAACCTATCATATATTTGGTATCATAGCTAATATCAGGTCATGTGTCCAGGATATAGTTTATAACACCTTATATGGGTAGCATGGCTTATATCATTCAATGTGTCGGCGATATAGCCTCGATGAAACCTACCTCTGTCTGTTCGCTACATACAACCTTCCGGAGAGGTCCTTATATAAACATGAAAACAACTCCACAGGTTTAATGTTTGTCTATACTGAGAGGTCATGCATGTTTGACTCGGATTTGACACGGGATACTGATCATATATGCCTCTGTCTCATTGTAAGCCTGATTTATGCAGCAGAGCTGAACAGGCATCCTCAAAGGATAAAACTGGGTGGGGGTAGCCTTGTGGTTAAAGTGTTCGCTCGTCACGCCAAAGACCCGGGTTCATTTCCCAACATGGGTACAATGTGTGACGCTCATTTCTGGTGTCCCCCGTGATATTTCGGGAATATTGCTCCAAGCGGCGTAAAACTAATCTCACCCACTCACTCATTTTAATCTTTAAATATTAATTATAGTAATAATAATAATGCCTGTTCGAACTCAGGAATCTGTGCAAGGGGACACAAATGGCCAACGATCCGAGGACAATGCCCCGCAGCTATACACATAGATGTTGGTGTCACGTCATTATACATGTACCAGGAGCTACATGTTCATCAAAGCGCCCCGACCAGGTATGTTCATTCATGCATGAAATGTG